ACTCTATTGAAAATGGTGCATAGGTAACACGGTGAAACTGAAAAGTATTATTGTTTTTGAAGTTCATGTGTTGCTATATCCTTGCATTTAATTAGGCAACAGCCTCCAATGTTGAAAAATTAAGCAAACGTTGCAGTGAGAGACTCTGCAGTTCAACATGAGTCTACTTAAGGGGAGCTACAGAGGCCACATCTCTGCAAAAACGCTGATCTTGGCAAATGTTTTTGTCTCATTTCTAATAAAAATGTCAAAATAGGTTAGCCTAAAGTTTTTTTTGCCTTATTTCAAGATAATACATGTCAAAAACAAGACCAGAAATGTTTATAAAGACTGAAAAAAAATAATTGCAGATGGAATAAGAAAAACATGAACAATTTAAGTTCTTGATGAAATAAGACTCTTTTTAATTAGAGTAATCTATCCCTAATTCTGGATACTGGTGAAGTTATTTTTTTTTTTATTCCTCTGGTGAATATCAACTGCAGTGGGGGGAACACAGCTCAAGGAAGAATATTTATGATCATTTCTTTATCATTTCCTTTAAGTAATAATCATCATATTGATCATTTTGCACTGCAGATTCGGTAGTTCTTCTGCCTTAGCGTTTCGGTCTGATTGTATTTCCATGAAGAAATGATCATAAATGTTCTTCCTTGAGCTGCGTCCCCCCGCCGCAGTTGATGGAATTGCCTGGAGGTCTCCATACAAACAAACGGCTGCTGAAGGACAGCGTGTGAGTCTCTTTGCTAAAGAAATTAGTCAAAGCTTAAAAGATGTTTGGGACCCTATATGTACTGTTGATGAAGTTAGGTGCTGTTCTGAGCATTATTTGTGGCGATAGAGTGGCGTTTTGGTTGAGCACGTGGCACTCTGTATTGCTATCTGCGGTCATTACTAAAGTTGGTATAACTAGAGAAGCAAGCGGTCGGCAACATTCATCTTTCGACAGAGTGTCTAACTCAGTGTTACGGTGTGTTTGACCCTAACTTCATTTTACGCCGGAATATCCCTTTAAGATAAGATGTTATTCGAGTCATGATGGCTGAATCTGATTGAAAATAAACCTAATATTTTTTCTCCTAGAAATACAACTAAGGCACTTGCAAAAATTTGTTTTTGCAGTGTAAAACATGTTTCATAAACACTTTTAATGTCAGTTAACGATACAGTGTTTTTTTAGGTGGGCGGGGCATAGCTGTAGGCAGAAAAACAACAAATCACAATCAACCAGCAGGTTGTTTTAGACTTGTTTTCCACAATGGGGGAAGATAACTCAGGTCTCTCTAAATATGTGAGGTAACCAGCCAGGAATGTTACTTAAATTAGTTAACACTGACGAGGGAGGGCAGCATGGCCAACCTGTACGCTCTCACTCAGTAGATGAATGATTTGACAGGACCGCCAAAGGTCCTTGATGGTCGCCCCTGTCTAGACTTTTCATCATATCACTTTTATCCAAAGTTGTTTTCGTGACATTGACATTACTTCATCTTTTCTGGCACCAAACAACAATATTTTAGGACTAATGTGTCCCTGCCTACGCTGTGGTGGTGCCCTCAGGTTTGCCTGTGAGCTGATACTGTTGTTTACTGTGACATTGGCCTTTAAAGGAGAGGGTACAACCTGACCTCTAATTCAGGCCAAGTATTTCAGAGATATCAAAATGAGCTGTGCAGAGAAGGCTGGAAACAAATGTTATGATTACGCTAAAATGTGTCTACATCCGGTTTTGGAACTTATCTAAGGTTTAGTTTGGCGATTCGACACTTCAGCATTATGTGTATGAAGATATGAAGTGGTGTGATAAGTCTCCTTTAGACACACTCTATCTACACTCTGCTTTCAAATCTGACCTACTCAGTCCCTCCAGAGTTGGCTCCACACCTGCACACAAGAGTCCACTTGTCCCCTACCCGTCTCTGCTGACACCCACCTCCTCATCCATCATCCCTGGAGCAGCCCACCCTCCCCAACACTCCCAGACCACATTAATTCTCCAGTCACACCAGCAAGCAAGCGACATTACATTATTGATGGTGAGAGCAAGGTTTACCGAAAAAGGATGAGATGTATTCGTGCGGAGGAGATTTACTTTCGGAGTTGATGAACAATTGTAATTGCTCTAAAGTTTGGTGAAAGTGTTGAATGAAAGAGGTCTTTTTTTGTGTGTGACTCGAGGGCTGGACAGTCTGCAGAAACACGACATGTCAGCATCTGAAGGCCGAATCCTTGGACAGCTCTAACTCTGCTGCATGTCAGAGAAGAAACCTCGCTAACCCTGTCGCTTCTTCTCCTCCTCTTGTCTCCCCTCACTCTTCCTTCCTCCTCTCCTTCCCTTTCACTTCTCTCCGTCTTCCTTTATTCCACTCTCACTTTCTCCTCCTTCTACTGAGCGTCAGCTTGAATTATTAGGCTGAAGGGGGAGGTGGTGGAGGTGAAGGGAGGGGTGGGCATGGCGGTAATAAAAAGGAAGAGGAGGCTTGTGAGTTATGGATGAGAGTTCAGTGGATTATGGAGAAGGAGAGAGGGGGAGCAGGGTGGAGGGGTAAAAAGGACAGATGACAGTAGTGGAGGTGCTAAAGTACTTCCATAAGTCCAATAAAGCAAGCCTCCATCTCAGCGACACATTTCACTTCATCCTTGAGACTTGTGACCTCAGAAGACTCACTTGTTTGCAGAATCTCGCTCGTTTTATTCCTCGTCTATTCCTAGTATTTATAAAGTCCCTCCATTCTTACAATTAGCAGTTACCTAGCAACAGGATACATCATTTGTTAGAGCAGAAAGGGGATGGTGTGTGACAGGAGTGAGGTGTAAAGTGCATTTTTTTTTAAAGTTAATGTATTTGAAGCTTGTCTTTTAACACCAGACCATTAGTGAAAGAAAAGCAGCAGTTTAGCTTAACCGCAGTCACTTATTTGTGCCTATAGAAGAGAAGATACATGAATGTGGAACGTTGTGCTGAGGACACTCATCTCTGCAAAATGAGAACAAAAATAGACATTTAATGTCTTTAAACAGTCGGACCTTTGTGTGTCTGTGTGTGCTTACAGAAGATCTTATATTATGTTCGGATTATTAGCAAGCTCGGCAACAGCAAAACAACAATAGTAGTTTAACTGAATCTAAGAGATCTTTAAATATAGTATTTATTCAGTGTGATTTCATTGGTGGTTATGATTATCATTTTTAGTATTATAAGAATAGTTATATGTCGCCATGTTGTTGTCATGCTTTTATCTCGATATTTTTCCTGTCTCATGTTTAGGTTGCTTTATTCCCCACATTGTCAAACCAGTCTTTCATTTTGAAGTATTGTACTTCTGAATGAAACTGAATGAAAACGGCTGAAACGGGTGATAGTAAGTAGAAATGTTCAATGGATTCGCAGCCTGAACAGTCAATACCTCAGTCATCGTTTTTGGATTAATGTTGCGTTCCAGTTACCTTGGAAGTCGGATGTCGGAGCTGGGATTGTAGCTACACCCGAGTTGATGGCGTTCCACTTAACAAGTCGGAAAACCAAGATGGACACCTACTGTTACCCGTTGTTAGCTGTTGTTAACAATTGTCAACTGCCGTTAGCCGTTGTCAGCTGTTGTTAGCGGTTGTAAGCAGTTGCTAGTTGTTGTTAGCCATACCAGTTGTAAACAACGTATATCAGTATTTCACTCTTACAAACACCATAGCACCATGTTCACAGTTAGACATTGGGCAGCACAACATATACCACTTATTTAATTTCACAACAACAAAACAGAAGTGCTAAATACATAATATATTACAAGAGCTTTTTACTGTTACTTTTTACTGTTGATGCACTGTGCTGCCATCTTGAATTATGGCGACCTTTCGAGTCAGAAATCCGACTTCAAGGGGGCGTTCCAGATGAATCTCCGACTTGGAGCGCGGAAATCTCAACTTCCGAGTACAACTGGAACACAGCATTACAATAAAACTTTAACTTCAGCCTAAAAAGTGCTGAGCCATTTCAGAGGGCTGCTAAAGCTAGCTCACAAGAAGACTGTTAACTTCATCTGTCCTCCATTTAAAGACACATGGCAACCAGAGTGAAGACTATGAGCACAAGCATTTTGACACAGAAACACTTGAAAGTGGATTTGTAACGTTGCCCCTATGTCAGTTTGTTAATCTCTATTAGTTCATTGGATGAGTCTTTATAATATGAACAGAAAATAGCTTTAAGTGTTCAATATTTAATGTTATCTATATATATTAATTACCAATATGCTGCTTTGACAAAAATGTGGCAGATTTTTTCTGTCCTCTGTATTTTTCAGCTGCTGATGAATCATAACGTGATGATAAGTCAGGGTTTCTAAGTATTTATGACTTACAACCTGCATTGCTGCGTTATAACAGCATCTGCAGCTTTCCCCCAAGGCTGGTGTCAGAGGAGAATTGTAGTCTGTGAATGTACTGGAGGCATTTAAGATACAGTAAGCTCAAGGACTGAGAGAGAAGAGGGGGTGAAATTTAAAATTTGGCAGGAAGTAAGAAAAAGTGCTGGCACTGTTTCTTTTCTGACCTCTAAATGTTCTGTTTTGAGCTGGCGGCTGCCCAGAGTATCAAATAGATACACAGGAGTGAACTTTAATTTCTTTGTGAATTTTAGTTTGATTTGATTCTGGATGAAGGTCATAAATGAGCGCTAGCATTGGCTGCCAATTAGTGGAGTGAATTCTTTAAAGGAGTTGTACAAGAAGTACGCTTGTTCTTTCCCTTGCCTGGAGATATTTGACAACACAATAGACTGTACAAATCACAAATGTAGTCTCAGAGATGTTCCCCATTGTTCCCTGGAGAGACTTCTATTCTATTCTTTTCTATTTTTGAAGATATGGCAGTCATCATATTGTAAATGCTGACTCACCCTAACTTTTGGCCAGTCTAAGCACAGCAAAGAGGTGCAGTCCAACAGCTCAGCTCCTCTACTAATTATAAAAATGTATGTTTAATTGTCACTCTTTACATTTCCTTAATTAAGCATTGAAAGGCATTCAACCACCATACAGTGCATATAATAAATAGATAAGCTATGTTTCCAAAACCATCTGTAAACATGTTTAATTTTACAGGAAAATTTGTCATTTTGGTATGAGACTCAATGAGGAATCTTTGGCTTTTGTTGCTGACCACAAGTGGACACTTGAAGAACTACACTTTCATGCCTATCCATGTTGGTGTTATTTAGCCTGGCACAAGCACAAAGAGAGGAAACTGATGTTTTTTTTTTGTTTGTTTGTTTTTTTGACTCGGAGTGCCATGTCCACCCCAATGTTTGAACCATAGACTGTATGTAGAATGGACTCCGTCTGCCTCCTCGCTGGATGAAGCCACTCCGAGAACAGCACACTCTGGTGACGTAGTATAGGTCATAAATCCCACCTCCTCCAGCAATCCCTAAGGTGCTGTTGACAAACTTTAAAAATTTATTAGTCAGAACATAAATTTTTCTCTCCCCTGCTTGCGATGTTGACATGTAGTTATTGGAAGACTGGTTTGTGCTCAAGTCCTCTTTTCTGTACAGCTCCATTTTTAAAAGTTCATGTTTCTTATGATTGACACTTGATACAGCCTATGGGCGTACAAGAATTGCGTAGCTCAGCTGGAGATACGCTGTTTGAGCCGAGCGTCATCACAGCGACTCTCAGCAACTCTCCCGCAAAATGTGAACAACGCTACTGCGCAATGTTGGTTTCAGGAAGTGGAGAAAAAAACGCAGCTTTTTGGCTTCAAATCCGTATACAGGTAGAAGGCGGAACTAAGTTGTCCATAGTATATACAGTCTATGGTTCGAACTCAAACAGAGGCCTTTTGCTCTGTGTCCTTCCTTTGGTCTCTCTTTTAGTTTTTTACTCTATTACGAGCCTATCATCTAAGCTGAGGCATAAAAAGCTCATACAAACGTGTAATATGAGGCTTAATAGGAAGTGACTTCTTTTGGGAGACAGCCTGAAGTGGTCACTCAAGGAACTGAAATTTTTCCACATTTATCGTCCAACATTTCAAATTCTTCGCTGTCCTCAGCATCCACGTTGTTGCAGAATATGACAGCTTTTAAAACCATCCAACACCTGCAGCTTCACAATGACTTCCTCATATCCAACACAGTTCACCACAATTTGTGACCATTCTGCAGCAGAGAATGACTCAGAGTTAACAAAGCGCCCGTACACAGATACAACGACAGGTGTTCTGACATGAGGATGAATAATCAAGATGAAGGTGGGACGGGATGCATCACGAATCAAGATTTCATACAGTGAGGAGAGAAGTGGACGAAGTGAAGGAGATGAGAGAGGAGCAGACAGATGGAGTGAGAGGACATGAAAAAGTGAGAGATCACTGCGATGGTAAAAGAGACAGAAGGTGAAAAGAAAGTGCTGAGAAGAAAGGGTTAAAGAGGAGAGGGGAAAGAGATGGTTGCCTCGGAAACAGCAGCCAGCGTTTTCTTTTTTTTTGCACACACACACGCGCACACACAGACATACACATCTTCCCTCCAACCCTCCCTCCTCTCTCTTCTCCTCTCCCTCCTTCATCTCTTGTGTGGCTCTGAGTTTAAGTTTTGCAGCCGTACATTAATGCATTGCTCTTGCTGGGACTCATTTCTTCAAAGGATGAATGTTTGTGTGTTGTTGAAGCACATCTCATCTGACATAGATGCTGTTGTGAGAGAAGTTTAACTGCAGTTTATTAAAATCTTATTTTAACCCTCCTCCTGTGTTAGGGTCTGCACCGACCCGTTTTTGATTTTAAATGCTTAAAAGAACCACTTACCTTAGCTTTTTTGGCATCAAGACTTTTTGACTTTGTCAGGAACCTCTATTTCAACAAAATAAAAATTAAAAAATTTAATTTACTCAATTATACAATGCTCTTATTAAAATTATGGCACTTGTCATGTTAGGGTTGCTGTTGACCCGGTTAGATCAATATCTAATAATTAGAGCAATTAGAGCAAAAACTGAAATCATAAGTGCACTGTCAGGCACCACACTGACAGTCAGATCCTCTTCCAATCATGTGAGATTTAGGAAATTCTCATTTTGCCATGTTTTTCCCTGCACAAAAAACAATGTCGGGCATGTCCAGACATGTGAGATCAGTTCAGTACAGGTGTCTGTATGAGGGGTATACTGACAAAGAAAGGCCCAGAGGACCACAACAAAAGTATTATAAGCAATATTTTCATGGATAATGAAGCTATACCGGGTAACCTAGAGATAAGAACCAAACTGGATGATAGAGAAATGTTTTTAGTGTCATTTACAGCTGATTTAAGGTCAGGTCAAAACCGACCCTTAACATAGTGGGTGCGTCGTAAAAGCTTACACAGGAAGAAGGATAAAAACAGTCCAACGTCTACCATAATTGAATAACTAATTAGTCTTTATATTTTTCTGTTTAATGTTGGTAACAAAAGCCAGTTCAGTCAGACATCTGACATATAAAAAATCAAACAGTTTGTTCTAGCAGCAGAGTATCATTTGCACTATGTCCATGTAGGTTCTCATTCATCTAGGTCATAGTTAGCCTAGGATGGAAAATGATCAGATGGGCTGTTTTTTTCTTATATCCATTTCTCCAGTCTTCTGCCCACTCAAAGTGCTTTTTACATTACGTGACACATTCACTCATTCACACACTAACGGCAGGGGCTGCTTTGTATAGAGTTCATCAGTTTCTGACTAATCCTATTCACACCCATTTGGCACAACCAGTTAGGGTGGGTGGAGTCAAGTGTCTAGCCCCAGGACACCTTGGCATGTAGACAGCCGGACCTGAGATCAAACCTTCGGATAGGAAGACAACCAACTCTACCACTGAGCCACAGCCCCTAGATCCAAAGTGCCATCAAACTTAAATTAACAGAGTAGATCTCTTCAGATGAATTGATTTTCTCTCCTTTTGTTTTCTATCTAAATTTCATTGTGACATAAACTCTGCATCCCATATTCTTTAACTGAGTTGAAATCTTTTTGAATTTGTATTTTCCACCATAAAAGTGATTCTGCTAACCTATTCAGTCAATTGATTTTGAGAACATACTCATTTCACTTTATTTATTTACCATTTACCAACTATTCCTTTAAATTAGAAGGAAACTTTTCACAGTTTCAACTAGAGCTGTCACAGTATATTGGTATTGATGCTTACAAAAATAGTAGTGGTATATATGCTGGTTGCCACACATCATAAAACAGAGGATAGACGAAGAAGATGAAGAAAACTGCCAGTAAGCTAGCTGAAGCAACGTTCAGATTTCCCTCCAGAACTTACATAAATGACTTTCTGACCCATCTGTGGAAGAGTCAGCTTCACCAGAGTTGCTTTGTGTATCTCTTGAATATCTGGTAGCATTATTTAATCTACTTTTGTTACCTCGGTACTTTTTAGTGGAGTGACTGATTAGAAGTTTATAGGTGGAGCCAGACTTGCATTTTTGTTTGTCAGATGAGTCAGCTTTTGTTGTTGTTTTAACACGTTCTCTTGTTGGTTTACTTGAAATAAATATATCACCCCACTATTATCAACACTGGTGCTTAGTGTTGACTCCCTTTTCCCTAGACTCTCGCTGGGTTGTAACACTGGTCAATTGAATATTTATACTTTAGAATCATCCTTTTAACTGTTTTTCATTGGTGGTATCTTTCCAAAAAGTCCATTGTGACTTTCATTAAAGTGTAGACCAAATATCTTGAGGTACTGTAATGAGGTAGAAACTTCAGCACTCTTAGCAGCCCAATGGTGTAGTGGTTAGAACTGCTGCCATGCAACTGAATGGTTCAATCCCAGACAGGAACTCTCCATTTTGAAGTATGAATGAATTTCTTTCCTTGCACTGAAGTCTAAGCTAAGCTTTTAAAATTTAATATCATGGAAAAATGATAAGATCCAAACAAGCAAGCCCTGCAAGGAAAACATAGTGGTTTGCATGACTGTAAAGCAAGTCTGATTGGACTTATGGATAATAATCTTTAACTTCAAGAATTTACTTTGAAGAAATTTAACTTTTGACTGGTAAGAGATGTGAAATCTAAAAAAAAAAAAAAAAAAAAATCACAACTACAGAGATGGGTAGAGAATAACCTCTCTGAAGCTTTGTTGCTTTAAAACTGTTTCTTTATGGTGGAGTTGCGTTACTCTAGTCCATTATTGTTACCTCCTGTTAAAGTAAAGCAGATCGATTCCTCCATATGTTGAATCTTAACTTTTTCATTTCACTGATATTTTTACAGAGAAGATGTAGGGTTTTCAAGGAGGATTCAGACCCTGCTAAAGTGCACAAACGTTCATGCACAGCTCATATGTGTGACAGAAACATAGATCACTGCAGTGATGACCCCCACCCTCCTGTGAAAGAGTGGAGTAATAAAGCACAGAGGGTCACCACGAGTCACAAGGACAGAAGGAGGATGATGATGGCACCATCAAATTTAATGGTCTCCAGGAGAAGGTGGATGAGAGCGAAAGAAGAGAAAGATGAGCGGGTGCAAACAGCTGCTGAAGGAGGAGGAAGAACAATGAATTGTAAGTTTATAAAAACTTTGAATATTCACTATTTTAAAACACTTTCAGCATCTGTACCAAATATGTTGAATGTACTTTTGTGGTTTCAATGGCTTTCCCTACATCCAAGCCTCTGATTGGACCATTGAGTGACATGTGATCAAGCAACAAGGAAGTGTCGTTGTTCTGGCTGGACTGCCAAGAACTTTGGCTTCAGTAAGGTGCATCTAAAAAAGCTTTCCGTCTCCACCCTGCTGCAGCTCACTAATAGAGGACACCCTTTTATAAGTTATTATTTACAAAGAAACTGAGACTCACTAGAAACAGGTGAGCTGGTGCTGCTCATTGGGGTATTTAAAGAACTACGAAATTACAAGGTTTTATTGGAAGTAAACCCACCACAAGTGCATCACAAGAAAATCTATTTTCCAGGTTCATACCACTGAGAAAAACATTTCATAACTTGCTATCAACAGTAAAACTGAGACTCACCAGAAACAAATAACTTTGCACTACATACAGAGGATTTATAGAACTGAGAAATGACAAGGTTTTACAGCGAGTAAATCACAAGCTACCTTTTGTTGAGGTCATGTCACTTATAAACAAGGGTGAAACTTTCTGTGATTTAGTTTTTACAGTGGCACTGAGACTCATGAGTAACAAATCCATAAAGCAGGTGCCACTCAGGGAGATAAGATGAACCAATAAATGATCAAGAGTATTCTGCAGACCTAACTGGTGTGGTGAACTTGACTCAGCTCTTGATCCAAAACATGTCGTCGCTAATCAAATTGCTAATTGGACTGTAAATAGCGCTGCATAGAAAAGGGGAGGACATTTTTATTGTCAAATTAAATGCTTTAGAAGTTCACCATCACTCCCAGAGGCTATAACACAATCAAATGGTCAGCTGATGGTTTAAGGACTGTCCATTCCCCTCTAACACTCACAAATTTTTTATCTCAGTATGTCTCTGAAAACTGACTCATTTTTATCTTCTTTTTTTTTTTTTGCATACTTTTGGTTTAACTGTTTGAGGTGCCGATGCTTATCCAGCCACTTCTCCTCCTCCTCTTCCTCTTCTTCTCTCTCTTCCTGTTTCACACCCTCCCTCCCTCCGTCCCTCCCGGTATCCGTAGTGATTGGAGGCAGGGTTCTGTGGTTGCTAGGACACGAGGAGAGTGTGGCAGCCGGCCTCAGTGTGAGAGAGAAAGAGGGAAAGAAAAGGAGGGAGGTAAGGACGTGAGTGCGATGAGGGACATGAGGAAAGGTCGCCTCCTGCTGGCTACAGCTGGTAACTGGATATGATCTGTCACAGGATCAGTCTAGAGCTCTCAAGTTTTAGAGTAAGAATCAGCTTTAAGGATTTGTCAAAAGAATCAAACAGATCAATGAAGTGACACAACCTTGCAGTTAACCATAACCAGATTTATCTTCACAAGTGTAATCTCACTTCCATTTAAAAACAAAATAACAACACAGTATTTTGGGAGCTTTTGCCTTTAGTTTGGCTGGACAGGATAAAGGACAGATGAGAGAAGTGGAAGAAAGAGCAGGGAACGAAATTTAAGAAAGGGCTGGAATGAAAACCGGGTCTCCCTTTCAAGGACCACAGCCGCCATATATGGGACACACAGTTACAACAGTAGAACCTCATTTTGGCACAATATTATAGGATTTGCCATCTTCAGGCATTACACTGCGTAACACTGTATTTCTTGGCTGTTGACAGTTATCTAATGTCTCTGCTGCACTAACAATTGTCATCTTCAATAATTTACTATGACTGATCCTCACTGTGGCTCTCCATCTACCATCCCCCTGGTGCTGTGGTTGTAAGTGTCAACCACAGCACAGCCAGCCACAGTTATGAGGGTTGCCTCATGTATGTTAACACAACCAGCATGTCTATGCAGTGGCCTGCTCTTGGTGATATCCGTGGTTGCCTAGAGTGCCACATGCTGGAGAGGCACCTAGCACCCTCGTAATTTGTTTAAGTATAATTTGCGCTGCCCCTTGGCACCATTTCCTAATTTTCTGTCTTTAAAACAAATAAATAAATAAAAACAGCAAAAATGAACAGCAATAAACTCATGTTGTTTCTCATCATTTACCTGGCTCTCACCCTTGGCTTTTATCCTGTCTGGGGTATCAAAATGGCCCTGTGTCTATGTACATATTTCAAATGTGAGCAGGGGCCTTTATTGTGAAAGGATCAAACATTTGATTATAAACCTGAAGATTATAAAACTTTAAAGAGAGATACGGGTGTTTGTTGTTGACTAAAATGCCAGAAAACAGCAAAGAATTGATATGATATTGCATTAAGAATAAGCTGATGATTTACACTCTAGGTTCTAACAATAGCCAAAAGCAGAGTCTAAAAAGCATGAGAATATGTCCTGTCCCAGACTTTGTTAAGGTCACATATTTAAAGTTTGAAACTGTTGCGAGTGTGTTTCAGCCGGGCTGCATCATGCTCTTTGATCTGTCTTAGTTTCACTGAGAGTGTGAAAAAGACGCCACACCTCCTCCAATCAAAGTTCAATGTCTCATTTCTCTGTGTCCTCGGAATTATGTTTGTATTATCAAAGCTGCATCTTTTCTGCTCCTATGACACTTTACATCTGCCAGACACTAATTGTGATATTGTTGGACACTACAGATGACAGAGGATCAAAGACTGTGAAATTGTACCAAAGCATAACTTAGGACGCACACACTTCAAAGAGACTGATGGACCAGGATATCAAACAAAACTAGACAAATTGCATTTCCTTGCAGAAAATGCATGGAAATGCTGAGTGCTGAGAGCCGAAAAAGCAATGCTAAACTGCCAATAAAAAATGGAGTAAGGTATGGAAAAACTGTAGTATAGCTGAAGGTAAATAAGTAGGATAAATGTACAAATTATCTAATAACCAAAGTGAAAAACGTATATGATTGATGTGAATAAATCGAACTGATAATAAGGATAATTGAATTTGAAAAACAAATGCCTTAAAATAATGTGTAACAATGTTCCAATTAAATGTACAAATAGTAAAACAGATTTCTGCAGTCTGCAGCATCCAACCATAGTAACTTGAGAATGCAGAACAGCACCATCTATTGCCGTGCTTCAGTTACTGCCCTACGTACGAACGTAGTATGAAACAGCTGAAGTTAAATTAATTGTATAAATGTAGACAGTAAAGAACAGCAGAAGTAGAAGAATAATAAGTAGTTAATATGTTAAAAGAGTTAAAGACAAGAACTCGTGTGCGTGTGTGATCAAAAGCAAACAGCCCAGAGAAGTGCAGATATCGCGAGAGCACTGAGAAACCATCTGAACTTTTTCCCTAGTGCAATTTCCATAAGTCATAAGAAAAATAAGACCATCTTAGGAGTCCTGACACTCTCATGAACACAATGATATATTTTTTTATGTCCATAGTGGAAAAAATGTGGCCACAACAGCGAGTTAAGAACGGCTTCACTGTAGTGTTTGTCGGGTTTCTTGGCCAAAATTTAACATGGGAGTTAATGGGCAGAATCTCTGGCTCCTAAGGAATGTACTCACCTCCTGGGCAAGCGGTACAATTTGATAACTTCAGACCTATTTTGTGAGAAGCAGGACGCGTGTACCTCCATTTTGATGTATTTTTTTATGGCTGTGGAGTGAAAATTGCGGCCATGGGAGCAAAATAATCACACTTGGTTTAGTGAATCCAAAACGCTGTCCCCGCTCTAGTGATGACGTCACCCGCTCTAGCTTTTCCAATACACACTCAATGGAAAGGCTGAGAAAGGCAGAAAACTTCACGTTGCTCCAAGCTAAATTGTGCAAAAACGGTAGGAAATGGTAAAAAGGAGTGAATACAACATTTGTAGCAGACAAGTTGCTGAACATTTTAAAAATGAGGTCTGTAGGTGAAAGTATGCACAAGTTATAAGGGCATAGACTGTATATACTATATCATGAAACATGCAGAATAATCCAATTTCAAACATTCTACTTTTTTAAAATCTATCTTAAACTGAGAGTACTTAACTCTGGGTTTAAACTGAACATGCTTTCATTTTGAAAAACGCAAGTAATTTTTGGTAGATTTAAGGTTAGAAAATGAATTCAATAGAAAAAAAACATGTTCTAAATGAAAAACTTGAGTAAAACCGCTCTAAGGAAGAGTAAAAAAGTGCTATGGTCAGTGTCATGAGGCAAGTATTTCTTTTGACTCATTCACTGAACTGTCAATATAACAGCTTTAACTAAAATAAGACATTTAGAGATTTAGCAGTGTCCTTTTGTATCACTTTGACTACAGGGAGACACCTAAGAGGACTAGAAAGTATATCGTTGATCATGATTTAAAGATAGAATCTTGATTAAGCTCGTGCTATAATTCAAATAACTATTATCAATTGCCCTAATTTGAATGTACACTTGAAAAAACAAGTTCCACTAAAATAAAATCTTAGGGTCCAAATCTCAGGCAAAGCATGCTAATGCAATGGACAACATCCTGTAAACATCAGTCATGTACTGCATTATACCTCCACAAAAATGATGGTTATGTCTTAAATAAGTTGTTAAAGACATTCTCTGTAAAGACAGAGCCTAAAACAAACAAATGTACAACCATAACAATGTTGGGAAAAATGTGCCAATCTTATTAAGTACCTAAGTCTCCTTTTTTACTTGCTTGGAATTGCAGGAACTCTTCCTCCTTCACAGCAAATATTTTCCTTGCATTCTGTTTCCAAAATGCTGATCCTGTAAAGACAGTTCTCCTTTAGATGTGCATAAGAATGAAAGTTGTGGGAACAGAGTTGTGGATTTCACTTGATGATATTTTATATCCTGTAAAGACAGTTCTCCTTTAGATGTGCATGAGGTGTGGAATGTTGCAGGAGAAAAGATGACTTATAGAGTTTTATGGGGTCACGGGGTAAGGATATGACATAATGAAATCTGAAGGTAAAAATAACATTTGGCAGTAGTTCTAATTCAAATAAGGTCATTTCAAGCTTACGTAAAAAACTGTAAACACAAAAATATGCTATACACACACACACACACGTTTTACTTATGTTAAAAAAAATATATCTTAAACTCAGCTTATCAAAACGTGGGAAACTTTTCTTTTGTTCATTTGGATATTGATTGATACATTATTTTTCGTAGGGGTGTACTGATTTATGTTGGGCACTGTATCTACATTGATACACATGCACCTGCTTATAAAGCTGAGGTGTTTTTTTTCCTATGCCCACAATTCCCCCCTCCTAAAGGAGCCTAGTTTTGAGATGTGTTTCTTGAGTTTTTTTTTTGGACAGGTGAATTGAATGAAAATAAATTTCATTGCTCTGTAATGATAATAAAACTTTTAAGAATTCTTGTATCATCACAGAAGTATAGGCTAAAGGTTTAATAAGACCGCAGTTGACAATTAAAATGTGATTTTTATTTCCCTCACAGACACGTAGATAGATTGTAGACTATTTCCTAAAATAGATGTGGATAAAATGTAATGAAAACCTGTAAATTAAATTGTAAATATTTGTTTTATTTTGATAACATCATAGGGAATCTTTATTTGGTAAAAGTTAGTGGGCACTGATATGAATAGTGCACAGTTAAACTATACCTAATAGTTACATCTTAATAATACATCTTATTTTCTATGTTCAGCCTTTAAACAGGTAGATTATATATTAGATTAAAAATGCATTCTTCTGTAAATTTGTTGTGAATGACAATGACCTCCCGAGGCAATGATTCAAAACCTTTTGCTGTAACAATTGGTATGATGCTTAGGTCTAGTAGTGTGATATAAATAGTAGTTACATATGGCTTACTTAATTACCTTTGAAATGTTTTTGCAACAGTGGCTCTTGGAGTAGCCCATGCAGCAGACCCCGCAGCAGCAGACCCCGCTGGAGCGCTTGGTAGGCGGTGGAACAAAAAAGCGGCTAGGGTGTGAGTTCCCGGGGGCGCACCTGTCGAGTTCTCCACGCAGATGCTGTCCCCATGCACTTCAATAATGCCCCCTCACGACTAGATCTGAAATGCTGATTGTAGGAAACACGGCCGCGTTGCTGTCATCAGTAATGTAAAGGCTCAGGCCATGAACCTTTATAAACGTGGAGAGAGAGGAGGGCTTTACCACACAGTTAGCTAGTGAGGCTAATTAGCCTGTAAAATAACACGAGCATGTGGAACTTGACGAGGAACATATGGCTTATTTTAGAAATAATGAGCATACCTGAAGATTTCGGTTGTCATGTTGTCATCCGTAAGGGTCACTCGTTTGGCTCCTTTGAATAAAACGTAGCTGTCCATCCTTGCGTGTAAAGCTAGCATGAAGCCGCTTCATCAATGACTTAACTCCGTCTACAACTTCCGGATCACGACGAGCGTACAAATTAAATACTAAAAACAAAATCAGCCCGTGATTCTTGATTTTTTTTATTTTTTATTCTTGATTGAATATCAATTGAACGAACGATACGCGGATTGATAACAATTATTAGTTTGCCATGAATTCAACACACTTTTACAAAATGGGCTACCTACTATCGCTCAAGCTCGCGCGTCACTAGCAGCCATGGTAACAGAGCGGTGACGCGCGCGTGGTCACCGTAGATATTCAGAATGTTTGATATTTTTAAAGTCAAAACAAACTGGACCTTTGGCTGGCTTGCACAACTTTTACTGAGAGAGAGAGATTTTTGCAAAAAGCTTGAACCTCGCTTGATTTTTAAACTCCCGGACTTTCCGAGAAGGAAACGACACCCGAGGACACGTGCAGATCCTAAATCTCCACGTAGATGGCGTCTGGCGGACCCCGGCCTGCGGAATGCCCCCTGGCCCCGGTCAGAGGTAAGGCAGCTTTGAAATTTTATATTAAATTCTCTTATTTGTGACAATTTTACCCGTTAAATGATTTTAAGGCAAATTTATTATCTACCAAGCAGGATTTAAGTGTGTAGATTGACAGTTAAATGAAAGTTGTGGGAACAGAGTTGTGGATTTCACTTGATGATATTTTAACCTATAGAACCATGTTTTAATGTCAGAAATGTTTAAATTTCCACGGGGAAAACGGTCAAACTTATTGAGTTAGGTGTGCTGAGGTGAAAACCTTTGATTTGCTAATGTATTTATGGCGTAAACAACTTTAATCTCTAAATCTTAAAAGAAAAAGAAAAAATCAATGATGTCCTGATCCTTTGCTGTAGTTTTGTCAGCTTTCTTGTTTCTAATGTTTTTGATTGTTGTAGCAGAGCGGATCAGTTCGTCTCTAAATCTATCATGTTTGGTTTGCAGATTTTAGTGAGTTCAGAGATCATGCGCTCATACAGCCTGGGCTGACTGTCTGCTGTTTTTGGATTTCTTGTATTTTCTTTAAAGACGCGCTGTTTCTCCAAGCGAGTCTAGCCTCTCACCTGAAATGCGCAGCTGTGCAGCGGCACGCAAAGGATTCTGGGATACCAACGGCACGAAAGCATGCATAAATGCACGCTTGAAAAAATGCTAAGTGCGCTTAGCATTTCTTAGCATCCCGTGCCAAATGGGACACCGTTCGCGCCGTCATGACGTCATGCACGCTTCAAATGCACCGTTCGACGGTGCAGAAGTGCACTTAGCCCGATGCGGTCTCTGAAATGAGACACAGCCATAGACTGTATATAAGATGGACAGAGTCTGCCTCCTCGCTGGGTGAAGCCACTCTGAGAACAGCACCCTCTGATGGTGGGCTGCAGTACAGGTCATAAATCCCGCCTCCGCCAGCAAAGCTAATGGGACTGTGGACAAACTTTAGAAATTTATTACACAGAACATGAATTTTTCTCCCACCTGCTTGTGATGTTGACATGTAGTTATTGTAAGACTGGTTTGTGCTCAAGTCCTTTTTTCTGTACACCTCCATTTTTAAAAGTTATTATGTTTTCTATGATTGACACATGGTACAGCCTATTGGCGTTCAGGGATTGAGTAGCTCTCCCGGGGGGATACGCTGTTTGAGCCGAGCGTCATCACAGGGACTCTCGGTGACTGCGCGGCAGAATGCGTGCATCGCTACTGCGCAGCTCTGCTTTCAAGGAAGTGGAGAAAAAAAAATTACCGAGAGCTTTTTGGCTTCAAATCCGTATACAGGCCGAAGGCGGAACCAGGTTGTCCATCTTATATACAGTCTATGGGTGGGATGCGTTTACGTGCCTTGCAAAACTCATTAATGCCATAGCTGTAATGTTTAAGTTATTTAATGGTATGAAGTCTGTTTAAATAACTAATAGATCTGTATTTAAGTGTTGAGACTGAATTGTAATGCAGCCACTGTGCGCACGCGTCTTCTCCAAGCCTGTTTTTAAACTAATAGATCTGAAGTTTAAGGAAGAAAAAGCTCTGGTTTCCAAGAAGCAGATATCTTTATTAAGCCACCTCGTGAACCTGGTGTAAATTTAATCAATGCGCAAGATTTGGAAAAATTCCCATATATTTTGGCGTGCGTTTTTACATGCGGAGCTCAGTGACACGGGGAACTTTTTGGCAAACCCCAACATTTAAGGTAGGTTTTACGAACTGCAGGTAAGTGATGTCTGTGCTTTAATGACAGTTTCCCCCTTGTCAACAAAAAATCACCTCTAATTGATACTGAAAAGTGTCCGAAACATCAAAACACGACAGTTGCCTCTCCTTGTTTTCCATGCACTGGAATTAAGTTGAAACTTAATGTGACTTCTATGTGTGGCTAATCAGCAAAAATCAAGGTTGCTTAATTTGTCTTTGCACTTCAACTGTCGAATCCTGTTTTAACAACATTTGAAATGATATTTCAACTTTTTGTAAACTTGGGTACTAAGATTAGTTGTGTTAGAGGTGGGATATTTACTAAAAGATGATATGACAGAACCACAGGTGTCCAAACATTGAGGATTTTGAGAGTAAGTATTGAGATGGTATTTAGTTGTGTGTTTCTTCGTTAGGAGGATGTATTTTGCCATGACTGTTAAACTTAATGCATAGATTAAGGAATTATATTGTTAAAATAATGGAAGGTGTGTTTTTAGGGATTCCTTGGTTCATACTCTGTATGACTCCCCCCAAGCATGTTCAGACGCAAATGTTTCTTTAACGGGTTTAATGAAGTCTTCTCCTCTTCATAATCATCCACAGACCTCCACAAACCGTGAAACTAGCAATACACAGTATTGGAATAACAGTTAGCACACTTACTATGCACATGTACAAATATTCATAACGAAAATAAAGACAAACAAATACCTCGTTGGCTGCATACTATGAAAGGGAATCTGTAGGCTTCTTATCTTCCAGCTTTGAAGTATTAGTTTGACTTTACCGTAAGTTTTAGCAATCTTAACGTAGCTTGACTTGACAGCTAAAGGGTCAGAGCTGTGCACACGACCTCTGCTTGCTTGCATCTGACGTTACCCAGAACGCTACTGGCCTAGCAGCTCAACGTAAGTGTCAAAATAAAAGTACCCTTACACTTCAATATAAAATGCAAATAAAATACAGAAATAACCTGGTAATTCTCAAAGTGGGTTTCTCATACAAAATAAACAAAAAATATTCTGCAATATGGAAAATAAAATAGCAACAGTTACACTGTGCTTTGATGTAGAACAGTGGTTCTCAAGTCCAGTCCTCGAGGCCCGCTGTCCTGCATGTTTCGGATGTTTCCCTGCTCTAACACACCTGATTCAAATGATTAGCTCGTTATTAGGCCACTACAGAGCTTGATAACGAGCTGATCATTTGAATCAGGTGTGTTGGAGCAGGGAAACATCCCTGATGTAGAGTTAGGAGATAAGATTTGGATTTGTGTAGCAGCCACTGTGTGCATCTCTTCAACTCCTCATCTTATCAATTAGATGCACGGAAAAACAGGCTGTGAAAGAGATTATCTTAACTACAGTTATTATCGCTCATATGTGGTCATTATACTCCAACAGCAGAATACCATTCATAATCCTGCAAGCCTCATATTTCATTCTCTTATGGATGCACAGATTCTGACAGTATTATACTATTCTTTCCACAGGTGGTGCCCCTCTTCCTCCTGCTCATCGTCCTGACTGCTCTCCTTCTCCCCCTTCCTCCGCACCTCCTCCTCTTCCTCCTCCTCCTCCTCCCTCTGCTCCATTTCCTGCTCTTCCTCTTGCTTTCTTCCCTGCTCCTCCTGCTTTCTTTTCTGCATCTCTCCTGGAGTTATCCTCTCTTCCTTCTCTTGGTGTCTCCTGTGCCAATTCTCCTGCTGCCTCTACCTCACGAAGGTTCAGGCCATGGGAGGACGGTGATCAGGAGATGGGGCCCTCACGAAAGAGAATAAGATTGGGTGACAAAGGGAGAGATACTCTTACTCTTTTCCGTCTCTCTTGTGCTGCTGCTCTTCCTCTTGCTTCTCCCCCTTCCTCTGCACCTCCTCTTGCTTCTCCCACTCCCCCCCCTTCCTCTGCACCTCCTCTTGCTTTCCCTCCTTCTCCTGCTTTGTCTTCTGCCTCTTCCTCTGCTTTCACTATTGCTTCTTCTCCTTCTTCCTCTTCTCCCTCTCCTGCTTCTTCTGATTTTTCCTCTTCTTCTTCTTACTCTCCTCCTTCTTCTTCTTCTTCTTCTTACTCTTACTCTTCCATTGCTTCTGCTGATCTGTCCCCTTCTTCTTCATCTCCTTTCTCTTCCTCCTCTTTCGACTCCTCTGCTACTTCTCTTGATTTCTCTTTTGCTTCTTCTTCTTCTGCTCCCTCCTCTCCTTCTTCTGCTTCTTCGGACTTCTTTGGCTGTCCTTCTTCTAAATCCTCTCCTCCTTCTATCCCCGATTCCTCTCCTCTTTATTGCCTTGACTCCTCTCCTCCTTATACCCCCATTTCCTCTCCTCCTTATAGCCCTGACTCCTATACTGCGTTTTCCCCCCATTTCCTCTTCTCCATATAGCCCTGACTCCTCTACTCCTTTTTCCCCCTAATTCCTCTCCTCCTTCTACCCCTGACTCTTCTCCTCCTTATAGTCCTGACTCCTCTCCTCCTTCTACCCCTGACTCCTCTCGTCCTCATACCCCGATTCCTCTCCTCCTTATAGTCCTGATTTCTCTCCACCTTATACCCCTGATTCCTCTCCTCCATATAGCCCTGACTCCTCTACTCCTTCTACCCCGACTCCTTTCCTTCTTATACCCCCGATTTCTCTCCTCCTTATACCCCTGACTCCTCTCCTCCTTCTACCCCTGATTCTTCTCCTCCTTATAGTCCTGACTCCTCTCCTCCTTCTACCCCTGACTCTTCTCCTCCTCATACCCCCAATTCCTCTCCTACTTCTACCCCTGACTCCTCTCCTCCTTCTACCCCCAATTCCTCTCCTACTTCTACCCCTGACTCCTCTCCTCCTTCTACCCCTGACTCCTCTCGTCCTCATACCCCGATTCCTCTCCTCCTTATAGTCCTGACTTCTCTCCTACTTCTACCCCTGACTCCTCTCCTCCTTCTACCCCGACTCCTTTCCTTCTTATACCCCCAATTCCTCTCCTCCTTATACCCCCGATTTCTCTCCTCCGTATACCCCTGACTCCTCTCCTCCTTCTACCCCCAATTCCTCTCCTACTTCTACCCCTGACTCCTCTCCTCCTTCTACCCCTGACTCCTCTCCTCCTCATACCCCCAATTCTTCTCCTCCTTCTACCCCTGACTCCTCTCCACCTTATACCCCTGATTCCTCTCCTCCATATACCCCTGACTCCTCTCCTCCTTCTACCCCGACTCCTTTCCATCTTATACCCCCGATTTCTCTCCTCCTTATACCCCTGACTCCTCTCCTCCTTCTACCCAACCAGCCTACCTGTCACACTCTGCTGCATATCTCAACTTAAGGTTTTGCTGTGTTGCTGGCTTCCCGACCTACTGCCTGTCCACGACTATCCTTACGTCTGATCCCTCTGGAATTAGTCTGCCCCGCTGATTGTCTGCCTGGATTCGACATTGCCTCCGCTTCGACCACGAGCCAAGCCTGCCCCTCGACAGTGCCGCTGCAAAAAAAAACAAAAAAAACAAAAAAAAAAACAAAACAAAAAGGAAAGCATAACTTGGTGAACTGTTTGATGGAGTACTATGTTGTAATGATGTTTTTGGTGTGTGCTTGTGTTAATTGTTTTAATTAGCTTCATTTGTTTGTTTTTGTGATTATCACTGTTCTGTCTATTGGTGGTTTATGTCATGTTATGTTATTTTTGTTAAAATAAAAAAAATAAAAAATAAAAATACTCAGGTGTAGTGCGTTTTCTGTGTGCACTCACCTTTCTGCCTGTTGGATCTATTCCTGTGGATCTGTTTCCTGTTGGCCTTGGAGATTCTACAGAGACTGCTAAATCAATCCCAGTATCTTCAGTAACCTGTTTGCTGTGAACTGTTGCAATCAAAGTAGCTTCTAAACAACTACCTGCCGTTGTGCTGCACTTGGGTCCTACATCCACACCCCTGACAGTACCGGACATCCTCTTTTGCATCTACAACTTTTTGTTTGGACATTAAAATTCACTTTAAGTTGATCTCAGTCTCTGTGTCTGCTTCTGGGTCCTCACAACTAACCAGCCACACTACAGTGGGTTTTTCTCTTTTGTTGCTTTTTTCATTTAGTTCAGATCCAGACTCAATTTACAACTGCAACCAAACTAGGGCACTAATTTTGTCGCGTGGCGTTAAGTTTGTGCACATACAGATTCACAAATGATTTATGCATCCTTTTAATCTCTTTCAAAATACACATTTCACTTTAACTATCTTTGAAATAGAGGGATTTAAAACTCCTTTAAGTATGTTGGATTTATATAGTAACACAACATAAGTTAAGTTTCCTCAGCTGAAATCTAAAAGGAACACAATTGTCCAAAGTCACAATCAGAGGGACTAACAGGAATGTGTAATTTTGGCTTGCAACAAAAACCACTTTTGATTCACAACCAAAGGCTTTATTTTATTGTGATACAAGTCCCACCTATAATAAGGCAAATAGCCAATCATACTCTAGGCACCCGTAACTAACCCCTGAGTCTGCCCCTGACACCTGCACATAGCAGCGGGATGTCCAGTTTCTTTATACCAGTCTGTGTCTAAACTTTTGGTGATATTAATCAGCAGGACATGCAAATAACACAATTATTGTGATACATATTCTGGTATCACAAAAGGTGATGTATGTGTGGACAAGTCTTTTTAATGACAATCCAAAACTGAGAGAGCAGTAACCAGCTGCAGAGCATTGTTAAAACTGGTATGACTGAGTGAGCGAGTTTTACTGAACAACAGACACTGACCTCAATCACCTCATTGAAGGGAGGGACAAAACTGAAAAATGTCTCTCTCTGATCACCTGCAGAGCAGATGCGACTTGCCACGTATGAGGGTACAAAGAGAGAGATCATCACTTATTGATTGCAGATAGTGATCTCACACAGATGAAAAGAAGTAAAAAAGGTTGGGCGACCTGCCCAGGTGGAAAACACAACACTTTCAGCTGGAGGGGATGTGCTAGCCATGTTGTCACTGAGTGTGGCTGCTCGCACTCCAGATACAACAATTACACATGACGAGAGAGAATGATATTTAGCCTATGATGTTGATGGGATAAATTGATAGTCTAAGTCCGTCAGTCAAGTCTAAGAAGTCTTCAAACTTGAGTCCTCATCTGTAGCCTGGGCACAATGAACCCCCTTATGGCCACACAAATAAGAGGACAGAAGGTATTACAGAGATGGTGAACAGCGACATGTGATAACAAAGATAGTTGAGTTTATGGGAGTGCCAGGAGAAGTGTGGTTGCAGTGTGGTTCAACTCCCAGAACCTACCTGTGACATCACCAAAAAGTTGCAAGTCAACCCTCGTACCTACTAGCAATGTTTCAGTACAAAAATGTCAACGTTTTTTTGACAGTGAGTCAGTTGGAATTTGCTCACAAATTCTGATTGCCTGGTTCCTCTCCTACACACATGTCCCCTGAAATAAAGGTGTTAAGTATTTTTCCACAATTCAAAGTACTAGTCATGGCAAACATGCTGCACTAAAACACAAAGGAAACTCCTAACAGTCTGTTGCAGTGAAGCCTAAATGGTTCAATTTTAATAAAAACCTCATCCTTGACAAGGCAAATAGCCAATCATAACTTAGAATCAGATTTCTATTGGGGTTGATGCCACCCCGCCCCCCCTGTGGACAGACCCTGTGGTTACATTTCACTGCAGTGATGCAAGAGCAGCATGTGAGCACAGCTGCATGTTTGTTGTATGGCCCTGACTCCATGTGGCCAGTTTAGAAACTGCAAATCAATGCTGCTTTGTTAATCACTGCTGCACTTTAAATGACACATAGTGAGTTGTTGATGTTGCACAAGGACGTTTGGCTTTTTGAAACCTGTTGCATCAAGAACCAAATATTTTCTCTTTTTTTTCTCTCAAACCTACAAATTAAACTCTAAGACAAGCATGAAAATAATGTTTGCATTTTTTGCATTAAGTTTTTAAATCAATATTCAATAAAATGCAAAATAAATAGTGAAATATTAATTAAAGTGTGCATGAAAGAATAACACCAATGTGATAAAGCGTCCATTTTAAGCGCTGATGGTTCTGCAGTGGCAACACAATTCTCATAAATGCTATCATAGCATTAGCACTCAAAGTGGAGTCATTACAGGGGCTTAAGTCCACAGGCAGAGGCATAAATAACCATTTAATTAGCCTCACATGGTCATATGGAAATGGCTCTCAAGTAGGAATGTATGCTGTGCACAGTGAAGAAAATTGTGCAGGCACTTAGCCACTGTTTGCTCTCTCTGCACTTAGATTACAGAAGTATGCTCCAGCTGACTTTTACCTGCACATTCACCTGGTTGAGTGAGGAAATGGTGGATCAAACAAGACATATGCAGCAGACCAGATTTAATCAATCTGATCAAGATCTTCAGTTTTTATTTTTTTTAAGGGTGGTGTGTTTCATTTTAATGTGATATGGTACATATTCAAATGTGAAATTTACACATTTATCTCAGCTGGGTCAAGGTTCGACTGTGAAAAAAATGTAGTTATATACTCAAAATAAAGAAGATGGCACGCTGTTTAGTCCTCATTTTCATTCAACGTGTCCTCAAAACAGATTTGGCAGAAATCAGCCATTAACAACACAATAAATCACAGCCTTGAGGAGTTTACTGCAACATAACACAGTCTGTTAAATTTTCAGTTGTTGTTCTTTTTGAGGTAAAATGAAAATCACAATCAAAGGATGTGTGATTAAAAAACAACAACTTTTGAATTGTTTCCTAACTGGGAGTAAATTCAGAGAGGGGCGTGATTCCTTTTACATCCATTCACTTCTCTACTTCCTCTTCAGCGTCAGACAAACAGAAATCCTTTTAGAGCAATGACACAAACATTATTGTATAATATAAATGAATGCAAATATACTGAATTTTACAGCTCCTGTAGGAGGATTTTTAAAGGGTTATAAAATAAAGTGTGTACTAACACAGGAATTTTTTATCTCTTTTATTTTGAACCAGAAAGATATTTTGTTAAAAAATGCTACTTACACATCTACTAGACGAAATCACCGAAGAGACCTTAAGTTCTACTTTCATTCCACAAAAGGGAATTACTGACAGAGATTTACTCAGAGGGGGGTTTAAGGTTAAAGTCGTATTTCATAGAGTGGTAAAGCTCCTACTTTCATCTCCAATAGTCCCAAAGATGTCTCTCCCAAAGATGCGTCTTAAAAATCACTGCATACCTAAACAACTACAATACACTATATTATCACCAGTCTGCTTTTGCTTTTTGTTCCAAATCAGTTATAAAACATGGGCAGCAATAAAGTTACACTAAACATATTAATGCTGCAGAGTGATAACATGTTTGCAGCTAACAGTAGTGTATCTTGAATACAGATTAACTAAGGTCATTTAAGGTTCTCTGATTTGGGATTTTAAAGGTGACTGCATTGTCAATGAATAATACAAAAACAATCAAATGTATTTAAAATCTGATCTCTAAGGACTTGCAGAGGAGACAACTGATTATTATAATTTGACTACAATGACAAAGCAGGCTTGAATTTGTGGTACATGGTTCAGAAACGATACATGGTCTGTAAAGCATCACACATTGGAAAAACAGCAGATTGGGTTTTCAGGTGTGTGTGAGTAAAGAAAAAAGATTTAGTCGTCTTTCTTTATGACTGTGCTTTGAGCCTCCTCACTGGAAGATTTTGTGACCTTGCCCATGATGGAGAGAGTGTGTGTGCATCCCAGCAGGCGCTCCTGTTGATTGGACGGGCCCGGCTGGCTCAGAGTATCACTGCCCTTTATCTCGTCTCTCAGCTTTTTCACTTGGCCTTATAGTTGCAACACAAACACACAAATGCTTTGCAAATGATTCATGGTCAAAGATTTGTATCAGAAAAAAAGCAGAGAGTCTGCATTAAATCACACATGTAAAAAAGAAAAAAGCAAGTGTAGATCCGTAGCCTGAAAATTATCCACAGTTAAGGCTCTGTGATGCAGTTGCTATGGCAACTATGATAGAAATAGACGTGTATCTGCAAGGGAATGAAATGTATTGAACTGTTGTTTAGAAACTGAGGGAGATTTTACACTTATGATTGACAGCTTTACTGACTGCATAGAGATTTGTGTGTTTGTGAGATTCACACTTTTTTTAACACTTGTGCATTTGTGTGTCTTTGTGTGTGCATGCGCCATGTCTTTTTAAGTGTGTGTGTGTGTGTGTGTGTGTGTGTCTCTGCAGTACATTAAAAGTGCAGCACCATGGATGGAGGTTATAGGGCACGTCATTATGATGGTGGGAGAGTGTTGGTGGGTCTGCGCTGCACTCTGTGGCCCCTGTGTGAGAGCAGATAAGCCCTAGCAGAGACAACACAATGCATTTAATGGGATGGGATTCTGATTGTAGCACCTCTATTGTTGTGCTAGCCGTGATGATGTTGCGAGTGTATCGTGTCAAACATTACCCAATGGCCAGATATTATGGTAATGATTTAAATGGCTTTTCTTTGTGGGGAATGATAAAGGATCTGTGTTTCAGCATTAAAGGACCATTATAGATTTAGAAAGTGTTATCCATTGCACTGAAATCTCACAATTGTGGGTTTTTTTTTATCTGTTATTGACTGATTCATTTCTTCTCCATATTGCCTTTGTACCGTTGCACCTTCATCACTCTTCCAATTCATTCCCTCTTGAAGTAAGAACAAAGGCTAGTAATAAAAAAACGCTTTGTAAAGGCATGCAAAAACTGCATTTGCATTGTTATTACAATCTGATAGTTTATGGTAGAAATTGGTGAAATTCAGTGAAATGGCAAAAGCTTTGGAGAGAGGGTGGGGAGTTGGAGGGATGTGATGGAGAGAGATGAGGGAGGGGGTGCAGGAAAATGAGTGTGTATGCATTTTCAAGGCGGTCTTTCTGTTGCAAGAAGAAGAAAAAAAAACAGGAAAACGAACAGAGTCGAGCTGCTGATGAAGGCATGCAAATGTGATTTAGTGGCGGAAACTGACGCTAGAGATCTTAATGTGTCGGTGGAGGCTTCAGGGATGGCAGTGTGTTTCATTTTAGTTGGAGAAAGGTGGAATCACCTCAGCGGTGTGTGAAAGAGGGGAGAGAGAGGGAGAGTGAGAGTGAGTGTGAGAGAGAGAGAGGCGAGGGAACAAGAGGGGAGGGGGCGGGGGTGTATGGACCTTACTGCTACGGGACCTACAGGCACCCCGATTGTGCTCTGCTCTCATCATTTTTGGACGTGAGGACAAAAGAAAAAAGGGGGATCGGAAGAAAGGCCCGGGATCTGAGTGTCGTGACGGGCCCCCCGACTTCGCCGCCGCTGGTCGGGGTTGTCTGGACTGAAAAGGGTGAAGGAAAAGCGGCGGAGCGGTCCACTCGAGACTGGGGTTTCCTGCCACAGCAGCGGGATTGTCACAAAACAGCCTTTCAGTATTTCGAGGGGCCTTGTATTGCTACGTTTTCAGGTAGAGTATGTTAGCTAGCCTCTCTCTCTCCTTCTCTCTCTCTCCCCCTGACTGACTGACATGCCTCTCCCTGGTAACGTTAGCTCTGTTTATTCAAAGGAAACCGTCACCCTGCGTTATATTTTTGTAATGCAGCCTCGTCTCAGCTCTCTTATGCCTGCTTCCCCATTTACTTTGAGCCTTGGTGAATTTGTGAGGGGGAAAACATCTGCACCTAATCACCTCTCTTTTGTAGCTGCTCGGCTGTCTCGTGCCTTTAGCCTGCTGTAACTAACGTCTCATGCACGCTCACTAAATGCTCGAAATAAACGCAAATTAGCCATCTTGCTAAGATGCTAAGTGGCGCTTTATAGCTTAGTTAGCTCCCACGTATGCGACTACTTCGCTGATATAATATGCAGTTTGTGAGGTATGCGAGCTAACGCTAACCTTACAAAGCTTAAATAGGTTGCACTACAAGGCTAAATGTACTGCGCATAACGTTACCTTGCTACTGGCTAATGTAGCCTCTAGAGCTATGCTACAAAAAGCCAGTGTGTTAATGACTGTGAGACGACAAATCATGAGAATATCAAGGAGCTGGCGTTTGATAGTTATCTGCAATAACACTGCGTATGCTGTAATCAATTAGGCAGCTCAGCCATTGATTGAATTACTGACAGACTGCACTGAGCTAATTTTAATGAATACTGCACTCCTCTGTATACTGTGAGCTACTGACCCCCTAAATGTGACACCTGAACAAAGGTTACAAGATGTGAAATGTTTGTTTGTGTAGTCTATGGAAGCCTTAAGCAGACATGAATCTGTAGGTTTTATTTAGTTGAAATCGTGGTATAACATCATTATGATCAGACCCTGGGATGTCCCCAAACAACTAGTTCATAAGGTTGTCTAAACTGGAGTTTAAATTCTAATGAATTAACCAGCCCAAAGGTAAATAACCACTCAGAAAATTGCCAAAATTGAGCACAAGTTATCCAACATGGCTAAACAGGAGATCACAGAGTCTGAGGGTAAACAATGTCAAATTGTTTTGCAGAATGTAAAGGGGCATCTTGCCTTCAGATGTACTTGCAGGTGAATGTCCTCAAACTTGTGCTTGTTATACTTTAGCATGTTTGGGTATTTATTTTCTGTATTAAAATTCTGACAAACAGTAGAACATTTCATCAATACTTTATTACATCTGGGTAACAGAGCAATTAAAGGATTGTGGCAGTAGAAAATAACTGTAGCTTCAACATTGGCTAATTCTGGATTGCTGCACTATAGCGTAGACACAACATGTTACCCAAATTTCAGGCCTTAAATAATAAAAATATCTAAATCATTAAATCTGTTAATAATTCTGGTGACAATGTTTTGTTCTTTAGTCAACTAAGAGTGCACAACTTATAACTGCAATATTATCACAATAGTTATCAAAAACAAACAAGCTTCTAGTCAAATTAAGGGAAGCCTAGATAAGGAGTACTAAATGTCATTATTAAATGTCATTTCTAGCAATGTTGAAAGTTAAACCAGACACAGTCTACTTACAATCTTTTCTCCATTTCTAGATCAAAGTACCGACAAACCACATGGGGCTACAAGATGCTGTCTGTGCTTGTTTACATTCATGTAGTAAAGCATTTTAGCTTTGTGGCAGCAGCCGTGACTACTGCTAGTTAGCGCTACAGCTTAGTCACAACCTATCGCTAACATCTGTAGCCTACCATGATAAAAACTGCTGTTCAATATCTATAAATATGAAACCGCAATCAAATAGTAATAGAATTATTCTGCAATAATTGTAAAATTGCAAGACAGTCTTACATGGTATAACAGAATACAGACTGCCTCTAAAAGGTACAAAGCGCCACCCTGAAAAGCCATGAAGAAGAGACACAATGAGTCAGATTTGTAGGGCGGTCTGTTAAGAGTGCCTCAATATTTTGACATTAATTTAATAGTGTTTAATGATAGCCGTACAAGACTTATATTGCAGAAATCAGGGTGATGACATACTGGCATATGGATGATTTTTCCAACCCCTATAATAACGATTTAAACAGTGAGGGCTTGTTATGTGTACTTTAGAGTCTACACTGACACAACAAAAGTCACCAACATGTGTTAGAGCCATAAAACATTTAACTGTGTGCCCCAGGCTGACAATAGAGCCTCATGTCACACAGGGCAATTATGGCTACTGACCTCATAAAGGTGGCGTCATCCCTTTAATTATCACCCATAACAATTAAAACCCATTAAAACAAGTAAAGTGGAGGAAAGTTAATGGTCTTGAGTCTCATTGTAAAGCAGTGGGAGATGGGCTGCTTCTGTCCTGGCTCATCGAGGTTGTTTGTTTACATGTGAGGTAATGTTTGTGACCTTGTCCATGCTGCTTTGTTGCCTAAACTGGATGCTGCTGCAAACACACTTTTCTGTCCACCAGTTCTGTTTGTTATCAGTCTGAGGGGACAGCTTAGTTGTGTATAGTTAAGGCTCCAGCTGCACTAAAAGACATGCTCTCAGTGCATATGAAAGTAAAGGTGTTGATAAGAGGCTTGCAAAGCTTTTTAAGGACAGAAGGAAGTCGAATGAGAAGTGTGTGCAACAAGGACAAAATGTCAACACTGTTGCAGTTTGGTGAATCTGTTCATGATGGTGTTTTGGGATTACTGAGGAAGACAGGGATTGTTGTTTTTATCAGTAGTATGTGACCCTGGATCAGTTTTTCTTTCTCTGCGAACACAGCCAAGAGTATTTAGAAATAAGATCAGTATTTGGAATAAGATAAGTTATACAAAGTCTAAACAGAGGTTTCAAATCTAATTTTACATGTCCAGTTTTTGTTACAGTTGTAAATATATTGAAATTTGCCCCTTAATTGTTTAAATGTATTCAAGAATACTCAATAATCTTGATTTCAAGGAAAAAGGCTTTTCAGTTTTATTGTGTAGTCATGGTGCATTCCTCTTGATTATTATTGAATTACAACAGCAGATGCAGTTGCATGCTAACTTTTTGATCCCTCTTTTGTATTTGCAGAGTTCTGAAGGCGTCTGGTCAGCAGCTCCAGGAAAAAGGACTTATCTGCATGGAAATACTAAAGAAAAACAGAACAGGAGCTTGATTTGACTGAACTTGAAGTGGAATAAATGGATTACCCTCCTTTTGGAAACTTGTTGCCATGGAAGTAGGTAGAATCAAATGATGGTTGACAGAAAAAAACAAAGGTAAGGCAGCGACACGCTGAAGATACAGGGGAGCACCGAGAAGAATCCAAACACTGTCAAGGAAAGAACAATTATTGAACAGGGACCAAAGACTTCTGCAGTCCTAATGAATGCATGCAGTAGCAGAAAACTAAAATCAGTATTTCAAGGGGAATGACCAAGAAAAAGAACGTCTCGAAAAGTATTACACTTTGTATCCAAGAGCTGATGAGAATATCAATGGAGTGTTTGCCTCTGGGAGTGTTTAGTGAGAGTCTGTATTCAGACCTCTTGATTCGAGTTACTGCAGTTTTTGTCTCACACAGGTGTGAGTCAGGTCCTGGCAAACATACGGATGAACTGAAGGATTTTGACCAAACACAGTCTCAATGGTTTTATTGAGATTTTTCCCTCTTTTTTTTTTTTGCTCAAGATGCTGTCGGATTGTAACATAATTTAATCCTAGCATAGCTCTGTTTACTGAGCTGTTGTTGCAGCAAAGGTGACAGTATATATGTAAAGACATTTGAGATTGAACATTTCACACAGTGATGCTTAAGTCGTCTGTGATATCATCACCTGCTCAGTGCCAAAACTGCTCCAGCTTCATTGAAAGGACTCAACACTTTTAGTCGTGCATTTTTCTGCAGCGAAAACCCGCTTCATCACACTGCTTTTTTCTGTGTGGAAATTTTTTCAAGTGAACCCTTTTTTTTGGGAAGTGATAACCCTTCTGCCATCACATTGACGATTTTTACCATTTGGCATTTTCATATATTGACAAAATCATCAGCTGCTAAACCTCCATACTTACATTCTTTAAACAAAAAAACAAGTCATTATCATTTGTGACATATTCTCCGGCTTGAAGTCCCTCTTGGATTTTTAAAGCATTACCCTGCTTCACTGCCAGGCCGTAGACTCTCTTGTCATTAACAGTTACTGCCATAAGCCTTCCCGTTCTTGATTAGAAGCATTCCCTCTTACAGACGCTGACAGACATTTTCATTTTTAACTGAAACTTGGAGCAACAATGCAGAATTTTTCAAACAGTCCGGCTCCACCCTCTCTCCCCCCGGGGTTCAGTGGGAGGGCTGGAGGGGGACCTCTGTATCCCCCTCAGCCAGCAGAACCTCAAATCTCTCCAAGGATGACAGATGATTACGCAGGGATGCAACAGCAGAGCCTGCACAGAGGCCATCACCACCCAGGTCAAGCCAGCCACATGCTCGCTTACAGTGCTAGAAACAGAGGAGCTGTGGAGCCAGCGCCAACACAGGGGAACATGATCAGCGGCAACACTAGCAACCCTTATAGGAAGGATGTCATGGATTACTATTTCTCAATGGGAGCAAAGGACAGGCACAGAAGAGGGGGCATGGGTTATGGCGCTGGATTTGGCTACCCTAGCATGGATGGACACTTACCTCACCAGTACCGGCATGCTGGATCTGGCTCTGCACCATCATCCAGCATCATGTCATATCCAGTAGACTATGGCTCCGCTGCTGGTTCAGGTGGAAGTGCTGGTGCTGGAGCCTTTTCTCCATCACATCAGTACAACATAAGTCAGAATCCTGCAATGCAGTCTGTTCAGGGTTCTCAGATGCAGCACCGCCAGCACAGCCAAACCTTCCCGGCTGTCCACCATGGGCAGCAGCAGAGAAGCTATCCACACTCCGGGCACAGAATGACCCCACAGTACCCACATTACTCTCCACAGGGTGCTCCATCCACGGGGTCATCAGGAATGTACAGCCCCCCTCCACAAAGATATCTTGACGGGGCTGCTGGCACTGGGTTCGATCCTAAAGTCAACAGTTCTGCCAATGTCAACTCCAGTTCAAACTCAGCCTCCAGTTCAGTTGCTGCTAACAATGTGGGGCAAATGGAGAATGTTCAACAGGGTTACCATGCTGCAAATTATCCCGGATATCCCGCGCAGACACACTCGCTTCACAAGCAAGCTGCACTACAGCACCGCAACTCACAGCACAATTTAGGGGTAGGTTATGACAACTCTCTCAAGATGCAGCACCAGGGCCCGTCTCCAGGAGCGGTATATGCTAAACATCATCAAGCCTCTAATGCCAGTATACCTCAAGCGGCGTCTCTAGAAATAGCCAAATCCCCGATGCACCCAAACACTCAACAAACCCAAATTAACCAAAACTTTACCCCAATATCAAACCCATCTCCTGTTGCCTCTGCAGTACACTCCCCCAGTTGTAGCTCATCTCCTTCTCCTCTGATGGGGGTCTCAGAGGCGCATGGAAACCCCTCGGGTCATGGTCCTTCGCATCCCCAGGCATCAAATCCCCGTAGCAGTCATGGTCAGGGTAGATTACTGCAGACCATGCCTCAATTAAGTCCCACGCCTAATTCAAATAGCAGCATCAGCAGCTGTGGTAGCAGTGGCAGTCATAAGACTCACAGCATGAGTGCAGTCGGAGGGAGCAGCCACCCTCCAACAGGTCGCAACAAAATGGGACTAGGGGCAAGTATTGGATCTCGAGAGGAGAGCTCTTCTGTTTATTCAGCTTCTCCACTTGATAAAATGGATTCAGGCCTGAATAGTCTTAATGCCTTGAGCTCACAAGTAGCCAATTTGCCAAACACAGTGCAGCACATGCTCCTCACTGACACCGTGCTTTCACAAAAGAGGGGGAAAGATGGGGGGCAGCTGCAGCATGCAACACACGGTATGCCCCCGTCGCAGCCGAGGAGTCGAAATGCAAGTGCGGCCTCCAGTACCAGCACAGTTAGGGATGGATGTGCTGTGGGGATTAGTGATGCTGCCAGCCTAGATACTGGTGCTGATGAAGACTCCTCACTGTTGTCAGTTGGGGCTTCATCAGGCACCAAAGTGGAGCGTGAGGAGCAGTTTTCTGAGGGGGAACATGGGAGGGTAAGACAGATGAGTGGCGCAAGCAGCGAATCTGAACCAGTTGGTTATCAGGCTCCATCACAAACAGGACAAGCATCAAATGTTAAAACCATCACATCGGATTTATTGTCAAAAGAAACAAAAGTTCCTGATTCAAAAGCAAATGAAGCTCCTCCTTCATCATCTCCATCAGAGACCGGCCCAAAATCACACCCAGCACCTCCAGTCTCCTCCTCCCCATCGTCCACCTCATCCAGTAATGTTCCTCCACAGCCAAACTGTGTTTCAGAGCCCGGTTTAACCTACAATGACCACAAAGGTGGACATAGAAAGGCAACAGAAATAAAAAATGAAAGTGAAGATACATACGGAAAAACAGAGAAAGGCAGTGGTCAAATGCAACAAGATGGAGATGGAGACGTAAACACACAAAACGGTCAGGCCAAAGAGAATAGGTTGCACACTGCCTCCAGATTACTCAATAATGAAAGTGAAGACAAGTTCACATCTGAGGAGCAGCAGAGTGTCAGTGGTGTTGGTGTGATTGTTTCAGCGCGGTCTGATGGAAGTCTCTCAGATAAAAACAAGCGCTCTCAAGACAACTGTATAGAAGAGAAACAGCCACATTCATTCTTCAAAGAGTCCACCAGTCACAACGGAGAGGAAGGTATGGATCTTAGTTTATATTCCTCTCTTCACCAGAAATCAAATTTTGGACGGACTCCTCCCCAGTCTGGGCCACACAAATATGGCCACCCAGAATCGACATATGGCTCAGATTTGTCAATGAGGAACAGAGGACGGGCTGGACTGGAATCAAATTCCAGATACTTGGGGTACCAACAATCACAAACTAGCTATGGCTCTGTACAACAGAAAGAAAGTGGCTCTGCAGCCGAGGCTTTGGTAAAAAGAGGGCAAGGAGCAGGTGCCAAAGGCCACGAGGAGAACTCCCAGATGCAGCAATTTCCAAGCCTTTTACAAGAAGTTCTACAAGGTTACAATTTAGATAGACGTTACAGCAGACCTGAACAGGCATTTCCTACACATGTGCAGGTTCAGCAGCAGTTTCAAAGCAGACACCCTTATAGCATGACTGAAGCTATCAGGATGCAAAGTGGAGTTAGTGAAGTTTCAGCTCATTCTACTCAATTGGGAAGCTCTGGGAAGCATCCACAACCAGCCCAGAGGCATGGAAGTGAGCTGGATTTTACTACAGAACCTCAGTCATCAGTAAAATCTGAAGTATCCAACAATAAGGTGACACTAAATGCTGAAAAAACTGAATCAAATGTCTCCCAGAGTCATTTACCACAAGCTACAGAGCCCCAGCCACCTCCAACAAAGCATATTAACCTTGCTGACTATTCTCTACCACAGAGAAAAGCGTTATCCACTACATCCTCTGCTGTGCAGGAACTCCTTTTGCAAGAGCCAGAGCCACTATCAGGCAGCATTGGTCAAAGTGAGGCTCAAAAATCATCAGGCTCCATATTAGCCCCATCAGAGCGGCGCTCAGTTATTTGTGATGTGTCGCCAAACCGACGCAGCACACCAGAGAGGGACAGAGAAAGTGACAGAGAGAGGGAGAAAAGTCAGAGCGGAGCGTCTGTGATACAACAGCCATTTTCCTCTCCAGCAGCAGCCAATGATCTGAGTAAAAAGGAGATTGGGGAGAAACAAGGGGTGAAAATGGAAACGGCATCAAAAGAGGGGAGCGCAGACTCTGCAAATTTACAAACTGACCATCATGGCGGCGGTGGAGCTAATGAGGCTGATATGGAGTATCATTCCAAGTCTGCTCACTCATCTGGAGTAATTAATGCTGACCCCTACAGGCGAGGAAGTGCTGATATGACACCCCTGCCTGCTCATTCTATGAGCTCTAATCCTTTATCTTCACCTCTGAGACATCAGTCCTATCTTCATGGTGTTGATTTGTCAGCCAGCAGTGGCAGCAGTTTTCCTGGATACCGTTACGGGGATACAAGAGAAGGGAATATGATGCCACGCGGTAACCCCCATTTTCCCTCCCACCATCCTTACCACAATTTATCCCCCCAGACTCAATCCCCAAATAAGCTTCAAATGTACCCTCACCCTCGTGGCCCCCCTCACCACCCACATGACATAAGTGACTGGGTAAAAGCGATGAACAGGCCATCAAAGGAGATGATGATGCAGCCTGGTTCATCCCCAGGACGACATAAGGCCAGCCAATCAGAGCAGAGGCAGAGGATGATCCCCCAAACGGACATGCCTGGTGAGCAACAAGCAACAAAAACTTCACTCCATCACCAAAGTGCATACTTTGATTTGAAAATGTGGGAGTCAACACATCCAGGAAGAGAGGGCAGCAGAGTGAAAGAGGGTGATTCCTTCTACAGAGCACAGCCTCCTCCTCCCCCTCCCCTTCCCCCTCCTCCTGCTCCGGTAGCTTCTCACGGCCCTGTTCCTCCACAAATGACTCACAGCCAAAATGCTGCTGAACCTGAGGCCTCCAGAGGAGCTGTAGAGGAAGTCAAACACCCCTGCCCAGCTCCTCCTCCCAGCACAGCTAAGCCTTCAGCTGACATGAACTCCACTCAACCAAAAGTGCAGCGTCAAACTAAAGCTGGGGGTTCAGGAGACACAAATCCGTTGATGTTGCGAAGGCGAGTTCGTTCTTTTATCTCTCCAATTCCCGCCAAAAGGCAACTCCAGGATTCATCTCAGCAGAGGGCTGCCACAAATTCACATCACTCCCCCGTGGCTCAGACGGAGTCTAGCCATTACATTGAAGATGACTCAGCAAGTTCAGATATCCCATGTCCTCGGCTCTCTTCCCCTCTGCTCGGGGAGAATACCTTTTCACAACCTCTGTCTCCGGCAAGCAGTAACACCCGGGTTTTGCCTGCAAGGAAAGGCCGCGGTCTGAAACTAGAGGCAATAGTGCAGAAAATCACTCCAAATATTAAAAAGCCAGCAGGCCATGCTGATGATGAGTCAAATCATTACCACGGTTTCTCTCACCCAGAAATACCACAGTTTAATGATTCACAGGACCAAGACATAGCACACTTCCCCAGGGTGACAGGAGGGGATGATAGCTATATGGATGAAAGTCACTCATTAAACGACATGATCACCTTCAAAGGAGTCGATGACGCCGGGCCTTTACCTCTGTCTACCTTCCCCTGTGACACCCATCAGACATCCCAAACCCTCAAACAACAAGACTTCGATTTTGGATTAGGAGCAGCTGTGGCCTCAGCGTCAGGTGACAAGGAGGACTTTGCTCTGCTCGGACCTCTACCACCTCCACCTCCTCTTCCTCGCCCAGTCCAGGGTTCTCCCCCTCCATCCTCATCTGCTCTGTCAGATATTCAACATTTTACAAACACTTACCAGCAGCTCGAGACACGTAGAGGGGAGCAGTCTGCTGCTAATCTTCTCCGACAGAAACTTCAAGAATCTGGCATAGGATTTGACGATTATCCCAGCAGCGACTATTACGGCACCACCCCGCCCCACCATAGCCAGACTCAAGGGCACATTCTGGGTAGACAGCATCAGATATCCTCTAGTAGGTCCAGTTTGTCACCGCAAGATTCAAAACCACCAGAGAGTGTTGTGCCCAAAGGCTATTTCCCATCTGGCAAGAAGAAGGGCCGGCCCGTAGGGAGTGTGAACAAACAGAAACGGGCCCAGAACCCAGCCCAAGCACAGGCACCGGGCCAGTCTCAAGCTCCGGCTCAAAACACTACTTCTTGTGCTCCCCCAGCTCCTCTAACTCCAACTCCAGCTGCTTCAACTCCTCCTCCACCGGTGCAAGCTATGAGCACATCTGTACCTGTTGCCCCCCCTCTGATAGACACTCAAAACACTCCCCCGCTCGCACCACCTGTTTTAACCCAGGTAGTGAAAGTAGATGTTGAGAGTGAGGACACACAGCCGGAGATCGAGGTCAAACCTGTGAGGAGGAGACGCAAAGGTGTGAAAGATGAAGATGACCCGCTGGAGGCAAGAGGTCGACAGAGGAGGAGGAGGAGGAGAGGGGCGACGGTGCCGTCAACATCAGTTGCTAAAGACGATACAGACACACTTTCGGGGGCAGGAGGGAACTTAAGCGCAAATAGAGTTCTTGTTGATCCAAATAGAAAAGGCCTGTTCATTCCGCACATACATGTGGAGAAAAAGATACCAGAGATCGGGGCAGTGTGCACCATTGTAAATGCTGAGGAGGATAAGATGAAAGGAGAGCGGAGTGCAGTTGGGGGGAAGGCGAGCGGGAGTGGAATTGATTCTCTCCTGACCTCAGCTCTTTCGTCCCAGTTATCTCGGAGAGACAGAGAGACGGAGAAAAGAGAGACAGACGAGGTGGAAACTACACTTCAGTCAGGGAAAGCGCTCCCTTCATCTGGCTATGTTGTTTCAGGCCCTGTGATTACAGAGACCAATCACTCCGGCCGTCTGCTTTGCTGCCTGTGTCAGAAATGGGCAAATTACAAACACCTCGGAGATCTCTACGGGCCCTTCTATCCAGCTGAATATGCAGCAAAGCTCCCCAAGAACCAGCCCCAGGTCAGACAATGTCTGGCAACCACAGGAACAAACAAAACCGGACCAAATTCAGACATAAGCTCAAACTCTTTGAGCTCTTTCCAGGACACCCAAACACAAGATGCTCAGTTTCCCAAGCCCTTCAGTGAGAGTTACTATTCCATGGGCCTCGATTCAAACACATCGTCTTTTGAAGCTGCTATGAGATGTGCCTCCATAGCTAGTAGAGAGGAAACAATGATGCACATACCTTCCTGGTCCTCCCCCACCACCAGTAACCAGAGACCAATGTCTCTAACCTGGGATATGAACCTGGATATCAGGCCCATACCTGAGCTAAAGAGGGAGCCAGACCTTGACGTCAACCAGCAACAGACTCAACAGCAGCCCCCAGAAGAAGCCCAACAGCGACCTCAACACAGAAAGCTGACCTCACACCCCCGCTTTAAAAGGAGGCACAAATCCAGCGAGGATTCTCCCAGAATGGTGCCATCCAACAGCAAAGCATCCCTGCCCTTCCAGCCTCCTCCCCCAGCTCTGGACTCTTTGGGTCCCCTGGCACAGCTTGCCCAGCTCCCTCAGATGCCCATGGACCCGGAGGAGCTTTGGGTCCATGAAGGATGTATTGTATGGACCAGTGGAGTGTACCTTGTCAATGGGAGGCTGTATGGCCTGCAGGAGGCACTAGATGGCGCCAGAGAAACAGTGAGTGCCCCCTGTTTTTTTCTGACCTCGATTTGTTTTGGAATGTTTCAGTTTTATGGGATGTTTGCAGGCATCTAATAAAGACTCACTGTGTTAATTTGTGTTATAAAGATACTGAAATCAGTAAAACTGCTCTACAACAGGCATGTCTCATGACTTTTCATAGAGGCCCAGTTTATAAAAAGTAAAGTGCTGAGGAGCCAAACATAACCCTAATGCTAACAATGCACCTCTTCAATATAACAATGGAGAAGGTGGTTGTTTCAACAAGTGTGATCTGGCGTTTGAAATATTTCTTATTCAGTTTGGATAAACCAGATTGACTCTTGGGACTGCATGGGCTGCCAACTGAATTTGTGTGCTCTACAAAATAGTATTCGTTGGGTTGTAAATACATTGATTTCTATCATTTTGCATAGACTTCAGTTAGTTTTTACTCTTAAAAAATTGCTTTTTGTAAAACAGATCCTGCAATAGAAGTGAGCTTTAAGAATTGTGATCCATTGCATCCCTAGTTTTTACAGCAAGCAGTCTGCATGTGGACGTGGCTTGTTGATGACGGTGATCCAAAACTATGACAGTGCAGAATGACATTACTGGCAACCAATACATAACTTAAAAAAGGACAGAGAAAGTGACAGAGAGAGGCAGTAAAGTCAGAGTCATAAGTCATAACAGAAAAAAGGTCACGATTATACATGGTTGAAGGGAAACGTACTTGGAGGGCCTGCTCAGGTATCATCTATGCGTAGGAAACACTTGCTGCACTAGTTTAAATCTTGTCCTTCTCTCTGTCTTTGCTCAGTGCTGCTCGTACTGTGAAACGGTCGGCTCAACCCTGGGCTGCTACAGTAAAGGCTGTACACTACGCTATCACTACCTGTGTGCTATTGAAGCAGGTGAGTGGATTCATTTAACACAGAACTATGCTCCTTTATATAGGAGCTGGATACCCTGCTAAAACATAGATATTGTTTCGTAGTCTGTTCAGTATTTTTTGCATATTTTCTGTCCCTTTTTCAGATTGCTCTCTGAATGAAGATAACTTCTCATTGCGTTGTCCGAAGCACAAGGTAAAGAAAGAGAGGTTGGTTTTTCATATTGTTTTCAAGGAACTTTTCTTTGTGTTTTTTAGTGAAAGTCTTTTCCGTCTGCCTTTCTCGTTTCTCACACCCCAGTCACAGACCGAGCTGTTAAACTTCATTTCTTTCAATCTCTTTCGCTAACCCCAGCAATTTTCTTTCACTCTTTGTTTCTTTCTCTTACCTCTCCCTCTTTTCTTCTCTCAGTTTACCCAGAGCATCCGGCCCGCCAAGTCAGTTTACCTGGAGCAGTCAGAGAGAGGCTGAGAGAAACTCAGAAGAACAGGAGATGCAGGAGTCTGGGTGCTGTAAGTGTAGACCAGTTTTTCATGTTTTTGTCTCTGTATTTGTGTAGCATACAGTCTGTAACCAGCACAGGCATGTAGGCATTAACCTGAAAGGATATTAAAGGTCGGTGGTTCTAGCTCTGCAGAGGGTAGCTGAACACAGCAAACCAATTATACATTGTTAAGTTCTGCAATCTTTTGTTTGGCCAAGTTAAAAAAATGTTCTCAATTTTGACTGTTTTCCAAGTTTTTATGTTAGACTACTTGTTGAAATTTGGATTTTTGTTAAAACAGGAAACTCATGGCTTTAGAACATCTCCTATTTTTTATGAAAGGTAACTCATGCTGACTAAAATGCTGGAAACCATTGGAAACTACCTAAATGAAATAAAATCAAATTCAATGACCGGAAGTACCCACTTTTAAGTCATTACTCAAACAAAATAAGTATTAAGTAAGTACATTTCCACACTGACGATAAAGTCTTTATTATAATACAGAAAGAAGATTAGTTTGATAGTGAGTCATATCTTAATCGATAACCTGAAAGGTTTGTGACTTGAATCTGTGTAGATGACTTGCTGTATCACTTCTGGTTTGTGGTTGTATGCCATTTTTCACTTTAGGCAGCTCACAGCTCACTGCGGCCTTCAAACTGAAAATATTGATCCCAGGGGAAAAAACCTTGATCTGATTGTGTCCCACCACAATCCTGATTCTTTAGTAAAACAATTTTACCCTCAACCCTGGTCTAGAGATGTGCTTTACTGAGCTGTGAAAGAGGTAACTTTTACAAAGCTCTGGTTTATTTGTCGTTTTCAAATCCAGCCTTGAGTTACAGCGTATTTTAAGTTTACCTTAGACTCCAAAAAGTAAACACAAATATTATTATTAATCAATGATTTTTGAGGTGCAAATCAAGGTTTGTATGATGGACATTCACCCAGCATGTGTATAGGTGGAAGTGATGAAGCTAACCACCAGTTATGGTTGTTGTTTTTTTCCATTTTTCTTCTCTCAGGTTGGTTTGGACAGTAAAAGGATGAGAAGGGATGTGGTTGTGAAGCAGCCCCAAATGTGAACGGACAGGACTGGCATCTGTGTCTGAACAAACCTTCAAGGGAATGTAAAATTTCTCAACAGGAATCAGCATTATTTACGTTGAAGACAACGAAGAAAAGATACAGTTTTTTTTTTAAAAAAAAAGAAGTATTTGCTTTTCTCCTTAAACGCAGAAAAAGAACAAAAACATGGACATGCAACTTTAAAGGAGCGGATCTACGATTTAAAAAAAGAAAAAACAAAAAAGATGGATGAGGAGTAAAACAAGACGTCAAGGCAGACGGAGGAGCTGAAGGAACTTTCCTGTAAAGAACAAAAGACACAAACTTCCTCTCTAGGCTCACTATGATTTTCCTCAGATATCCTCAAAGTGTTCAACTCTTCATATCTTTTTTTTTTTTCTGGCTGTCTTTTCATCTCTAGACGAGGTTTCGAAGCAAACCTGGAGAAGAAAAGGAGATTTTTGTATCTTCTCACACACTTGTAGTATTTTATCTTATATTAGGATGACCACAAGTATTATTTTAGTCCTCATTATTATTATTATTATTATTATTATTTTGTATCCTCATTATTTACTCATGAAAATGAAATGGATGTATCTCACTTTAAACACGTTATCAGATTTTTGTTTTTTTCATTCCTGGAGAGGGAGGCGGAGCCAGAGCGACGTCGTCTGGAATGTCAGGGTCGCAATTTGCCACAAAGACATTATTGCCTTGGAGAACGGACATTTGTTGCCTTTCAAAAAAGTCATGTGAATGAATGAAGAGAGAGTGTGAGTGTGTGCGTGTGAGAGAGAGAGAGAGAGAGTGGAAATATCTGGGTCTTTGATTCCATTTTTTGGTCCTTTTGAAAAGTGTTCTTATTTTTCATCGCTGGGGTTTTTACGGTACAGATAGTATTCACGAAAAAAAATCAGACGGACACAATCTTATTTTTCAAAAACAAAAAATGTGCGAAGAGAAGGACAGCCTTGAAGGAGGAGGAAATAACACTACGGACTAATGTGTTGGCCATCTTTGACAGCGCTGACTGGAACTGCGTTAAAGGATGGGACACGGAGGAGTTGGAGAGGTTTTGCAAAGGAAGCTACGTTAAACTGACAGGTGTCAAAACCGAAAACTTTGGAGAGAGTGTCATGTGAGCGGCTGTGACTGGCCAATCAGAAGCGAGCCTTACCAAGTACTTTTGAATGGTTGGAGCGATTTGATTGGAGGAAACAAAAATCCATTCAAAAAAAGCATTGCCATGAAATTTAACAAAACGAGTCGTACATGGTGTTGTCTTTATCATTTTTTATTGTTATTCTTGTAAAAAAAAATTCAACAACAAGCTGAGAAGAAGACAGTTACACTATCAAAACCATGCTGTATCAGAAACCTGTCAATATGTATATGAATTATGAATACACCGAAAAAAAATGCTCAAGAATTCCTCGCTTTTCATTCCTAAAACAGTTTGTTACTTTTTTTTTTCAATTTAATTTGACAATCTCCCGCCCTAAATGTGTTCTCTACTCTTACTTTCCTACCGCTCTCTTTGTTGCACATGTATTCTCACATTTACAAGCTTTTTCTGTCTCTATTTCTGTCATGTACACGCTCCTGCACTCCCTCTTGTTCCTCCATCTATCCTATTTTCTCAGCTTGAGAGGAGAGCATATCAACCACATTCAGACACTCCAGGCTGTATTCAAAAATTGGGTTGTGTTTTCTTTCTGTTGAGTCTAAAATTGGTTGAACCAGGTCAAGTAGTGTGTGTTTCTGTCAGTCAGTGTCTGAAAAGGAAAGGCTGTGAAGAGTTCGATGAAAATAACTGTTCAGCTTCAGCGCCAAAACAGGAAGTTAAACTAAAACATCTGATTTCCATGAAGCTCAAATTTCTGTACAATGCAAATAACAAAAATGTGACTTTGTGAGAAATGTGAGTAAAAAAAGAGTTGGTATTCTGCAAACCACATTAACCCTGTAGATCATTTAAAGGGGCACAAAGTCAAACCATCAGATGTTGAAACTGAAAAAATCTATTTATTTAAAAGATTATACATGCTCTGTTTCAATTTGATGCCAGCTGTGTGTTTCAAAAAAGTTGGTACGAGGCATGTTTTCCATTGTGTTGCCTCTTCTTGAGGCAATACTGGAAACATTTAGTAATCAAGACCGGGTCCTAAAGTGAAGGAAGCAACGAGTTGCCCCATTGTTGCCTGAAACAGGATTTTAGCAGTCCAACAGTTCTGGGTCTACTCAGATGTATTTTTTCTCTCATGGTGTGCCAAATGTTGGCAAGCTGGCACTGCTGTCGGGCCAGTTCAGCGCCAGGACTCTTCTGCTACAGAGCCGGGCTGTTGTAAAACTGACTGCTTTCCTGAAGGGTCATGGTCTGGCCGGCAGAGTATGTTGCTTTAAACCTGTTTTTATTGTTCAGTGTTGATGGTGTCATTCCAGATGTGTAAGCTGCCCTCACCTTTGGATACTAGCTCTTGAACTGTGTGCTGATAGGTAGTGGTTTTGTTCTTCAGAGTGGAGGATAGGGTATCCAGGATTTCCAAAAAGTATATCAAAATTTGATTGGACAGGCCTTAGGGCAGTTTTCAAATTAGCTTCAGTCCATCTAATGTGGGTTATGTCCAGAAAGGTCACCAGCATTTCTGGACCATGGTTTGATATGGTTTCTCTTTGTGTGGTACATTTTTAACCTCCTTCTTTTGGATGCGGTAAAAACCGTGTTCACAGACAATTGTTGTCGGATACCCATGCAGTGATTTCCACTACAGAGTCATGTCTGTGTTTAATGCAGACATAAAAATCATGGCCATCCAGTGCTGTTTTTGGGCCTTGTCTCTTTTGTACAGAGAGTTCTCCTGATTCTCTGAATCCTTTGACATTAAGATTGTTGAAGTTGGCTGATATAGTCCCTCACTGAGAGGTGAATGTCTTCACTTCTGACAGACTCGGCCTCTTTATAATGCCGCTTTTATGCCCAATCATGTTCAAGTGTGATGTTATTTTAACCTTATTAGTTAGGAGATGTCCCTCCAGGGTTTTTTTTTTTTTCTTGCATTGCACATTTTTTCTGTTTCTTGTCCCTGTTCCAACTTTTTGAAAGGTGCTGTTCACATTGAATTGAAAATGTGCATTTACATTTTCATAGAATGACAACATGTTATTGTGACAGCATTTGATTTGTAGTTTTTCGCAACTTTTGATCAACAGTAGTGTTTGAATGATCCAGTAAAATTAGTTTTGAAATAGGGTTTGTATTTGGCAGTAACCAAAGTAACTATAAAAGTTAAACATTTAGATTTGTAGGTGGCAGGACAGCTAAAAAAAATCAAACTTGGAATATTTGTTCACACTGATATTAATAACATTTGCATTGTTAGTTTATTAAAATATCTTTAAACTGAAAGCTTGAATTAGCGCAGAAAATCTTGAAACCTTGAGCAATGCACAAAGGGAGAAATATTACAATACCTCAAAGACTGAGTAGTCAAAGATGTGAGAAAAAGGTCAGGGGTTTCATTTGTGAAACAGAGTGTGGAATCCATACTAAAAATGTGCATATGCTAGAACCCCAGAAATGGTGACTGCACTATTAGTATGTGTACGCAATGATATAAACAAGAACCCAGCTCATGCAATTTTAATTAGTTGTAGTAGAAATAGGAATTTGATCAGAACAACCCAGAAATTTACTTGAATGGGAAGAGTTTGAGCATGTAATATTTGCAATTATATGACAGCAAACTCCAGTTTGGTATTTTATGCTTTAGTTTTGTCTTAAATATCCTGCAGTGCAACTCACGTTATGTTTACATTGGGGTGGCTGGGCCCTGAGAGCCCCCTCTGCTGGAGTCACCTCTCTGAGCTAAAATTTGATCCTGAAAAATGTGGCACAGATGGAGCTCTGTGAAGCAATATTGTCCATGTAGTAATGTGTATCTGACATTTCAAGGTCATGTTGATTTCCACCCTCAAACCATTTATTGCTCATGTTACATTGAGGCTGGGGACGAGGGGTCAGAGAATATGACGGGAGGTGAGTGTTGTGATGAAAATGAGTCTAGGAATGAAAATGAAAACAGATGGAGGAGAGATGTCTGATTTGGATTTAATCAGATGGATTAAAGCAGAGGAGTGTGTCTGTCTGAGGCTGGACCATACAGAGTGACGGTTTGCAGAGGTCAGTGTGACGGCTACAAACCTCCATCAGTGAGGGAGCAGAGGAGAGGATGGTCGTGTCCACCTTCACTTTATCTCAATGAGGACACATTACAGAGAGAAGAGGCTGAGTGAGGTATGTTTCATTCTTACTTTATTTTTCGCTCAGATTTAGAATAGACAGTAATTTTTTTCTGAGAATGAGATCTGTTTTTTCGACCAATCGTCAGTGATCCTTTTTCTTCTTTCAGCTTCTTAGTCTTAAAATGTGATTAGCCGTGTAAAACCATTGTCTCCATTACAATGTGATTTTAGTGATTCAGAAGTGGAGGGGTGTTTGAGGACAGAGAAAACCTTGCGATGCTTGTCCGTGTTAAAAATTGGACATGAAGTGCTGACATTTTATGCTTGATTTCTGCTAATACATGATTTTCCCCCTAGTATTTGTAAAATAATGCAACTAAACCTTACTTTAAAGCTTCACTGAGGAAGTTTGATCTGGACTAGATTGAGCTACGACAGAAAACTACAACATATGTCAGAAGATTTATTTCTGTGTAGTGTTTTTTTTTCATTCTTGTTTGAACTGGTGCCGCCATATCATACATGGTGTTTTTTTAAATATTTGTTTTATTTGCAGTACAGCGGCAAAAAAAAAGTAGAGACATGACAACAGCCTTACAGTGTGTAAAACACAAATTGCAAACTTTTAAGTGACCTTTTCTACTTTTCTTTTTTTCTTTAATGACCGTACCACCATTAACACGCCTGATCTTGTAAAATGAGAGGATTAACATTATGTGGCCAAAAACAGCCACAGCAGCAAAGAGATGACACTAGAGGTACACTTTATGTTTCTTGTTTTGGGAGCCAAACCCAATGCGATTAAGAATGACCAGCGTTTATTAACTGTCGGTGGTTAGATAACTATTTTTTTTAATAGGTTTGTTCTTTAAAATGCACAGTTATCCAGGGGTAAGAAAGGCTGGGACTAAGTAGACATGGAGGAATATTTTTTGCAATCTTTTATGCTAAACAAACTGAGCAGAAATTATTATTTTTAACCCAAAAAACAGAGAGCAATTCTTGCCCCTCAAGTGACCTTCTTTTTGTAAATCCTGTTTGTGCAACAATGTGTTATTCATGTTAAGGTCTGTATACAGCCACTGGGACATCAAACCAAGCGCTCTCATGTAAGAGAACATTATCATGAAGGGTAGGTAGGAATACGTCTGCACTGTCGCAGTGACTGACAGTACAGTTATAAAAACATTATTTGCTGGTAAAATCCTTCCTTTTGATAAAGGTAGTTCATCAAGTGTTGGGAATTCACTGATTTTGTGGTTAGTTGCGTTACGTTTGGGCTGTCATTGCCAAACTGTGCAGCCCTTAAATATTGTTGAATCACTGCTGTGGTACTCAATGGTTTTGTAGTGCTAATGCTAGCTGCAGCGACTGCTGCGTCATTCTTTTTTGTTCTTTTTAATTTTCAGTTTTAGAGCAAACAAAAAAAAATCTATTTTTGTGTATGGAGACAAAAATATACTATATACTATATGAAACGATAACAGAGAAAGGTCAGGGTGAAAGACACTAGTTATTGAGGATACCCAATGGTATAATCTGCAACATAATCAGAACTGATGGAAAATAAACTATCAAGTTACTTCTCAGCAGTTTTGATAATTTAATTTAACTGATGTGTGTCACAAGGTATATGATTTACACTGTTTAGGCCACCCTACTTTCCTGCTTCAAACCATACTGCAACCCACTCCTAACCCAGCTCCTCCTTTTTATGCCGTATTTGTTTTTAACCAATTGAATATACTGAGGGGTCTTTGCTGCTGCTCTACCTGCCTTGGCTTTACACATACAGTCATTAAATGGAGGGTAGTTCAACTGAAGTCTCCCTAAATGGAGGGTCTCCCTGCCACAAGCTTTGGCATTCCATGAATGTACGTGAAAGGGCAGGACGCTCTTAAAACAGAGCCATACTGCCAAATTTCAAATAAATAAATAAATGAGCTAGTAATTTTAAACTAGCTGAAGTAGAAAGAATGAAAGCATTGTGTTTGGTTAAAAAAATATTTTCTTATTTTTTCCTCCCTTAGTTTGTGACCTTGTTCAAACCCCCTTCATCATGACGTTCCTGCAGCAGATGCGTTCCCCCCGCCTCTCCTTCATACAGACAGTTGCGTCCCTCTTTCTGGCTGGGACAGCCCTCATGTCCTCTTACTGGTGTGTCGGTAAACAGAAGGTGCCAAAGCCGCTCTGTTCACCCATCAAACACAGCAACTGCATCCCCGTCCCCGGCCTCTCCAACTCCTCCAACATCCAGTTCTCCTGGGAGACAGGGGACGACCGCTTTGTCTTCCCCACCTTCCACACCGGCCTCTTCATCACCTGTGAGGAGAACATCTACACGGACGCCTGGGGTGAGAAAGCCGGAGTTTAAATTGAAAGATCAGAATCATTAATGCTAACACTTTACAATAACCATAACTTATAAATGTTAAATAGACCATTTATAAATGGTAAGCAGATAGTTTATTAATGTTTAATCATCATTTATAAATAGCATATAGACCATTAATAAATTGTACATTTTACAATTTTAAATACCTAACCCTAACCCTAACTTTACAATAACCATCTAAGTAATGTTTATAGGTGGTTTATAAACCTCTTATTAACCATTTACAAAGTGCTACTGACGCACATTTTAATCTAGATATTTTACAACTAATATTTAAACCCTATATAAACCTTTAAAGAATAGTCCATTAATAGTAAGTCCATTAGTAACTATTAACTTACATTAATAAACTATCTATTTGCCATTTGTAATTGGTCTATATGCTGTTTTTAAATGATTATTAAACAATAATAAACTATTTACCATTAATAAATTATGGTTATTACAAAGTTTTACTGAATTAATATGATTTAAGATGTTCTTAAAGATTTTTCATTGATCAAAAAAGACTAAATGTGTCTGAATACCATGTGAGAATAAGATGTAATTATACAGCTAAAAACCATAAGATACAACACAACACAATACAATGTGATACAATTATTACAACACAATATAATAGGATAATATAGGATACAATATGATACGATATGATATACAACAATACACTATGATGTAGTACCAGATGACAGGATACGATTCAAGAGGATAAGCTACGATACAATATGACAAAATTCTATATTATATTATGATCTATGATATAATAGTAAACTATATGATGGCATATGTATACTACATGATACCATATGATACCCTACTTCCTGTTTACTATTATTACCTTGGCTGTTTTTGTTGCACTTCCTTCTACAGTCAGTTTGCATCCTGATTGGCTATTGTTCTGCTTTATGTGACAATCCATAGAATGCATGCTCGGCCGTCTTCCATGCTGTTCAATCGACCGTATGAAACATGGACAGAACAATAGCCATCCCATGTGAAGCCAAAACTTTAAGAGCTCCCCCTGGTGACTGGCTTTGATGCAGGTTACATGCGCCACCTCAGGGTGACTCATGGATCATGGTTTCTGTAAATATGCAGCTGTGCCAGCATCATCAAGCATAGGGTCTAGCATGTTATCATGATTTTCACAGGAGAGTACATCTGTTCATTTGTGAGGACATCCAGAATTCTTTATAATTCTTTGAAAAACGACAATTTAAAAGAAACTGAAGGTCAAGATGTGCCGCTAGTGACAATGAAAAGAATGAACAAGGTAGAAGAACTTATTAAATGAGAAAGCATTGAACTTAAAACTCAGATATAAATGTACCCACTGTTACATTATATTGTCAGTATCATTGGAGATTTCATTGGTAATATTTGCAGATCAGATTGTGTGTGCAGCTCATGTGTGGTAAAGGATATTACCAAGGTGAGCCACACAGAAGCAGAGAGTGAATCAAACTCTGTATTATCTGTGGCACAGGAGGGACAATAAAAGCAGGTCACAGTGGGACAGGAAATCCAAGGTGATGATATGAACTGAAGCCTGAGGTCTGTTTATTTGCATCCGAATATATACGTAAAGCATTTGTGTGTGCATGTGCATGTGTGTGTGTGTCTGTGTGAGTGTGTGTTTGTGCGCCGCCTAAAGAGGATTATCATCAGTGTGTTTTCCGCTTGCAGAGATTTAGACTTCAGCAGCATGACTCAATTATGGATTAGAAACCCAGAGAGAGAAAGGTTAATAGGATTCACAAACACAGGCCGGTTTTTTAACCGTCTCATCTGCAGCTGATTTAAAGTGATGGTAAAGATTGAGTCTGTCTGGGACTAAAGTTCAGAGCAAATTTCACCTGGAAAATGTAAGGTCATGTTGATTTAAATTTTGTTTTATGAACTGAACCTTAATTTTCAAAATAAAAGTCTTTAAAAACAGGAGCATAAAAACCTCAATATAAGAAGACCTTCAGGGGGACTTCAGTAACAGAGATAACATACAGCTTTAAATCAGCAGCATTCAACAAAAAGACATATTCAGTCAATAATCTTCAATACTTTTTCAATTAAGTCTCATGTTATATGGAATTATGGTTTATTATGAAACAGGCAAATTTAACGACCATTAAGTTTCTCATGCTGCAATTTTTAGTTTTTAAGTGTTTATCAACCAGGTGAACTAAAATCTTCGTTTTTAAAATATCAGTTGGATGGAGAACCATCCAGCTGATATATTTCAAACAAGTTTGAGTACTTGTTACTCAATTTGGACTCAACAATACAATATACATGATACAAAAATGTTACAGTAACTTTCATACAATATAAAAAAAGTACACATTGATATGATACTTTGCAATACAATACAATATGATACAATGCAACGCAGTATGATACAAAATAAAATTACATGAAAAGATACAATATGATACAACCAGGGGTGGATCCAGGGAGTGGCCAATGGGGACCATAGCCCCTATAAAATTTGATTGGCCACCTTAGTGGGCCCTTAATCCTAAATTTGCCTTGTCAGAGGGTGGACTTTGGTTAAACTATTTGGGCTATGTTGCAACAGGCTGTGTGCAGCTTTCCTCTTATTTTTACGTCACATTTTATGTTTTGGTTAATATTTTGAATTGTGACTTTAGACAAGCAACTTTTGTTCAGTCCTCAAAGGTTTGAGAAATATAACTTTCCCATGACCTAAATATTTATTTTCACAGCATGGCAACAAAATCTTATCACTTAATGGAAAAAAATGTGTTTTGTATTGTGCAGCTGTCTTATGTAGTTCCACTATGTTGCTGATCCAACATGGAAATGTTGTTGCTGAAAGAAGCGTAGTGAGCCAGTTTTCAGACTTGCACCAAAAAGAAAAATAAGAACCTTCTGCTTTCAAAGTAACTGAATTAATGATGAAAATGTTTTTGATGTGGTAGCCCTGAGAGCTCAATCCAGTCCAATTTACTGCCTGTAAACATTTGCAAATGTATAAAGAAAGGCTCTAAAAAAGACATCTTTGGCAGGCTGAACATTTAGACACTGTTTTTCCCCTTTTTTTGAATTATTATTTTTCCCAGAAAGCTGCACAAGTGTTGCCAAATTGGTGAAGAAATTTCTTTCAGTTTCTTTTGCTTTTCTTTGTACATCTGTATCCATAAGTTTGAAGTGTTTCGAGCTTTCAGGGCCACCACAATTTAGAGTTGAGTATGGTGCACTGATTATTGCACATTTCTGAAAACAACTTGCAAAAAGATTATCTGACAGCAGAAACAGACAATTATTTTATATATATAACTCATCTGAAAAAATGTGAGGATATATTTTTTTGACTCTTTAAATGTGAAATTGATTTTTTCATAGGCTTTTGGAGTAAAATTGTGACTTCATTCTAAGTTTCAGTATAAACTAAATCTCCCTAGATTCAAAACAAATAAATCCTTTAATCTTTTATCAGTTTATTCCCGCTTAATTAAAGTCCATCTCAGTTGTTTCCTCACAGTGATCAATCTTGCTAATCACATGCTGCATTTGAAGAAAAAAACTGACAAAAGCAAAAATGAACCAACAAAAGTCCCCCCAAAAAAGGACTTTTTAAATAGATACAAACACAAACTGACAAAAAATGTTTGACTTACTTTATCTTGGTTGTTTTTCTCATTTTGCAGTGTTTTTTTTCCCCAAAGCTGCAGGTTTGCGTCACATTGTGGAACATGTTTTCCACTTCCTTTGTGTTGTGTCACAGTTTGCTAAGCTTTCAGAGACTCCAATTTAGAGCTAAATACGGTGCACTGATGACTGCAGCTGTCATATAAACACACTGGTAAACAAGCCAGAAAGAGGCTTAAAAGGCTGCAGACGCAGGTTCTTTTCTAATTTTTTCTTAAATTAGCATTACTAACACAGACAGAAAAACACAAACTAGTATTCAAAAAATGGTTTCGTGATAAAATTAATAAGTGGAATATAAATGTTGCATTTAGACAAAAGTTATTTAATTTGTGGTTAGTTTTTCTTGTTAGCTCAGGCCTTCCAGATTCACCAAACAAATCTTATAATCTGGGCTCAGGTTACTTAAGGCCATGTAAACATAATTTAAACTGTTAAACCAATCTGGTTATAAACACTGTCAGCAGATTGAAAGATTGCTTTTTTTATACCCTGTTGATTTAACCTCACTTTAAATCTTTGGCAGCTGGTGCATTTTCCTCCCACAACAAAATTCAAGATATATAAATTTATTATTTTTTTTTCCCAAAAGCTGCTACATGAAATGAAATAAAGGAGATTCATCTGTACTGTTAAACTTAATGAACATGGTATATTCCAAAATTTGCCATGTTTTTTAGCTTTCTCTGAGGAGTGCTTTAAATTGTTCATGCCTATCCGAGTCCATACTAGGTCTAATCCTCAAGTCTGAAAGGAGGCAGCAGTCAGAATATAAAGCATCTGCATCATTACATGCCATCAGCCTTGCTTTCTTAGCAAAATAACTCCTTAGGGAATGACTGAGTGTTTAGTTCTCTATCTGTTTCTGGACTGCTGTTTCATTTTGATATCTGGCTGATATGGTCCGAGCTCTTTAAACCTCAGCCTCTCATGCAAAGATCGCCTCATGAATTGCATTATTTTCAGCTACTTAAAGCTCCTGTGAGGAGGATTTTGCTGGTTAGTCAAATGGACTAACCTACAGTTAGTCCTACAGTGTGATTATAGATTATTTCAGTGAGGTTGTTTTTACTGCCAGTGAGTGTGCTCTTGTTATTGCATATTAGCTATAAACAGGACGCTGCAGGAACACTATTTTTATGCACGTACAGGAAAAGGTCTACAGAGAAAGTAGAAGTACAAATTCATCCAAAGTGTGTAAAGATTAACAAACCAGAAGTCCAAGACAGTGCCGGTCTGTTAGCATGTTTATCTTTGCTGCAAAAATTGACAGTTTACTGTGGGCTGAAGAAAAGAGCCCCATGGATTTTTTTAGATATATGTGTAAGGCTGTGAAAATCCTGGACCACATGAAACAAAAAAACAGAGGATTGTTGCAGGAGATGGCTTTAAAATACAGGTCAAACACAGGCAGGTATTTACACACCAGTGATATCCAACAAGACAAATGTGACAAAGGTTAAATAACCACTCTGACCTATAAAATGTCCAAAAATAAATGATATGTTATGAGAACATGTAAAGCAGTCATTAAGAGTAAATGTTGGGCATATTAACTTCCTGTGTTGTCATGGCAACCCATACAAACAGCAATCACTACACTATAAATCATGTGGGCGGGCGGCAAAATCACTGCTGCTGCAATTACCTGCTGCGTTTCAAGCTCAGATTTTTACATAAAGCTTAAAAAGCACAAGAGCATTTTTTCAGTGAGTGAATGATAAGTAAGTTTTAACATATCTTTTGATTTTTAGAAGAGAAGTGTCGAGGGTTTTACACTCTGACCCCAGGATCTGAAAAAGGTAATCGATCACTATTTTCCATCTTTTGTCGCAGACCTTTCCTTTTTGTGCATTTCTGACCTTCCCCTGTGTTTGTGCTCCTCCCTCCACAGCGATGATGTGGCTGTCACTGTCCATGGAGCTCATGTACATCGGTCTGCTGTTCATCAGTTGCATCCTGCTCTCTGTGCAGTTGTGTATCAGGGCCTGGTGCCCCTCCACACAGCGCTGGGGTCAGCTACTCAATGCCTTTGCCGCTGTCTTCACAGTCCTGGGAGGTACAAGCAGCAAACCCCGACAGTTAAAACAAAGAACAATCTCCATAAAAAGATCCAATATGATCAGTTATTCTAGTGTGGGAAGCATTCTGGTTAGAGCACCAGCAGCACAAGAACCTTATTGGCATGCACTCTGTTGCAGATGGTTTCATACAACAGGGTCTCTGCAGATTTTGACTGTGTGAAGGAAAACAAAGCAAAAGAAAATGAACACACTGTCTATTTTCAGACACAATTTAGCTTCGTGTAACAGTTATCAATGTACTAATCAGTTTATCAATGTATTGTCCTTTTTTTGCACATGAAGTCATTCTAAGGATAGTGAACTGGTTCTGAGATTCAGAAAAAGAAAGTATATGTGCTTCTTTTGTCTTCACAGGTTTGGTTGGGATGGTGGGTCACATGATGTACATGCAGGTGTTTCAGACTACAGCATCAATGGGACCAGAGGACTTCAAGCCTCACAGCTACGGCTACTCCTGGGCTTTCTAGTGAGTTTTATAAACACACGATTCATTTAAGCCTCACACAGCCAGGTCTAATAGAAAGTACAAGAGATCCAGCTTTCAGACTTTGACCTTTCTGGGTTTTGGGTCAAAGTGTGAGGTGTTTCTTTCTCCACAGGCACTTAAGGGTTTCTAAGGACTCACAGTATGTTACTTTTCTAGCTGTTTACAAAATGTCCTAGATGTTTGTGAGCAAGGTGTTACATTCAGTTGGGGAAAAATATCATAAATTCGAACTCTGGAGGATGTGCAGCCTCTCAGTTTGAAATCTCATCATCCATGTGATAGTAAGAAACTGTGCCAAGTGACTGTGTGAAGGCTGCCTGAAAGGGGGGTTGAGACTAGTGCAGACAGACGCATAGGCAGAAAAGCACCAAAACAAAATTGGTGAGCTCTCCGGAAGAATCTGTGCAGTACTAAACCACACATTTCTTGTAATTAACTGACAACAGGTCTGCTGTTTTTGGGTCACAAACAGCTCCTCAGTGTTTAAGCATATTTATGACAAAAAAATTTATATGGCAGGAAACATCTTCTTGACCATCAGTTAGTGATGGGCGGTATGACGGTGTATATACCATGTGACGGTATAAAAGTGTCTACCGGTAGAAATTTTTCTATACCATTTATACCTGAGAGAGACAGCAGATGTCTGCTGGATCTCTCTGAATCAGTGTAGTTGTCTGCGCTTGCTAACAGGAAAGCCGGAGCACATCCGTTTGAGCGCATTATATTTACCAGCGTATTGTGCAGAGTTTGTTCACTCCATTTGATTGGTCAGATTTTGGTGCGCTCCCTATAATCACCAGTGTATCCAGCAGACTGCTTGGCATAGTTTTGACGCAGAAGAAACAGCTTCGGCAGCCTGACCCATCCAACATGAGGAAGAGGAGGAGGGGCTTGTTCCAAAAAAGGGCACGAGTCGTGACATCGGTTGTCTAGAGATTCTTTGGATTTAGAAAATCCAACAATGGTCAAAAAACAATACGGTGCAAAGTGTCCTGTGGCTGTCGTTGCTGGAGGTGGAAACACAAGCAACCTCTTCCACCACCTAAGGATGAAACACGCCAAGCTCTATTAAGAGAACCAGAAGATGCGTGGTGCACCCGCTGCACCAAAAACTGAAGTTGCAGCAGCTCCTCTCATTCAAAGGGCTTGGCAGAGTCTTTCGCCAAAGGTACGCCATATGATAAAAAAAAATTGCCAGACTGGTCTGACATTTTGTTTGTATTTGTAAACAAATCCGAGTTTAAAAATAAAAGGGAAATGAACAAATGTGACAGTATAGTTATTTTTAAGCTATTTATTTAATTTACAGGGGGGAAAAAACATACCGTGATATATACCGTTACCGTGATATTAAGGAAAGATAATGTTCATACCGCCCAACACTATCACCAGTCTGTGAAATTTGTAACATCCTATGATTTAAGTCCACCCTTTCTGCCTAATTGGCATTCAGAACAATAAGCTGTTACTTAACGCCTTTATATAACTCTTTTTTTAAGTTTAGGGTGAGGGTGGCCTGGGATGGGGCCCCAAGTGCGTCTTTCGCCCAGGTCACCAAAATGGCTTGTTACAGCCCTACATGGCTACACGTATCCTAAACGGGTGAGACAAAAAGACAGGGTGCATGTCAGTGATTTTTATTCCCATGTCTTCCTGTCTCAGTGTGGCCTGGCTCGCCTTCACGGTTTGCATGTCTGCCGGTGTCTCCACCCTGAACAACTACACCAAGAAGGTCCTGATGGTGGGACCCCGGCACTACTCCAGCCTGAACCCCTGCAGCTTTAACTTTGTCGGGCTCCTTCCACCATATTACACCCCCGCCAACCCAGACAACGCCATTTCTCACCTGTCACCCTACTATGAGCCACCAGCAACTGTGTTACCGGCCCCTGCTCCAAGGCTCATGCACTCAGAGTCCTTCCCTCCTCCCCTCTCCCACCCTTCGCCTGTCTCACCTTACCATCGGCTGTCCCTCCCTTCTACATCTCTTGGACCTTCTGTCTCTGCTCACATGGCCCTGCCAGGACACCAGGAGGGTCATTATGGGCTAGAGGTTGCCTTTAGCCCACTCTGAGCGTCTCTTTTCACCTGGACCTGCTTTGGAAATTCAGATTTAGGTTTGTGGTGGTTTTTGTTGTATCAACCCGGAGTTATAAATCAAGGAAATGGTATGCGACAGTGATGGTACAGTGCTAATAAAGAAGGAAATGTGAAGTCAGTGGATGGCTATTTTCTAAAACTCAAAATAGAGCAGATATGCTTTATATAACAAGTTATGAAGATTTTATCTATTTTGTTTCTTCTCCCTTTTTTGTTGCAGGCCACAAATGAGTGAAAAATGATAAGTTTAGAAAACAGGGAAGAAAGAGTTTGTAATGAGTTGGCAAACCATTCAAGCACATCTCAAAAAGTCTGAACACTGAGGAAAAACTTCAATATTTCAATGTATTCAAAGAAGTTAGGAATTAATATATTCTTAACTTACGAAAAGTAAACTAAAATACTCCAAGCATTTTTTTTTTATGTTATTGTTGAAGTTTGGATTATTATGCCCTACAGTTTAAAACAGTAAGAGTTCATAACCTCAAACTATCAGAATATTTCATTTCCAGTTTAAGCAGATTACTATTCAAACAGAACAAATTCGGTGCAGCTCTTGGTCCGGTTCAGTACTCTACTACAATCATGGGGAGGACCGCTGACTTGGAATCTGTTCAGAAGGTGATCACTGGATAGAAAGACTTTGCACCTGCCCACACTGCCAAAAGTTTCAGAACCAGGTTAGCTGACCATGTTTTTACTGTGTATTACTCACCAGACCTGAACTCCACTGAGGCGCTGTAGGATAGATGTCAAGAGGATGATGAGAAACACCTGACCCAAGAATACAGACCAGCTGAGGGTTAGTCACCTCTATGCCACTCCACATTGATGCTGGAATTCACGGTAAAGGAACTCCGATCAAGTAGTGAATGTAAAAGCAAACTTACTTTTGTTGAGCCAATTTTGGTTGACCTTAGAAAATACTCTGATCATCTGAGATTGTGCGTTTAATTTTCATGAGCTGGTAACCAAACTTGTCAAAATGAAGACTTGAAATATTTGCATGCAGTGAAGACGTGCAAATATGAAAGCTAACCTTATAGACAAATGAAGAACTTGTCTAAAAGGTTAGCTTTCAACCCCAACTTATCGTCAGAGTGAAACGGCGACAGTGTGGATCCAAAAGAAAGGAAGGTTAACTTCAGCAAATTGGTTGAAAATCAAGTTTTATTATTGTAAAAATCATCAATGTTGTTGATACTGCGAAATAACGGTAGCAAAAATAAAACAGCATTAGACACACAGAGCATTTTGGGAAACAATATATTTACACTGTATTTCTTACACTGGAAGAGTCAAGGCAGATGCCTTCCTGTCACATGGGCTGGAAACAGCTGATTGAACAACTTTAGAAACGGCTGTAAGGTTAGTCAGGTAACTGGTTACAAGGTTCATGCTTAGTGTACTTTGAAATATCTAATTTATTTAGCATATACTGTGTTCAGAATGAACCAAACGGAAAATACAGCTCAAGTCTTACAACTTTAGGACTTCTGACTGACTATAAAACTCCTTTAAATTAACTGTCAGTAGAAAAAATATTACTTTTTGGATCATATTAATGATGAAAATTTCAAATTATACATATAAAACTAATTGTTTTCTCCTCAAATTACATATACAACAACTTTATATGGGTAATTTACAGCATACAGTCGTAAAGGCATTAGATTACACACAAATACACAACAAGGGTCACTTCAGGTGATGTTTGAAGGCTTTAAAAATTAGTCAAACTTTGTTTAATTTGTGGCAAATATGAACTTAATCCAGAGCAGATATATGGAAGAAAAATGGATGAACTAACAATAAAATAACAAAAACTATAATCATATACTCGCCCCTTTTTATCCAACACTCATATCCAAATGTAAATGTGCATTACAGAAAATAGACCACAGATTTGACTTTTCAACCTGTGCCTGATATGAACAAGAATTACAAGAGGACTTTTAACAGCATCTTATACACGCAGAATAAGAAAATTCTTAATCCTGAGATGTCCTCAAGAAATTCAAGCCCAGACACAGGGTTGAAAATCTTCTCAAATACATCAGGGTTTGACTGAGTTGGCATACACTCCACAAACGAGACTCAATCAATCCCGTTTATGAATTTGAGAAGATCAAGAGGTCTCCTAAATGTGCAGCTGAATCTACGCGAGCAGTTCAAGTCTATTAAAAGAAACAGATTTCAGCTGAACGAGTAGATTCAGCTGAGGGTTTTCAGGCTGTTTGGAGCTAAATCTAGTGTCTGTCTCACGCGGTCTTTTTGCGTAACACGAAGTAAGTGATGGAGGAGATGAATGTCAGAGCGAAGGAAATCCATGCCAGGATGTAGCTGTGGCCGTACCAGCCGAATTTCTCATCAATGTGGAAGCGGTCTGTGTAGATGGAAGCTGCAATCATGATGCACAGGCCTAGGAGAGCAGGAGACAGGGACATCAGTACAGGAACCACAGAGAGAGAGAGAGAGGTGCCATAAAGAAAAGGAATAATAAAAATAAACTTACAGGCGAGGATCTGGAAGACACCGGAGATGGTGAACCTCTTTCCTTTCTCGAGGGTGAAGAGCTGAGCAACAAAGACAAAGATGCCGAGAATGGAGAAGATACAGGCGAGGACTGAGCTGGCCTGCACTGCCTGGAGGTAATCTGCAGGGGGAGCCAGAGAGAAAGAGAGAGAGACAGAGAGAGCGAAAGAGGGAGAGAGAGAGTTTAAAATATCAACCTGACACACCCAAGACACTGTAGAGTCACACTTTCACATTCCCTTTCTAAAAAAAAACCTTTCTTTTATTTTTACATTCTGGCACATTTAACGATTACTTTACGTTTGTTTTTGATTTTCCAAATTTTTCAGTATTATATAACCATCAAGTGCTAAAGCTTGCAGGTAGAAACAGGTGTCATTTCTTTGTGTTTTTCAACACATTTGTTATACTGCAGCTACATTTTGAGCTCAAATGGTCATGTCTTTGGGAATTCTTGCAAAATATGCACTGAGCAGTATAAAAGAAATTCAATTCTTAGGCTCTTACAACGATATTATCTCAAATACTGGTTTGGAAACATAGAGCCATGCAAACAGTTCATCTCATTTGAGCATTTTTCAAACTTAACATGTGGGTGATGTGGTTTTTCCAACTGTCTGTCTGCTTGGTGGTTTTAAAAAGAGGCAGTGCTGGGCTATAAAAAGGTGACATCGTATTTTCTTATAGCCCTGATTAGGATATCATGGCACTCTTTCAATCAAATCCCTCTCCAGATAGGCACACAGCCTGGTTGAAATGGATTGACCAGGTTTCTGAACATTAAACTGAGCAGAGTGTCACAGGCTACAAAGTCAAACTCAGCATCAGCTCATGTAAACTTTCACCTTGTTAATGTCAGAATTGATGTTCAGCATTAGCCTGATTTATTTTGTTCTTAACTCTTTTATTGGTTGTAGTTTTAAAAATACCATCAACATGTGAAGCCTTGTTTTATTTATTTTTTCAACTGAGTAAACATTTCAATTCATTTTAGAGGCAGTTGGAGGAATGAAAAGAAAAATTGAGGCCTGAATCTTAGTGCTCAGGTATGGTAAATATTAAATTTTGGACATGGCCCTGCCAGTCTTACCCTGTGGGTAGGTTGAGCCCTCAGGCAGATTGGTTAAGTTCCACACTCCGTTGATCTGAATCCACCGGCCCCAAATATCAGTGGAGATATGCTCGGTCATCCACCAGGCCTGAGGGGGCGACAGAGAGACAAAATGTTATACTCCAGAGTAATACATTGAAAAGAAAACGCTTTTATACATTTCTTACATAAATGATGACTCATTCTTGAAAAGATAAACTATCAACCTGTTGAAAGTTTTGATTCATTCTCAATATGACTGTGAGTGCCTGCAGAGCTTTAAACTATGAGATCTGTGGAACCTGCACAGCAAGGAAATGAGGAGCTTTTGGTTGTTGTTGTTTTTCTTAATTTGTGTCTTTTTTCAGTAGTTTATTTGCAGCAAATGATATTTTTCAGTTTGGCAAAAATATATCTAAAACTGTCTGCAAATAATGTCATTTAAATAAACCTGCACTGGAAGAGAATGGCAAGAATGTGTGTCAACATATGTGGAGTGTGTGCGTGTCAGTCTGAGTCCTACAGGAGGGCTGCAGGTAAAGGGAACGACAACCTGAGGTACTGTAGGAATGCACATCCGCCTGTCACTGCTGCATTCCTCAAGTCTGGCTCAGGTGTACAGCTCAGGCAAGAATGTCACATATTTGCATGTGCTCGTGCACGGCCTGTTCCTTCACACTCAGTGACTTGGAGTGAGGACATCATGTGTCAGAGAGAAATGTTAAATATGTGAGACTGAGAGGAGACCACCGACAGGGTGCCGGCCTTGTGTCAAGACAGACAGACTGTGCACATAACTCTCCATGACTGTCATTTTGCAAACAAGGGAGGAAATGAGGGATTTTGTTCATGCCGGGGGCTTGTCAGGAATTTTTTTACACATGGAGGTACAGAAGGGTGGAAACAGAACTGTAACAAACTGCAGCTCGTGTTTAGGATATCATCATGAGTTGACACTTTCTCTGCCATTAGAAATGAGTATCGACAATAAACCATCAGTACGTAAATACTGATAATGTGTTCAAATAAGCCTAGGATAATACTGTGAGTATAAGTCATTATCATCAACCTCAAACCAACATAACAATCTACCAGAAGAATTTTAAATTAAAAGCATAATTTTACAATGTAGGAAATAAAGTTACAGACCCTAAGACAGAAAAAGGATATCAAAATAAAAGTATGACTTTCATTATGAAATTTTTGTAACAGTTAAAGTTTTGTTCACAGGGCTGGTGATGTAGGTAAATCATATATTTAATCCCTCTTAGAAATGATTTTTAAGTTAACAGTGTTTAATCAAATTTACTGAAGACATAATCTGTTTCTTATCTTGCCTTTCCTAAAAATTGTTTTCAAAGGTTTTGATACTTATCCCAATAACATTGTCATTGTAATATATCATATCATTTTGAGGTGGAAATCTAATATCCCTACAACCTCAGTTGACAGATATTGGACTATAATTGACAGATATTAGCCTATTTTAGCATTCATTGCCTGCATTTACTGATATACATCCAAAAAGCCACAGCTATTCACCCGCTAGTCTCATGTTTCAGCCTACTGTTAGATTTTAGCCCCTGGAAATAAATAAAAAACATATTGTACAATGTGTAGCACCTTTTATAAAAAGGGTTTACTATCTACTTAAAAATTAAAGCCTAAAAATCAATAAATACATTAAAAAATACCCTACAAATAGAAAAATTACAAAAGGCAGGCAAAGACTTATTAAAGAAAGTCAAAACAAAGGGGCCTTCAACAATTTTTCTAAAATATCCACAGTGCAGTTTTACATGATAAGTGTGTTTGTTTTTCTTCCACAAACTTGCTTCTATTCTGTTTACAGAGATAAAAACATGTTTTGTGCTTTAAGTGTGAGGTGTGAAAACGCCTTTTTACTGAGTTTATAGTTGTACAGCAGCTCAAGAGGCTTCTGAAGCACTTCTTTTTCCTCCAAAAAAGTAGACTTTTCTTCAGCTAAAGGAGGGTTCGACTCACAGAAACACACTTTAGTTTGTGCTCACTCCAAAGTAGTGTAATGGAAGCCTGACTGGCTCTAATTATGTTCACAAATGATATTAAAATGAAGATTTGGTTCATTTCAGGTCCAGATGGAAGGATTAATGGGAACAAAAATAAAATTAGCAACATCTATTAGTGTAAATCTTCTCAATCTGTGCATCTGTACTGATCTGAACTCCTTACATTGTCGATGGTGGCCACCAGGAGGAGGATGATGCCAATGATGTGAATGGCAAAGATGGCAGCCAGGAGGATCAGCATGATGACTGTGCTGCAGATAGAGAGAGAGAGAGAGAGAGAGAGAGAGAGAGAGGAAACTTGTTACACCACTTTCCAGCCTTTATTGTGCAGCATGAGGAGAACTGGAGGGGAACTCATAATCGCACTCGCACTGTAAGAATAAAACAAAAATGTCCTGAAACAAAGGGCTCGGCACTTCCTGGCTGTTTGAGTTTGAGGGCTGTTCATGCAGTGACAGCTCCGAGCATGCTCACTCACTCACTCAAACACACACACACACACACACACATTTATTCAAGGCAGCATAGCGAGGCTGAGACCTGGCACACACTCAGGGCGCGGCTTCTCAACTTCTAATTACTTTGAGTTACACTGTGAACCAACTGCAAATAGACACACAGATAAAGTTCCTGTCACGAATCAAAGGGGAAACAAACAGAGAGAGAAAGAGAGAGAGAAAAGAGGTTACTGTGTGTTTGTGTAGATCGACATCAGCACACAGACACAGATACTGTCAGTGGAGAGAGAGAGAGAGAGAGAGAGAGCGAGAGTGCAAAGGAGGGGAAATTCATGGCGGGCAAATGAGTTTGGGCTTGTCTTACAAAGCTGCCACTCCTTAAAATAACTGGAGAGATTAGCAGCTCCACTCCAGCGGGATCCCACACCTGAAAGCACTTTGTGTGAGATTTTATAGCACTTTAAAGTCTGGAAATGTTCTGAATTCTAACAAAAACACCTCTTTTCATCTGATTTCTGGGGCCTTTTGACTGTAATTGACATTTTTCTTCTTCTATGGTGCCTCTAAATGAAACTCTGACTTATTCAAAATCAGAAATGTAACACTCTGACTTGATGTTCTCTGCCTCTGTTCACAGGAGGCTGCTCTGGGTGTGAACAGAGGCAGCGCCACATCTGGAATGTGCTGGTTCCCTTCACGGTAAAGGAGTGGTCAAGGGCTGGGTCCACATACACACACATGAATACACACACATGAATATACACATAGAACACACACACGCACTGTGCAGCATGCCTGCCAGCTCCCATCTCCCTCACACGCAACCTTTCCTAATACATCTTTACCAACATTTCCGCCTTATTCAAACCTTTTTAAAGCAGCAAATGAAGTGAAAGAGGGAGTTTTAAATGCGCCTCAAGTTCTCGTGACTCCCTTTAATGAACAACTTCTGTGCGCATGGAGAAAAAAAATGCCTACGCTCAGCAGTTTGCCTTAATATAAAACACACTCAGGACATGCTTAGTCTTCCAAAAGCTGGCCTGAAAATTTGACGTGTCAACTTTAGCTGCTGCTGCTGCTGGTTTGGATGTGGCATATTTTCCATTGCGCCAAATGAATTACATGTGGCTGCGGTTGAGTTTAGAGGAGTTAAAAAAAAAAAGAAAAAAAAAGAAAGAAAAACAAGGAAGAAAGTAGTCCCGAACCTTTATGGAAGGATACTTTCACACTAAGGGTCTTTGGATTAGTAGGCGGGGGGTAAAAACCTCAGGGGAGCAGCCTCACCTGGACAGCAGCAGAGATGTTTTACAAGCTGAACGGCCTTTACACTCTTGCCTGCGTACAGTTTTTGCTTTTTAAAACTGAATAATGAGAGAAAATAATGAGGAAAATCTTCCCTTAAAAATCTACTTTCATCATTCTGGAGCAGATAAAGTTGAATAAGAGATTTTTTTAAAAAGAAGAGTTTAGAAAAAGAAGCATCTCAGACTTACTGTTTGTTGGTGGTGTGTCTCTTCAAGTCTTATTCCTCCTGTTCTTCAAGACGCAAATGTCAGACTCAGAGTCTAAATGCACCAACTCTTGAAACTACCCATCCGCCCACTTTGACCCAGCCCTCTTTTTAAGTCCACACCCAAACAAACTTCTCGCTTACTGGATCACATAATCTCTTCCTCTCTCCTCCCCCCTCCCCCTCCTCTTCCTCCTCTTCTCTCTCTGTCTCTACTTTAAAACTTTTTTCTCACTATTTCAACAACTTCTGCGGGCAGGACACTCATTCTCCCTCTTTTTTTTTTTGTTTTTGTCTGATTTTTCTGGACTTGGTCACTCAGCTGATGGTGGTGATTTCTCCCCAGCTGATGACTCACTTCTGTTTGAAGGAGGAACTCCCAAAACACTGGGCATTATTGACAATGAGTCTACGCAGGTTGCCATGGAGACAGACTGACAGACTCACAATCACAGTGTTGCTGTTGTAGATGTGAAACAAAACAATCCCACTCACGCGTACTTACACACATTCACACATGCATACACAGAGCTGGCAGTGTTGTAATGTTTCTTCCTGATCTTTTCCCGCTTTTGTCTCAAAGGCGGAGGCGAATCAGAGCAAGTTAGAACTTGTGTGAGAGAGAATTAAGGGAGGAAGGGAGGAGGGTGGAGAGAGAGGTGAAGTCAGTGAAAGGAGGGTTGTTGGAGTTGATACCAGTAACCAAAAATAACCTGCTGATGGTGTCCGATAGCTTTCTGTATGTGGGGATTTTGGCGCCCCCTGTGGACAAATTGGTAGTCCTTTTATGGTTGATGACTCATTTCGTTCTCCGAAAATGTACAAGACACCTCTTCCTGCTGTCTTGTTACGGTAACAATGATCACTCACTGTGAACATTCGCAGTGGAAAAAGTAACAAAAGCTATTTCTTTAGAATGCCTACCTCTCCATGGAAGTAACAGGCATGAAAATTTTGATACAGGTATTCTCAGTCTTGTTGTTGTTGGCTTATTTGCTTTTGTACATCATAGAGACGCATCCGTGTTGATTTCAGTTTCATAACCCGTGAGAAACTGTGTAGGAGTTTAAATGTTTCGAGAAAGTCAAATTATTTAGAACTAAGTTGAAAACCATTTTCTGAATCATCACCTGAATTACCAACACAAGGGAAAGATACAATTTTGTGAATAAGGTCAAAATATCAACAAAAATGTTGGAAAGTTAAGAAAAAGGTGAAACAGTTTTGTTATTAGAGTCAAAATATCCAACTAATGAGTATATAAATAACTTATGTTTATAAATACAACCTATATATAATTTTGCAAATAAAACTCTGAATAAAAATGCCCAAAATAAAGTTCAAAACAAATTTTCAACAAAAAAGTGCAACAGCTTTGTTACTGGAGTCCAAATAACAATTTTCAAAAAAGCCAAAACACAGTTTGTGAATTAATTTTAAAAGTTTTTTAAAAATGTAAAAAGTTTAACCTTTGCGAATCAAATCCACCGATACCAAGCGGCATCATCAAACGTCAACATGAGAGTGGTTAGTCATTTGGTAAACACTGGTTCAGTCTACTCATAAGAACAGGAAGTCAATACGTAATCGAAACACATGAAACACATGTGGAAATGCAACATCTGCTCATCTGCACAGTCCGTCTTCTGATTCTGATAAAGATTGAAACTGGTAGAAGAAGGTCGGGTGAGGAATACTTTTTGGGCTTTTACCAAACTTTGAAAACAGATTAAGTGAAAGTTGTTATTTAAAGAGCTTTGTAATGAAGTAAAGAACAAGCAAATAGAAAAACAAGCACATTTTTTTTCAATGGAAAAAAAGCCGCTTTCTCTCCGCTGAAGTTCTTGAATTATGAGTCACCCTCGTTGTTTCACTTCTGCTGATTACCATCCAGTCCTGAATGTTTCCACTGAGTCAAAGCCGTTCGCCTCAGGGGCAGACCACATGCATCAGATTTCATTAAGAAACCCCCCTTTCTCTAATATCTGACATCATAAAAAATACAGCAGCATAACAACATTTGCTCATTGGTTTCTGAGCTCATATCCATGCGTGGTTGAATTCCTGTGGCAGTGCTCTGATATAAATGGAGCAGCAAATGTCAGAGTCTGACCATATCTAATACTCCAAAAAGTTACCCTTTACACTACAAGACACACTTCTTAAAACATACAGATATCCTCAGAAAACTGGAGTAAAGGGCAGGGTCTTACATCAGGCTGAAATTGGAGAATCTCTTTTTAAACTGTGTTTAAAACTTTTACAAGGTGGTTTGATTTTACAGCTGTTGTAAAGGAGTTTAGGCGAGGAGAGCTGTTGAGAAGAGACCATAAATAACACAAAAAAACTCTTTTGGTGCACAGTGTGTAGACTTGAAGAACTAGTTTAGCCCAAAAAGTCCAAAAAATCTGCTGAAAGAATGCTAAAACAGCTGATGGGTATAAGGAAGTCGAAATGTGTCCTAGAGTGCAGGCATGCTTATGGTACCTGAAGTCTTCAAAAGTAGTATGGGAGGTAGAGCCAGTTATCAGGCCTGTCTCCTTTGTAGTCATCCACCAGTGAGGGTTCAGGAGCAAACACCCATTTTATCACCCCATAGTGAGCTTAAAACCTTTTATACTTTTGATTAGGGACCAGGTCCTAGATTTGCTGCTATAAGATTAGTCTATATGAGATTGGAACAACTGATGCTACTTTCCCACTGAGCATTTTTGGTCTAAAAGAGGTCTAATAGATGTCTTAATGTAGCTTAGACGACTGGTCTAAAATCAGGCTACCACAGGTCTACAAATGAAAGTTTTTTAGATGCCTAAATTTAGACCAAGTTTAGACCAAGTCTAAATCTGGACTATATCTGTACTACATTGTATATTGCTCAACCACTATCATAATTATTTTGGTCAAGTACTTGGAGACCAGTTATGCAACTCACAGTTGCTTTACAAGGAGTATCAAATAATAGTTATCGAATAATGGGTTAAGGTGCAACGTCTAAATTCCGTCTAAAAATATATGGACTCTAGATGGTTGAAATCAGGTTAAAAAAAAAAACTAGACATCTAATAGCTGTCCATTGCTCAGTGGGTTCTCAGGCCTGCACTCTCTCTTCAGCTATATCAGTTCAAACTTAATTACTAATAATATCATGCAAATGAAGACTGCACAGTTTGTTTAAGTCATAAAGTTATTGCAATAAACTGTTACAATAAATCGGGGAAGGGACCTTAATTCTCCAAAAGTAGTATGGGAAATAGGGTGAGTTGTCAGGCCAGAGTTATCTGTTGAATAACTCTTCAGAGATTAAGACGTAGACACCCTATTTACTTTGAAGAGCAGCCTTATTATGTTAGTTTTGATTAAACTTAGATAACTTAAGCTTACATGTCCTAGTTCTGTTGATACAGGCTCAGGCTACGAGACATAAAAAAAACAAACCAAGCTCTTGCTTCTGCCTCATGCTCTTTCCCACTATCTTTTAACAATTCAAAATTAATTAGTGACAGTAACACAACACAAATTAGGGCCACATATTGCATTCTTTTTTGCTAAATTAAAGCTAGCACTCACCTACCCTGAGGTTATCTGGTGCCGACTGAGGGGCAAAAGAATGCTTATTGGATTTATTATGGATTCGGGGGGAAACATGTTGCAAACAGATACAGAAAGAGTGGTTATGCACTCTTCAATTCTAGTTAAAATATCACTCTTTAAAGAATACCAAACAAAGATGCAACATGTCAGTTATCTATCTCTGATCATGCCTGTCTGCTATGAAGATAACACACTTGTTTACATTTTTTCTGATACTAATGATGCCAAAATAAAAGATATCATGGAACCAGTTTTGACAAATAATCTGCAACTTAAGTTCAGAGTAAAAGTTAAAAAGCTTATATCATACTGAAGGTCTAATTAACTGTTTTGACTTTAAAAAACTGTAAATTTCATATTGTTGATGTATATGAATGTGTCATGAAACCATGGCAACACAATGTTTCTGTTTCTGTGAGCAGGGGGAGGTCATCATTAACCTGAAGCTCACTGCTTACATCAAATCCCTACTCCTTAAAAGTGTGATTCATTCAGTTTAGATTGTGACTTCAAGCCCTTTTCACTCTGTGAGAAAAAAGAGAAAGGCCAAGAGTGTTTAAAAAGGGATTAAATTAGATAAAGGTATAAAGTTGAATATGAGAATACATAAATGTAGTTTTATAAGTCATGCACGACAAACACAAGCAGATAGAGACAGACAAAAATACTCTGGGTGTGGACTGGGAATCTGAGGTCACTTGTTTGCTTCTGGTGCATATAAAAACAAGAAGATACAACAACAGCAGTCTGAGTCAACAGCTCAACAGGACACCTGGTCAGCTTGATCTCAAGCTGTGTCTTCAGGTATGAGACAGCGGGATAATGACAGGGTTAAGAGATAATTTACCTGCCAATACAGCGGCTATGAAAGACAGCAGAGCCTGCTCGTGTGGCTGCATTCTGGTTGGGTCAGGAGGTTACAGGCACATCAACACATGCCTCCGCACATACATACCAAAACAGCACAGTTTTATTTACTCTCTGGATTGAGCAACATGTCGATTCTACGGTCAGGACTAAAATATTTTAGAGTTTCTGCACATAAGAAAAAACATCCATATACAATCTAAACATCACAACTCATTTAATCTGATTTTTTTTTTTCAATCCTGTGGTGAAATTTTTAAAGTTTATATTAGTGTTTCTACCACCAGCTGTTTATTGTAAAAGCTGTGTTTGACTGCTTTTTCAGAAATATGCAAAATATATGTGGTGTACCTTGGTAGGCCACCCAAGTACACTCTCTACCAACTTGACATCAACCATTTTTGTATTTTTTTTTTTCTATCAGTATATGATTGTCATCTATGATCTATGATTGCGACAGTCTTAGTGCTTTCTGCCCTAATGTGTCTAACACAGGCTGTGCAAGTAGAAAGAGAGAAGGGTAATTCAGTACATCCTCCCCTTAATGCAATGATTTCAGTATGCCTCACGCTAAATATGAGTCATCTCATACCCCTGTTTTAAAAGTTGTGTAGCTGGTTGCTGCTGATGATGTCATTGTGCGCCATTTAAGATTCAGATTGTGAAATGCCAAGCCGTTAACAAGACTCATTCACACACACATTGTCAGTTACCTATTATGGTTACGCAATATCTGATAAAAGATTTCCAGATGTGACTTAAGATATGTGGGTGTCTTAGTAAAATACCATCAAAAGATCAGATGCATACAGAAGAAAGAAAAGGTAGAAGGTGCAGCAAGACACACTGAGATTGTGTGTGGGAATGAAAAACAGAACTGAATAAAAAATTGTTTAATTTAAGTAGTTTATAGACACAAACTGGAGCAAGTTTCAATTTATATCCAAACTTGTAATCTAAATTAAAGCAAGAATGAGCAAAGAAAAATATGTATGTGGTGGCAGAAGCTGTCTGATAACAAATTAAAGATTTTTAGCCAATAGCTTTACCCATGGTGAGGACAGAGACCACGGCCTGTATGCATGAGATAAATAAACAAGCTGTGGCACACTGAGCAATAGACAGCCATCAGTTTTTTTAGACCTAATTTCAACCGTTTAGAGTCTGTATATTTTTAGACAGAATTTAGACGTTGCACTTTAACTCTTTATTCAATAACTATATATTTAAAAAAGCAACTGTGGGTTGCATAACTGATCTCCAAGTACTTAACCAAAATAATTACGATAGCCATTGAGCAATATACAGTGTAGTATAGATACAGCCCAGATTTAGATTTAGTCTAAACTTGGTCTAAATTTAGACGTCTAGAAAACTTTAATTTTTAGACCTGTGGTAGCCTGATTTTAGACCAGCCATCTAGGCTACATTTAGACGTCTATTCTACCTCTTTTAGACCAAAAAAAGTTCAGTGGGCTAGAATCATTACATCATCAAATATATTATATTTTATAGACATTACATTTATTGTGCATATTTATTTTGCCTTCACCAAATGATTACCTTAAAATCCAGAATTTTACCAGTGTTTAAGTTACAGTCCAGTTTTGAGGAGGTTACAAGAGGGTAAAAAGTTTATACTGTGTTTCTACATGAAAATATACAATCAGCAATGTCCAGTTATTATGCAGATGTGTAGCTCTTTCTAATATCATCTTTTTTCACTGCCTTTTCAGCTTCCAATGCAGCAGTTGAACTCAGACTATTCTGGTGTGGTTAGCTGTGAGGCATGGACTGACCCACAGCCCACAACCAACCATCCTCCTCCAGTCACTTGTTGTCCTAAATTAAGGGGTCTTTTCCACCAAAACAACACAAGATTTACATCATAGCATATACCACAGTTTTCTTTGTATGTATGATTATGACCTAATGACTTAAACACTCTAAAAATGTGCTTTTTAAATAAGTGTGTATGTGGTTTGTGGTGCCTCCACACTCAGGTCAAAGTGGAGACTCAGTTCTCCAGATCAAGCGTTGCGCAGTGAAGCTCTCACCTCCTCCCTTGAATACCAGCTTCTGGGTGAAATACCAAAACACAACAGGAAACTCCATATCACATGTTCCTGTTCTAGGCGTCACACTGATGCACTTTTTCAGATGATAGAAAAGGCATCAAAAGTGTCTTTAACACCAAGTTTGCAGAAGATATTATCTCGGGTCATGTTTTCATTCATTGTTTATCCAGAGCTAGTGTTGAGCCACACCTTTTAATCCTGTGACAACTAATGACAACTAATTACAGACAGTTGTTAATGGCGAATGGTGAGACAGGCAATTGGTGTCCAAATGGATATATTATTGTGCCTATGTGCTCAACAGAAACCTCCCAGAGTAGACAGCAGAAGTTAGTGACTTGTGACTGATCCCAGGCACTGCGAAAAGCCTGAGAAAGTGCTCTTCTTTCAATGGGAATTTTTATTTATTTATACTGAAACAGGGGGACTCAAGTATAGATTTGCCTCACAATGAAAATTAAAATCCGCCCCTTTTGATTCTGCTTTGTCATCGAGTAGGTACCTCCAGTTTCCTGGCAGTGTGATCCAATTACCTGAATGGGCTCTGGGCATCCGTTTGACTGTTAGGTTCAAGTTTGAATATCAACAGTCCTGAACAAACCCCACCCTTAGACAGGATGACTTGAACCTATCCGCACGTATCCAACTGTGAACATCAGACGCCACACCTTCATCGTGCCACTTCTCATCGGTAGTGTCCCACCCAAATCCCTGTGGGAAAGAATGTCAGCCTCTGAAATTATGCAATCCCACTTTGGGAAATCGTTTGTTGCGCTTTGTGAAATCTTTTTCAACAAACCGAAAATATAACATCAACACAAACAGCTCGTAGACGACTCCCTCTGTGCATGCGAGGACCGAGCGTGAAGAAAAGCTTTAAATTTAAAATATCACAGTGATATATCGTCAACCACAACGGTTTGAGTGGCACAATCTGAACATGATATGAGCGCTAAAAAACATACTGAGGAGAGGAAAAGGTGAGAAGGGAGAATGTGGTGGAACCTGATCCTGTTCTGGGCGTGTTGACCCCACCTTGCAGGTGAAATAAGCCAAGGTTTGTATTGTACAGTACAGTGTGCAACAACACTCCCTCTTGTTTTATCTAAGCTAAATGACTCCAGACCAGAATCGTTTACATGCCTGTGGAGAAAAATCAACATTTTGGCGTCTCTAGTTATGCAAGATTCTGGCTTTTTTCAGAGAGGAAACGCCATGAGTCATACTATCGTTTGTTACAGTGTGTGCCCAGTGAGTGTTTGACACACCAATGTCTACTGCTGGGGGGCGGGGCAGGAGATTAGCCACAACACGTTTTTCGGATCCAAACACAAGTCGTCAAATCACATGGCTGCAGAGCAACTGAGGAAGCCCAATAGAGTGGCTCTCTCAACAATCGTGTCTTTGTCTCGCTGCCATTGGTGATCAGTACTGGAAAAACCAGAGTCATAAAGGATCACTTGGAACAGTTGTGATATCGTCTGATATGTCACGATTTTGTGTGCACAGGTATTAACAATAATATCTTGAAATACTTTCTCAGGGTTGGCAGGTTCGAGGTGTTCCAGTGCGGCATTTACAGTACACTATGGGGTGATAAAAAAGCTGGCAGGAGGGTAAATCTGCTGTTTAAAAACCGCTGCAGAAACACAGAGCCTTACAGAGCTACACTCTGACATTTTACATTGCGGTAAATGAGTAATATGGCCTTTTAAAAAGACAGTTACTAAAACTTTTCCAGCATCTTCAACCTCCTTAATTGCTCTTTGTTTGTGTAAAGTCTAAATGTTAGATATTTATCACTTTGACATGTGTTGAATCGCCCTGAAATAAAGGCATCTGCTCCATGTAAATTGGCAAACAAAACCTCCAGCTGGACAGATTGGTATTCTTCAATGAGTAATGTAAAGATCTCTTGATGGAGGTGTTTGTGAGAAGCCTCAGATTGCGAGTATTTCAACACAAGTGTGTGAAACTAATCCGGCAGAGTGGTGCCTGCATGCCAAGGGAGTTAGCCTCACCACAGCCAAGTCACTGCTCTTTTTACACAATAGTAAAGCTCCCTGTCTGTGGTCGGCTGTCTCGCTGCTCATTCCTCCTCTGTCTTACACAATGTCGCACCCTGCCCTCAGATTTCTACACTGCTATTATAAAAACAGCCGGGTGTATATTTACAGGATTTGCAGGGGTAATTTCAAAGGCTTTAGATGGGAATGTTCTTTTGAATGAAGCAGAACAAACAGGAGGGACGATATCAGTTGGTTATTGTGATGAAACTCAAACCCCCAAGTGTGGACTGATTAAAAGATCGCCTTTAGCTCCTTTGCAGGTATATATTAACCCTAAAAGTTGTAGCATACGGCCTAGGCTGAAATCAAACACGTGCATGAACACACACTGCACACTCATCATCCTCGAAGGGAGTGACACATTGCCGCCGGCCTTAAAGAAAACACACACAAACACAGCTTCCTCCCCCCCACCTCCCTTCTCTTTCTCTCTCTGTTTCTCAGGAAACAGTGAGATGGTCATTCGTTTTATACTTTACTGATAGTTTCTCACTCTGTGTGTCCATATTTGGACCTCCTGCTTGTTAATAACTCCCTTTTTGAAGGCCACTTCAAACACTTCATGTCGGCAGGAGGATAAAGGACTGTTTTTCTTATCAATGATGATCAGCTGTGAACATACAGGCTGCATGACAACTCACAGAGTAGGCAGAAAGTGGAGGATTAATTAGGATCACTAGTAATAGTGTTTGTTAGTATTGATCAGAGGCGTGTGTGTTTAGTCGGCGCCAACCTTGACTTTGAAATTAGACACCAGGAAAACATCCTCACACGCTAGCTTTGAGTAGCAGGTCAGTAAGTCTTTGTGCATGGAGAGCTAATATGTGCTAAATTAGTGCTGAGTCAGACTGGCATCAGTGTGTGAATGGGTGAATACGAAATGAAACGCTTGAAGCAGTCAGAAAACTAGCGGAAATGCTACATAACCATACTTCATTTATGACTTTATTTATTTCTCTTAATGTAAGGGTTCATACAGTAAGTGTTCATCCCTCTATTGCTTTATTTGCTCTGAGAATGATCTGTATATCTACTGCTTTTAAACTACAACTTTTCATTTGTGACAGAACTATTTACATTTTTGACCATAAATCTATGTTTCCGCTTACATCTTTAAACACACTATAAATTTAGTCAAATTCCAAACAGACATTACAGACACATCTGTTTGCCTGGAGGGTAAAATATCAGGATTAGAGGAGTGAAACGACAGAAGTTGAATCAAGGTGAAGCAGAATGTAGGAGGCAAAAAAAAAAAGAGATACAGTTTGAGCGGATAGGCAATCAAGATTAAATTAAGACATCAAAGATTATGCTAAACATGTAGCTAAGGGAATTTAGCTCTAAGCATTTGCATGTGACTTGATGGCTGTGTGCCTGTGGTGTAAATGAAAATCAGGCAGGGGCAGCTTGAGGACTCTTATTTTGAAGGAGACACAATGGTCATTGTACAGTACACGTGAGCCACTTTCAGATATACTCTGTGCCCTGACCACCGTTTACATTTCATCAAAACATATGAACTCCTCATATTAAGTCGAGCCAACCAGTTTCCATAGTTACCAGCCAGGGGTTTTCATTCTTGATTCACTTCCTCACCCTGAGTGCACTTTCTGTGATTTTCCCCTCTTCCTGAGTCTCTGTTATACTACATTTAACTCCAGTAGCTCCTCACGTGACTTCTTCCCCTCTACTTTGGGAACATTTGTGCTCCTCCTGTTTCCTGCTCAGTGCCACCCCGCGTTTATGTCGCCCCCACAAAGCCCTGCTCTCTCAATGAAATCCAGACACACACACACACACACACACTGTACTCTCTCTCTCTCGCAGTCTAAAGAAAACAACTCCTGGCTGTAGCTAGGCAACTCCAAATATGAGTCATCCTACCGCCGCACCCATCACCACCCCGCTCCTAAGTACATACACACACACACACACGCATATATACACTCACGTACAGCTTCAGAGGTTTTTTTTTTTCAAATATAGTTGTTCAAAGCATTCAAACTATGTAGCTGTGGTAGCTCAAACTACGGGTCTGTCTAATTCCTGGAGTCACAGGAGAGGTGGACAGAGCTCTGATAAGCAGGACACCGTGAGAAATTCACCTAGCAGACCTCAGTTGATACCATCATGACCACAATGTGATGACTGATCACAGCTTGGCAGAGTGATTTTGTCAGATGGTTGAGCTGGCAGTGGATCTGACTGAGACTTTGCTTTTTGGCTTCTGGACTAAGTCTTACAAACCCCGTCTTTATAAAACTTTTTCCATAAATATAACAAACTTTTGAAGTCTGTCATAACTTCTATTTGATAAACATATATTCAGGCTACACAGCATCTAGTTTCTGTGAAGTAATAATCAAAAACAAGAAAATATGAAATAATACGAATAGAAAATCAGGAGTTTCAAGATAATTGAATCAGGAAACATGACTTCATTCTCTCAGGCAGATAACAGATTCAACATCAACAAGTTTAGATAGCCATTCAAAAAGAGGGCAAAGGTCAAATGTACTAAATATTAGAGTGACGTGAGTGTGATGTGAGTCACTTTGTTATTTGAAATAATGCATGTTTACATGTACTGACCAGGCTCATGTACTGTACTCATATTAATACGATAGATAGATAGATAGATAGATAGATAGATAGATAGATAGATAGATAGATAGATAGATAGAATGTCATATTGCGATACGCTGCAACTGCTGCTTTCTTGCAATGCAGTGCTGCCCTCTAGTAGACAAAAAGTAGACTGCCTTTGAGATACCATGCAAAAGGCATTTGTATGTGACAAATGGCTTTAAAATGTCAAAGGATACTTTTATCACAACTTAGAAGTTTCTGATGGCCATACATAAAAAAGTCGTTGTGATAAATATATGTCATAACCAGATTGTTGGTGTTAAGAGCTTAAAATATTTAATAATGCACTGTTGTGTGTTGAATAAATGAATGTGTGTAGTTATGCTTCCTATAATATTAAAATAAACAGTAAAAAAATTGGAAACCACTGGTGTTATTTTCAGGTCATTGTTTTGTTTGCGTCACTTAATGAGGTAGCTACCCACTGCGCATGTGCATAATCATGGGCAATCAGCTAGCAGGTGTTCGTGGTAAGTTTATTTAAACCCCACGGTTTTTTTCGCTGCCTCGTTGTTTATGTGTGCAGAGAAAAACTAAACTTGCAATGCATTTAAAAAATCGCGGAAACTACGTTGGTTTCCTTCTAATTTACACCATCACAATAACAACTCTACCCTTAGGGAGCTGGAGCTGGACGACCAGAGCCAACGGGAAACTGCAACAGCTCGACTCAAGACGGCCAAGAGAGTCGAAAAATCCCCCAAACTGGGATAAACTCCACAACAGCCGTAAAGAGACAGAAACTTCGACTAAAACTCCACCGACAAACTGCACCGAGGGGGAAATTTGGGCTGTTATCCACGGAAAGTTTACCATTGTTGGTCTACTTGAATCTAACACTCCACATGCAGGATTCCAGTCAGATTCTGCTGTTTCAGGTAAGTGAGAGGGCAGTCCCAAATACCAAAATAAAGGATGAGAAGTCTTAGTTATTGTAGTAGGGAACTGGACTCTAAATTTGTGCTCTTGATAAGGTCGACTGCACAAACATTTCATGAACACACACACTAAAATGAATTCTTAAAAGACAACAATTTCTCAGAAACAGGTTTTTGATGAAACTCTTTACGCTTTGCAGCAACATTTAGTGACAGGAAAACTCATAAAATCATTTTTCTTTTTTCTTTTTTCTTTTTTTTACACTTAAAAAACAGATTTTGTCCCCTGTGATGTGTTCTTGGTGTTTCGGGAATATTTTTGTTTGATGAAACATTATTGTGTTTTGACTAATTATTTTACTTTTTCCACTTCATTTTGTTTTCCTGTTAATGAAATATTATTTTATTTGGAAAGTTTAACTCAGCGCACAACATATGCTATCACAGATTTCCCCCCTCAGATAATGAAAATAAAATGTTTTAAGGGTAAAAATACGAGTTTGTGTATGTATGTATTTGACTGTACATGATGCTATGTCCACATAAGAGGCTACTGTCTGTTCACTTGGGGTTGTAATGAGTCAAAAAACAAAGACTTTTAAAATGTATAATGTTCACTTCTCATAGCATGATTATTTAAAGAAAATGGACATGAATTTTAATTATTTTATTATTATTATTATTATTATTTTAAATGAATGTGCAGTAGAAGTTGAAGTAGGTCTTTCAACAGTATGCCATTCTTAAGCAGCGGTTATGAATACATTGATGTCTATGAGGGTTTTTTGGAGATTTAACTGCACACTGGCTTGGCTTAGATGAACATGTGGTTCATGATTACATGATTGAAAATATGAGAATATTTAGTATTAGAAATTAAATATCAAACAGCATTTTAGCTTTAATTTTACCTGCTGTTTATGAATTTATTTGAGAGATCCAAAAGGAATTTTGTTTTGCCTCTGTTGCAGAATTACCAGCAATTAATCAGGGAGTAGCTCACAGCTGAATCCAGCTTCATCTTTAAGTAGTGTGAAGGCGTGACCATCATACTTCGGCTTCTGTCAAATATATAGAAAGTAAGACTTTAGTGGATCATATTGGGATTTATTGTGCAGCCTTGGCACGGACAGCCTTTTTCGAAAAGGGGTCCTTTTTAAAAAACTATCAGAGGTCAAAGATTTAGGACAAAGAGAGCAGACACTGTATTCGCTAAGCTGTGAGGTGGTTTGTTTTTGTTCAGCCCAGTCCAAGGATGGCCAGCGAGGGGTCAAAGGTCAACAGCACAGTGACTCAGAGGAGAGCTGGCAGAGGTTGCAGCCTGTGGTGGAGTGTGGAGACAAAGCCATGACCCTGACTGTAAGGAGGAGACGAGCTGTTCAACTGCTGCTGGACAGAGGTATGTTTTCAGCTCCTCATTTACCACAAATACTTGAGTTCATGTCTGGTACAGTGCACTGAGTTAGTATTGTGTGATTAGTGTTATTTCTGAGATGAAAGTAAATTTAGCAGTGGTTCCAAGTCAACTTCTTCAACATATCTTATCTTAATAAAGGTTAACAGCCTTGGTTCAGAGAGACCACAAAGTGAGGCTCACAGAACATCAGCGCACCCTGATGCCAGCTCAGCTACTTACCTTATACACATCACTCTGTCTTCTTCCTCTGCAAACCACATTTCAACTCACCTCCACCCCAGCTCTGCCATTTTATGCTGTCTGACTTTACCAGTGTAACATGTTTTACTGATGGCCTGTTGTGTGTTTGTACCCTAGGGGTTTTTGCTGCTGGTCTCCCTGCCTCAGTCTCTGGCATTTCTCATACAGATGTGGAAGGACAGGGAGCCTTTAAAACAGACATCCCTCCATATATGACTCAGTGTGTGAAATAAAACCCCGATGACTAAAGTGGTCCTGACAGAAAAATGTTTTTTCTTTGTGTCTCTTCCTTTCTCAGAGAATAAGTCGTCCCTACCTTTGTCCCAGCTGTCCCCTGAGTGTGGTTACTCAGTGCTGTCCACATGGAAAGACCTCAGTCTGGTGGCTCATTATGATGCCTGCCATGTTACACAAGAGGTAAAATACACAATTTATGCACATATTTTCTTGTATCAGATACTTCTGTACTGTAATGTAGTCATCTATTACTGCAGACCTGGACTGGTTAGACTTGTAGTTTACAGTAGTGGAAAAAAAGTTGATATACTGCATTAAGACTTTCTCTAAAGTCTCTAAGTGCAATTTCTTTTAGTACAGTCACAGCCAAAGCACTTAACACATCAGGAAAAGATGTTAAAACTTAAAACAACTTAAATATATAAGATAAAATTGAGGATTAAGTCATTTTGGTACCCCTGATCAACTAATTACTAAGGCCATGTGTTTTATTGAAGATAAAAATTTTGAAGAATGTGGTGGATTATCAAAAGTCGCTTTCAAAGCGTAAACCAAAGAATTTGGAAGAATTAAAGGAAGTAATTCTAGAAAAATGGGACAATTTTTCCTCCTAGTAGTGTGAAAGGTTCATGGAGAACATGCCAGCTAGGGTTAGAGCTCTACTGTGTGCTAATGGCAGGACTACAAAACGTTAATTTGATGATTTGATGGTTTTTTTGTTTGTTGTTGTTTTTTCAGTTTTGAGCACATTCTGTTGACTGTGATACCGACAATGTTGAGAACTGACATGTTGAAACTTTAAAGGATTTTACTTTTTTACACAAAAAAAGCATTTGTTTGCGTCTGACTGATGCAGCTACACCTGTTGAAACACACAAAAAAAAATTTCTGCAAGTATTTCCTGAAAACATTTGAGATTGTATAAAACTTTAAGGGTGTCCAAAAACTATTTTTCCTCTACTTTAATTTTCTGTTGGCAAATTGATCCACTAAAAATGTATTAATTGTACATCTGCATGTATGGGGCATTGCTGTGGATGTGTAGGTGAGTTTTAAGGGAGATTTTATACTCAAAGTGAGACAGGTGAGTACAGTAATTGCAGGATAAGTTTATATTTACACTCTGTCATCATTTACGACGGACAAGTACCCTAAACAATCTTTCTTAAAAGAGACTTTAAAAGGGAAGTGTACTGTCTTGAGGTTGTATTCTTCTTGGATGTGAAATCTCTTGTAAAAATGTAAAACTTGTGTTCAGGATGACCACTATGTCTTGCCTCTGCTTTGGAGGGGGACTCCAGTCAGGGTGTCATGCCCCACCTCTCAGATGGAGCCTCAGGCTGCAGGTCCTTCCTCCCCCTGCTGCTCCCCGTACGGTCTGACTGTCAAAGTGCAGGGACTGCCTGACGCAGAGGAGCTGAGGGTAAATGGTAAAACTCACTTTGACTTTTTATTCTACCATCATCATTTTAATGATGCGCCACCTCTGCCTGCCTTAACATGACTTCCTCTCTTTCAGTCAGAGGAGAGTGGACCCCTTTGGAAGCATTAGCTGAGCAGTGTGGCTACACTGTGGACAGAGGAGATGCAGAGATTATCTTCACTGCTCCATATATTGCATGTGGCATCACTGTAAAGGTACACTTCATTAACTGTACCATTTAAAACTTTGATTTTAAGAATATAACATAGGGCTGTGTACTGAATTGTAGCCATAAGATTACTATTAGACACCAGCTCTGAATGGCATAAAAAAAACTGAATTTACAATCAATAAAACAAAAAAACAAACTCCAAAAATGTAATAATAATTTCTGAAGTAGTAAGTTTAATTTTTTTATACAGTTTACACTGAGAGACACTAAGATAGTCATTTAGCAGTGTCACTAGACATATGGGGCTGAGGAGATGTCCAAACATTTCACTGTACGATTAATTTGTTGTTATAAAGTTTACGCCATTCTGTAAATATCCCCTGAGTCATCAAAAACCCCCAACTCTATTTTCATCACTCTTTCCACATTTATGCAAAGCCAGCAGCCAAGCAGCAGAGTCTTCCCTGTCTCTCAGGGAAGACTCCCTGATCAACTTCTGGGAGACTGATAGATGTGGGTTCACTCATTCATTTTTCTTTCGGGGTGACCACTTATCCTCCTTCCCCTAATATGGTAGCAGTATTTTTCAATGTTTTTCTTGGACATAAGACACAGTTTGGCTAAGTTTCCCTTCATTTTTTTAAAAGTAACAGAGAAATATTTACTTTACTGTCTACTTAAACAACTATCAAAGTCAGACAGCTGTGTTTAATTTCAGTCAAATAATGTATCTAGGTAAATGTGCATTAGCTAAATTAATAAACTTAAAGTAGGTCACTTGATTAATCACCGGATTAATGATCAATAGGGCACTTGATTTCTAATATATTAAGTTAAAACATCCTTAATATTAAACTTAGGGGGTTTTATTAATCTGTCTACACAGCACATTTATCCCAAATCTGCCAGGAGCTCAAAAAGTGTGATCATCAGTTAAATTTTCAATATATTTGCATTTTACATTGTTCGCAGTATATCTAAATACTTATTTCATCCAGTTTTATGCTTCAGTCTTAAACAGTCTTTTTTTTTCAGGGTGGCAAACACACACTTGCTCTACAAATAAGAGAGAAGATTTTCACTCTGACGTGTCCTGTCTTTGGCCCTGAAGATCCTCCACTCACCAATCAGCCTCCGATAGACAGCTATGCTCAACAAACGGAGCATAAACCACAGTCCAATGAGCCTCTCCCATGGGCTCCACCTTTCTACCTGGCCCCACCTCACTACCCCCACCCTACCTATCACCACACACATCCTCCTCATAATACAAAACTACCTCCCACTCCCCAACCTCCTACCCCTGGTCCTGTGTTTGTCCCACGGGCTCACCCTCCTGTCCACGATCAGACTTATAACACCCAGCAGGAGGCTGAACAAGATTATTCCAGTCATCTTGATGCCCAAATTTCCCCTCCATCTTCAGACCATGTGAAGGATACGAGTAAAGAGCGTCAAGATCTGCTAACAAAACCGGAGACACCGAATTCTGCACATTCTCCCGCCTCAGAAGCAGGATTTCCCACTCAAGTCGAAGCGCCTCCACTCCAGCAGCTCAGCAATGCCTTCGCTCAGTACTATCACTACTACCATCACCCCAAGATCCCTCTTGATGGTCCTGCCAAAGATCCTGATCCAGGTCCAAGGATTCCAAAAGAACAGCCACCTCGCCCTGTTTCCCCAGAGTCTTTCCCCAGTGCCCAACCATCTGAGGCTGCTCCTGATCCTCACTCCCCTCCAGCGAGTCCTGGATTCAGTCATAAGACCTCCAGATCTATCAATCCTCATCCTCCACCACATTACCCCCACCACTACTTCTATTACTTTCCACATACTGCAAGAGACGAGGCTGAAAGACCACCTCCTCCAGATTCAAAAGAAGACGATCAACACTCAAAATCAAGCAGTTTTCTTCTTGAAAACTCATCAGAGCACAACTTAAACCCTTACGCAGAGAAACCAAAGCCAGATGAAGTGAAGAACGTTCACAGTAAAAGTGCAGAAAGGTTACAACTTCCATTTTTATCTGATGAAGAAGATGATGGAGAAGTAGCAGATGTAGCTGCTAACCCACGAAGTTTCCCTCCTGATCCAGATCCAGTTCCTACTCCTGAACAACCCCCTCTCCCCTCTCCAGCTTCCAGCTATCATCACCCTCTTTACCCATACTATCTCCACCTTTACTACTACTATTATTACCTCCACCTCTATCAGCAGTATTTTGGAACCGGGAGTTTACCCAGCAATCCCGACCATGTCTCACCAACTCCATCCAAACAAGCTCTAGACCCTTTGCATCAAACTTCCTTCACTCCACCAGAGCATCCATCCAGTCAGACCTCTACTCCACCTACAAAACCAAAGGATGATTCCCACGATCCCCACCTACATCCCTATTACCACTCCGACTTCCACTATCATCCTGTAGAGTCTGTAGACAACCAAGAACCACATCCTGCAGAAAGATCCTCCTCTGAATCAGAATCTTACCCTCCCTCACATACTGACGACATCGAGAGGGATCCATGGCTTCCTACTGCAGAGGAAGGATATCCCAGCATGCCTCTGCAACTGCAAAGCCTTTATTCCTATTATATGACTCAGCAACATCCAAATGATCCTTTGGAGCATCCTGATGGAGAAGAAGAGAAGCAAGTCGACAGTGAAATGGAAGGTAAAGGTTGACAATGAGAATAATTGTGAGATGTAAACTTTTGTGTAGTGCTTAAAGTCTGCACAGGGGGACAGAACATGTTTGGTTTTAGACAAGCATGAGGCTCAGTGTTGAAAACTGAAGATGAGTTCAAGTGCAAAAAGCTGCAACTCCTCGAGGGCCTGTTTATGTCCTGTCTCAAAAATGTTTTTTTGGGGGGGGGACTCAATAGCACAATTCAGTATTTGTCTGCACTGCACAGGACTTCCATTTTTTTTACAGTGCATCTGTCAGATAAAAAGTGTGTGGACACATTTGTGTAACTCGGCTTGTAGCAGAGTTGACAAGTTTGTTGTACTTGTATGCCAGAAGGGTAGATTCCTGCCTTGGCCTCTCCTCTTTGTTTGTGTTCCAAGTCAGTCAAGGTTGAATCAGCATTTACAAACTGCCATCTTTGGGTTTAACAATGCTTCTGTAAAAACAAACAACCTGATGGTGCAACAGAGTGTTCCAAGCAATGCAACCCATTGTTTTTTTTATTATTTTTGTCCCCCTTTTCAAATTGTAACATCATGGTTAAAATTATTTTGATTTTATTTATTCCACTTTTTTGAGCCAGAATTTGCTCAATTTTGATGACAGTGTTGTTTGGAAATGTTACACATCTGTTCTTAATAATTCAATCAATCCATCAGGAATGATAAAACGACTTGTTTAGTTGCAAGTTTTTGATGTGCAAACCTATAGCAGCTGAGCTTGAGCCAGTCAACTTTTAACTAATTCACAAAGAAAAGCATCAAGCCATTCAAAAAGAAAAAAGAAAAGGTTTCTTCCTCCTTAACACACTAATCTCACTACAGGAGAAGTGCTGAAAAATAAAGGCTAAGCCCCCTGTACTGCTGTGGGGGACTTGATAAGTCACAGACAGGCTGGCACTGTCCAAAGACAAATATGTAAATGGACTCTACTAATTAACTACTGCAACTACAGTCTTAAAATGTTTCCCTCTCAGTCACAGGCCTCTTGACTGATCTCGGCTGATGAGTCACTGTTGTTGTGACTTGTCAATCACAGGAAGTCACAATTAAATAAAAAAAAAAAAAATCCCTGCAAGCATAATTCACAAAATGACTACCATCCTAAATTTGAGAAGGCTCAAATTTGGTGATGGAGATAATAAAACTGTTGTAAAAAGGTTTTCTGAAGTAAAATATCAGCCAAGAGAGGAACTTTCCCTTCTTTATACTGTTCAGCTTGTTCACACGCCCCCTACTGGCTGTTTGAAACATTGTAGATTAGAAGGCATTAATACTTTGGCTGATTTTGCTACCAAGCATACGCTCTTAAAACACAGAATCAATCAATCAGTCAATCAGACTTTATTTATAAAGCTCTTTTCACACAACAATATTACAATGCAAAATTCTGTACATAAAATGAAAAGGTAACAAGGTCAAATTTTGGCCTGCTCTTGCCATGCCAAAATCCAGCTCTAAGTCTTTGTTGAAACTGTCTAAACCTCTGAATACAACATATTCTGTTATATCTCCTGCTGTTGAATAGATCTCTTCCGGTAAAACAAGCTCTCCTCTTTGTGTTCTCACTGCCTGTGTTCAGACCAGCTCAAGGCCGACCTGTACACTCCCTTTGCCTCACCCTGCTGCCTTGGCTGTGTGTCAGATATCGACTGCAGCACCTTCCCGGGCTGCTGTTTGTACTTAGTAGAAGGTGAGTCTCTGCCAAAACAAATCCTGTCAACACATGTCAGACAAAAATGAATCGACAATTGGTTAAAAGCGGCTGATTGATGTACGGCTTTCAGGCTTAGACGCCCACACCCAAACCCTGAAGAACTAAAGAAATCTGTCATCTTTGTCTCCTTTGAATAGGCCTGATCAGATGGATTTTAGACACTTTTAAACATTGTGTTTCTGTGTTTGAGCTCACAGGCTGCACAACGGGACAGCATTTCATCTTTGTGGTGCCTGACTCTGCAGTGGAGTCCACAGTGTCCTTCCCAGCTCATCCCTCCGAGGTTAGTAAAGCTTACTTCTCACTGCAGAGGCTGACCTTTGACCCTGGCATCCACAGTGTGTCCCTGGGTGGCTGCGGAGTAAAACAACAAGGAGAGCAGACTTGTATTGAATGTGGACCAAAAGGGCAGTGGGTTATGACGCTGCTTTGACAAAGTTTTTAACCTTGATCAGCGTTGGATAATCTCGTGAAGCTTTGACTGACCTTGTTAATGTTTTTTTTCAGAGTCACCTTCAACAAAAAGCTTCAGACAGCTTTTAATGTACTGTAAAATTTCTCCTTTTTTATCAGGTGTTTGATCAGACAGATTCTTATCTGTTTGAAGATCATGGAGTCCACTCGTTTCATCAAGACCCCACTTCTGTGCAGGAGAACTACACAGGTATGGTGCTAATGTGCTATTTTTGAAATGCTTGTTTATTATTTTCTCACAGTTGTATTTAAAATCAGTATAAAAGAACACTTTGTAAAGCATGTCAAAGTAAGACAAAGGTGTCGATATCTCAGCAGTTGAACATGCCTCCATTCACTCACTCTCTCCAACACATCTTATTAAGCAAAGGTGTTTCCCCTGCCTCCCCTAATCTGTAACAGCAAACTTCAGAACTTCAGATACAACAGGGAAGGTTGGGGAAACAACATCATAAAACAAGTAAACAAAAGTGAAACTGGTTGATCACGGTTTCTGACTCCACCCTCTGTTCTGTCCTCTCAATGAAGGCACAAAAAATCCCCAAAGTAACCACAAGAATATCAAACAGGTGCATCACTAACACTTATTAACTTACTAACAAATATTTTTCATTACTCATTGAAAAAATTAAGATTGTGATATATTCTGGTCTCATTACATGCAAACTAAATCTTTCAGAGTGTAGTAAGGCGTACAGCTGAAAAAACAAACTTATTACCCTAAAGAAGATATCTTATTTTTGAGTTTGAATTCCTTACTGTTTAAACAGAATAAACTCCACCTATACCGTAGTCTGCTTAGAGACTTGAAACCACAATCATAGAGAAGACAGCTGACTTGATTGTCTAGATGATTATTGACACCCTCTACAAAGAGAGTAAGCCACTGAAGGTCAGTGATGAAAAGACCGGCTGTTCAGAGTGAAGAATGTTAATGGAAAGTTGGCTTGAAAGGAAGAAGAGTGGGAGGAAAAGGAGTCCAAACAACAGGGATGACCGCAGCCTTGAGAGGATTGTTGGGTAATGTTGATTCACAACCATGGACGAGGTTCACAAGAAGAAGACTGATGCTTGAGTCACAGCCTCAAGAGTTATTGTGCACTGACGTGTCCAGGAAATGGACCATGAGTGTTGTGTTCCTACTTTCACAACACTCCTGAACCAGAGACACCAAAAGAGTCTGCCTGAACTAAGAAGAAGAAGAAGAAGAAGAAAAAGGGGACTGTTGCTTAGTGGCCCAAAGCCTTTTTCCCCAGATGCAAGTGAATGTAGCATCTCATTTGGCAGTAGAGGAGTCTGGAGGAAGATCGGGGAGGCCCGGAATCCAAGGTGTTTGAAGTTCAACATAGTTTCCACAGTCTGTGATGATTTGAGGTGCCATGTCATCTGCTGCTGTCGGTCTACTGTGTTTTATAAAGTCCAAAATAAATGCAGCTCAAAGTCTTCCAGGAGACTTTAGAGCACTTAATGCTTCTGATTACACTACCTTTCCCAGCAGGACTTGCACCTGCCCACAGCGTCAGACAACCAAATGTTTTTTCTGACTATATTATTTTGCTTGATTGACCGACTACGTGAATGTCATGAGAGGAACATGTCAAGAGGAAAATGACAAACACCAGACTAGAAACTACAGACCAGCTGAAAGCAACCAGGGCCTCAATCACACATGAAGAAAGCCATTACCTGATCGCTCTATTGCCAAGACACGATGTAATTCATGGTAAATGAGCCCCAATAACTTAGGGTGACCATATTCTGACTTCCCGAAATGAAAACACGACCACGCAGGGTAGGAGTCACAGAGTCGCACAAAGTTAATTTTGAGAGTTTTTCATGTTGGATCGAGAGTCTCTTACGCGCTTCACTAAGTCCACGTGACACAAACTCGAAATTTACGTACAAAACCACAGACATTTGAAGGATTTTATAAACTTCCCTGGACTAACCCGGACAGCCCCGCAAAAAGGAGGGCATGTCTGGGTAAAAGCGGACATATGGTCACCTTAAATTACTTGAACGAATGCATTTATCAGGAGATGGACATTTCTGGTTGAAATCCTTTTTGATTGGTTTTAGAAAATATTACAACAATTTAAGAAACTGGATTTCTGCTTTTATGAGCTACAAACCAAAACCACCAAAATTCAAGAGAAAGCTGGTTTAAAATATGCAGTTATTAATAACAATTATCACCCTTTTGAATGAAAATATAGCCCAAAAACATTCACAATATTCTAATTTTTTCGAGCTGCATCTGTGTCCGCTTGTGCATGTGAGTGAGTGTGTGTGCACGTGTTATGACAGTCTTTAATCTTTTAAAAGCATTGAGTTAAAATATTGTGATTAATATACTTTGTTGTTAAGAGAGTGTGGCAGCTTTTTTTCCCCAATTTGCTTAACTTCTTTAATTTCTTTCCAGGTCCTGACAGTGATGATAAATGAAATAAAGATATTACACCACAGATTTCTAGTTTATCTCACAGAAAAAAAAAACAAGCACACAAGTTTCAATGAACAGGAGAACAAAAAGTCTCCATACAACATTTATTTTTAAAAATTCTGACCTTTTAAAACAACATAGTGCAAAGCTATGGTTGGTTCTACAGAGTGCAGTGAAAAAGTCATAAACAAGCAACTTAAGGCAACTTTTTCTGTCGAGACAGGAAACTATGTGGGTTAGTTTGGTCACAGAATCATTGGGCAGGAAGTGAACAGTTGGGACTACATGTGAATTACAGGAAGGCAGCACCTTAAGACCCACATAAATGTTTATACAATCAGAAAGAGAAAATCTGAGGATACAAGAGCCTGCAGATTATCTTGTAAAGGAAGGTCCTCGACTTATTTTGTGCCCACAAACATATTATCTGCCTCATAAGATTTATAATATAAAATAAAATGCTATGTTCTCAAAACCCTAAAAACTTCTTTCAAACCAAACATCAAACCTCAAGTTAAAGCTCTACACGTGAATTTAGGGAGAATAATAATCAAATAATGCTCACAGCTTCAACACAACCAGCGGTGCTGTGAGTAATTTTTACAAGCAAGAGAAACAAAATAAAAAATAAAGCGTCTGTGTTTAAACTAGGGCTGTCATACTTTTCCAATTAGTAACATGCATAAAAATAACGTGCATAAAAAGTACCGCAGAGTAACTGCACTCTAATGTTGTACATCACTGATTATTAACAACTATCCACAGCATCTAAAGAACATGTAACGAGTATGATTGGCTTTGAATTCAGCCACTTTGAACCATCTGACACCTACTTCACATATTGGCAGGTATTTTTGAAAACAGATTTTTTTCTTTTTGTTTCAAAATAAAGACTATCCACATGACCGCAAAGAAACAGTGGAAAAAAAACAAAACATTTTAGAGTAAGGATGTCAGACCAGTAAGTGGTGACAACGTGATCAGTTAACATCTAACACTTCATAAGAATATTGTGTGCATGCCTGTTTAGCATCTCTATGCTTTTTAAAGTTAAGAATTAGAGATGTATATATTCACTTGCCTTTGTGCTGCTACACAATTATTGAGAAGAGCTAATTTTCTACATCAATCACTGAGCAGATGGAGATGAACAGATTGTTAAGGCTGCTAGCACGTAGAGTGTTCATTTGGAAACATATTTGGTTGGAAACAGTGAACTATTGTTGAATTTTGGCTGCTCCTCAAACTTTGAAAGGCAGTATCAGGCAGGGGTAAGAAGCCATGCTGATCACAGTAGTTTATTAACACTGAATATGATGAAGCATACAGCGCAATGAAAACGTGGGAGTCAGATATAACTATTGAGAAACAGGGTAAAGCAGTAAGTCTGCCTTTGGCAAGCTCTTACATGTTATTGATATCTGCGTTTGATAGTTTTGATGTCTTGACAGCACTAGTTTAAACATTTGTTTCGCAGTCACACTGACTAATTTAAAAGCTTTATTTGAGTTAGTTTGTGGGATTCAGCTTCCAGGTTTTTTTTTTGGTCCAAAGTTATCCCAACCATACTCAAGTTTTGAACAAAAACTGAAAATTTAAGCTAGAAAAAAAAAGACTTAAAAAAAAAAAAAGTTATCATGAACACTGATTTTAAGATCTGATCTCAGCTGGATGACCTAAATCCAATCAGATCACTTCTGAAAACTGGGCCCTGGAAGACCTGCAGGATTATTTTTAGTCAAGAATGTTCAAAAAAAAATAAAAATAAAATACTCACTTTCTTCTCTTACTCTCTAACTAAGATATAAAACTAAACAGTTGAGGATCAGTAGTTGACACATGGACAAAATCAACCTGTAAACATTTCTTTGCTGGTTTAAAGCGATGGTCCACTTTTGATGGGGCAGAGGAGGACTGATGAAGGGTCTTAAACCGAATCATCCCCTCAGTACACGGTCCGATAGTACGCAGCCACGTCTTGCTGGACCTCCTTGACTTGTTTCAGAAGGATGATGGTGCAGATAAGAGCGACGACCTGTCAAGCAAACAAAGGGAGGAAGGGACAGAGAGCTGAAGAGCCTGATGACCTGCTCATCATCACCATGAGGACTGAACCAGCCACTGAGTGAGAAAAAGCTCCTACTATTAATCTACATGCAGAAGTATCAACAGAAACTAAAAAAAGGCAATCTTTTTTGATTGAAAATGGAAAAACCCAACCTTGGATCAGAGTTTTTAAAAAACATGTCATTGCTGATAGAAAATATGACCTAAACTTGCAAGTATTTTGGGAGATTAAAGGCTCCATTAACTCTGGAATTAATATGAATCCTGGCTAATCCAACCCAAGTACAGCTGCCTGTACTTGAGAAGACTTGAGAAGAAGGACAGATCTGGAGTCAGTTTTTATGGTGGTGCTCAACAGACATAGACACACAGTAAAGACAAAGAGTGCTCAGTGAGAAAATATAGATTGTACGACACAAATAAGGTTAGTATCTGATTGTCTCAGTGGTTAGTTCTCAAGAACTCAAACATGTCTACACGAAGATGTCAAATGAAGAAGCTATTGGACTATAATTTCTTATTTTCTGTTGTAATCCCTTCACTTCAACAGGTTTTAGTAAACCTGGGCCCCTTTTCACGTATTATATCAGGCAATACAACTACTCTACACAGATACCAGATACTAAACTGCTAATTTTGCAGTCATGATTTCCCCCCTCCAGGTTGGATTTTCCCCTTTAAAGGAAGCAGAAAATGCCCTGCAGTGGCTGTGTACAGGAACTGAACAGTTAAAAACAGAAGCTGCCTCTTCTCTACAGCATTGTGGTTAAAACAAGACAGGCTGAAAGAGAGAGTGTAAAACTGACGAGCACTTTAAGCCTCAGGCAGAGGGATGTTTGCAGCAGTGAGAGGGGTGAAGACGACAGGGTTGGGGTCAGGGTGGGGGTATAAGGTGTAGATAAAGTCAGGTTGTGAGGGTGGAGGGTTAGCCAGCACAGGAGTGGACTGAGTCAGGATGATGTACTGAGCAACAGCAGCAGACTGTTTGAGCTTTGAACTGAGGGTAAGGCTGCAAATCAGAGCGATGAACTACGGGACGAAGAGGAATAGAAAGAAGACAAAGAAATATGACAATGAAGAAGGGGAGGGGGGTTAAGAGAGACAGAGGGAAACACAGGGGTAAAAACATGACATTAGACACAACAAAAGCAAAAGACTGACATAAAACTTTAAATAGAAACTGAGCCGTATTAAACACAAGAGTCCCTCTTAGTGGTCACTGTGGCTGCAAATTAGACACAGCTTTTCAGTTGAACCATAATGTAAGATATAGGGGATGCACAAAATATCGTGGCCCTGAATGTCAATGGCACAAATAATTTAGGAGGCAATAAATACACATTTCATAAAGCACGAAAAAAAATTCATTGAGTCGTGAAAAAAATCATAAGCATCTAACAAAAGATGAAAATGTTTCTTTCCAACACAAAACATGTTTTAAGGGATATTCCGGCGTCAAATTAATCTAGGTTCAAACACACTGTAACATCGAGTTAGATACCCCCTCGAGAGATGACTGTTGTTTACCGCTTGCTTCTCTAGTTATACCAACTTTAGTAATGACCGCACGATAGCAATACACAGCGGTCTATCACTCTATAGCAACAAATAATGCTTAGAACAGCACCTAACTTCATCAACAGTACATACAGGGTCCCAGCCATAGTACTAGCAACTAAACCCCTTTTTTCATTTGCTGAATTTCTTTAGCAAAGAGACAAAACACAACTCACCCACTTTCCTCCAGCAGCCGCTTGTTTGTAGCGAGACCTCAGGCCAATTCATTATGGACTACAGCGGGGTGAAGCAGCTCAAGGAAGAACATTTATGATTATTTCTTAATGGAAATGCAATCAGTCCGAGACGCTAAGGCAGAAGAACTATGGCATCTGCAGTGCAAAATGATTAATGTGGTGACTATTACTTAAAGGAAATGATAAAGTAATGATCATAAATGTTCTTCCTTGAGCTGCGTCACCCTGCTGTAGTCCATAATGAACTGGCCTGAGGTCTCGCTACAAACAAGCGGCTGCTGGAAGAAAGTGGGTGAGTTGTGTTTATTCTCTTTGCTAAAGAAATGAGACAAAGTTAAAAAAAATGTTTGGTGGCTAGTACTATGGCTAGGACCCTATATGTACTGTTGAAGTTAGGTGCTAATCTGAGCATTATTTGTGGTTATAGAGTGGCTTTTTGGTTGAGGTTTGTTGATGGCTCCTCAGACCGCTGTGTATTGCTATCGTGCGGTCGTTACTGAAGTTGGTATAACTAGAGAAGCAAACAGTCAGCAACATTCATCTCCCAAGGGGGTGTCCAACTCGGTGTTACGATGTGTTTGACCCTAGATTAATTTGACGCCGGAATATCCCTTTTAAGAGAACAAATTCTAAAAATAAAAAATGTTTTTTGAAAACAAACCATTTCATCTTAACTGAAAGTCACTTTGCATTTACTAATCTGATGTGGGTAGGAAACTACAGTCAGCTGACAAGTCTGTAGCATGTACGTACATCAGAAAAAGCAGCAGTGAGACACTTCCTCAAGAGAGTGAAGAAACATAACGCTCGAGTTCAACTGAGGCTGTGTGGAGCATCAGTGTGGTTCAGGTTATTGCCAAACAACAGAAAGTGGCTCTCTCTAGCTGTTCTAGACAGCAAACCTCATTGTACTGTTATCAAGAACTGTAATCTTTTCATCTATGAAGGCAAACAGTCAGAGCTGCGCCGACTAAAGCAGCAGCTCACAATCAAAATGCTGAAATGGACTATATGCAAAAATATTTTCCTACCAAAAGAGCTCCAGTTCCAATGAGGATCCCCATCACCAGCGGTGCTCTGCTGTCAAAGGTGGACATGATGATCCCAGGACAGCTCTGCAGGATGACACAGACATAGCAAACCTTTAACACCCTCTTTCCTGGAGAGTCCAGAGTCGCTCAGTTTTACTACCTTTGAAATTAAATCACGTTTCAACTTACAGGCATGACAATGTGTTCGAAAATCCCTTGTGGTTTGGGACACGTCTCTGCAGCAATCTCCACCAGCGGGACCCCTGTCAACCCACAGCAGTGCAGCTGAAAAATGATCAGAGATTAAAGGAATAGTTTAGGAAATTTAGGGGCCGTATGAAATCCTCTGTTTTAAACGTTTTTTTGTTCATGCACTGTAAGTCCTCAAATAAAGACCAGTATTCAATCCATGACCTGGCCTCTTTAGCCAAAAACCCACATGATAAATACGTCACATTTTGTCAGCTGTTGTGTGCCAGTTCTAGTCAATGGTTTTGCCACAGATAAAGATAGGTGCCCAGTCTATTTTCAATGGAGTCTGTTCCCAGAACGCATCAATCTGAACAGAGAAGATCAACCTAGACAGGCCATCTGGTTAAGTCCAAAATAAAACACCATATGCAGACTCCTGACAGTGTATCAGATTACATAGATGTAAAATACTGATTGGTGATGGAATTGTTAACTCAAAATAACCTCATGGCGTATCTGTGATCTATGGCAACAGTGTGACAGGACTATTATTACCTGCAAACTTTGTCTGCAGGTAATAGCACAATAAAAGTGGAACATAAATTAACAATTACACAATAAAGCAACCCTTCTTGAAAATAAATGAATAAATAACCCGTTGTGCATAATGGCACAGTCTGTATGTGGGGGTTTGGCCACAGTCAGCCTTGGCCTGATTTAACTCTGAGTACGCCCACAGGTTGGTAAAAATGTCCCTTTATTTGTGCTAATATGTATTTCACAGTAAGGCTTGTTTGCTCAGATAGAGAGGCATATGTTGCTCCAAGTGAAATCATACATAGTGGATCATTTAAATATGTGCAAAAGTGAGTGACACGCAGTGATGCTATGTACTCAACAGTTCAGTTTATGGACATTTAACCACTTTTTGCTTAGTAAGAAAAAAAAAGTGTTTTACACTTTGGTTTAATCCTTACTTCGCTTTAAAATATAAGCAATTGAAATTCTTAGATGGACAGCATCTTGCGTTCCATTCAAACTCCTCTTGAAAGTTTAAAAAAGCCCAAAATTTAGGATAAAATTAAAGTTTTTTAACACTGAAAAATCTTGATTGTAAATTTCCTTCTGTACTAAAAGTATCCACAATTCAAAACAGTTTTGCACAAAGATTTTCTCTTACGATCAAGTTAAAAGTAGTAAAAAGTGTTTGTACTTACCATCATGTGAATGAATGTGAGAGTGACACGAACGACTGGGTCTCCATTACTGACATACAGAGCGTACATGCTGCTGTAGAAGTCAGCAATATGCAGCCCAACCTGAACAGAAATAAAAACAGAAACATGCTCCTTAGTGTGGGTGTTTCTCTTTGGTTAAAGTCTTTATCCTTTTTTCTTCTCTCACCTCATCCTTTTTGGAGTATGTGATTACTCCAACAGCAACTGCAGCACCGGCCAGAAGAGCCAGAAGAACGGAGAACTGAGAGAAAAACAAGAACAAAACAAACAAACATGTTTTATCACCCTGATTTAGTGCTTTATTTACGTATCACAGAGGCTCTTTCATTATTTCCACCATAATTCAATCACTGTTGTTCTCTGTGATCGACATAGCAGCTTTGGGTTGAAAACATGGCTGTAGACCTGTAGACCTGTTTTTACTAGCTTATGTGCCTTTTAATACTATAAAGAGTAGACCTGCAGGACATTGAAGAAAACTTATACTGTCATTGTCTTTTTTTTGTGATACAGGAGAGGGGCCACATCCACGCCTTGCTGTTGGGGAAGATAAGGAAGGTGCGCTTCATTCAACATACAGAATGTAACAAAAGCAACACAGGTGACATTACATCCTTCAGTCGTGATTATCATATTTTGATGATCATGGGGGCTAAAACTGTGTGAAAATTAAAATGCAGTTAATCACCCATCTCTAGTATGAACCTTGTCATTTATTGTTTTAAAGGTCATGTGCAAGTGACTTTAGAGAGACGGAAAAGAAAACAGAGGGGGGGGGGGACAACACATTACAGTGTAAAAGAAGAGGTCAGCTGGTCAGACTCACACACTAAAGAAAACAGAAAGTAGCAGGATTTTTCTCGTCATAATTACAGTTAAATCCTTAAGTTTTATTTAGCTGAGAGAAGAAATAGATTAGAAAATAACTTTGTCATCTCCTTTTGGCCTGCAGAATGCAACAGTTTGTGTTGTGTGAGTAAATACATGCCAAGCATCAGTTAATGATGTAAATATTAGTGGTCTGTAAAAATCTATGCTCTGATCAAAATTCAAACTAAATCAAAGTTAGTACTCTAAACAGCTTGTTTTTTATGCTGAAATGTAGAAAGGCAAAATTAAAGCCCGGGTTATGTTAATGTATTCATCATTTCAGTGACAGCAGAACCAAGAGGCTCACAATAGAGATAAAAACAGATCCTGAAAGACCGGCTCGCTACTTTTTCTGTTCTTATTTCATAGTAACAGATAAAATAGACACCAGCTGTTTCCTCTTATCAAACGTGTTCAAAACTGCATTTATCTGTAAGGATTTTCCAAACAGAAAAAGACATCATGAGTTAATTCTGACCTTTGCCAGCAGTTACAGTGTGTCTATTTTAAAAAAGAAGGCGTCTAACATTACGCAAGGGATGAAAAAAAAACTTGGCAGCAGCTCCACTTGACAAGGAACTGATCACAAGAGGAAAAAAAAAGCATCTCACCACTTGCAGAGCACATCTTTTCTCATTGCAGGCGCCGTAGTCTCCAAACACGACCACAACCAGCATGACAGTTCCAAGAATGATCAGGACTGTGACAGCTGATAATCAGAGAGAGAGAGGGGGACGCACAACTGTCATTGGCTCAATGCCTTTCAATATGCCTGTGGAGTAGGAGACAGAGAATAACACAAAGTACACACTGACCTGTAACAAATGTGGTCGAGCTGAGGGCCTCTATTTCAAAGATGCCTCTGGTGTCATTGCTGAACCTCAACCACAGGCCCAGACCTAGAAAGGCAAACCCCACCACCTGCCACCACAAAAAACAGAAGCAAAACCAAGTCAACCCCTCTGAGAGATGGTCCACATCCTGACATCAGCACACAATTCACATGTTGACTCTGTGCTGGTGAGGTTTTTATCTGTTCACCTTGTAAATATAATCCATGTAAAAATCTAACATTTTTGATCAAAGCATCATTGCAGGAAAAACCCAAATGCAGTCGTATCAAACCAATTTCAAAGTACCAGGCTGTGGCTTAACATGGTCATATCAGTTTTTAATGTGCCACTACCTCTAGCAGAGCTAGCACCACCAGCTTTTGGTCTTTCTTGCACATTAATATCTGCATCCCTGTGTTGGTTGCTTAGTACTCCGGTTGAGATTTTATATGCTAGTTTAATCAGACACAGCCTGCTTACAAGTTTGGACAAGTCAAAAAAACTGTAGTGATTGGCTTCCTAGGAACCGAAACAGAGAGGTGATATTAGAGTCGCTGTTAAAAATAAATGAAACAAATGCCCTTCATGAAGCTCACTTGCAGTCTCCTATTTAAATGTATCTAACAGCTTTTTTTTCCCCACATGCTTAGACAGAAATGCAACAGTTAGTTTCTTTTCCCATGTTTCTTTTATGTGGGTGGTGCTGTCGATTTTCTCCTCTTAAACCCTTATATAACGTAGTGATTATTTTAAGCCCACGGACTTCTCTGTGGGTGCTTATGAAAACTTCCTGCAGGTTGCCCTCAGACATACACCTTTGATTTTCGAACACTGAATGTGATAATTACACTTTGTCTTCTATTAAACACCTTTGCTTGTGTCCTCAGTGCACACTGACTTCTGAGTATAATTTTACCAAATGATTCTCATTATTCAATCTAAAGTCATTGTTCAAATTCATTTCACTCAATTTTGTTTTAATTTCAATACATTTAGAGGTACGGTGTGTAGAATTGAGAATATCTAGCAGCCAGTTTCTGGATAAAAACACCCCTTTGCTCACCCCTCCTGTCAATGCAGCAGTGGTAGGAGCCTTCAAGGACAAGAAGCTCCTGTAGTCCATGATGTCTATCACTATGAACCCTTTAGTGCACATCAGCCACTCTCTTTTTCTGTCTCCCAACATTTCATGTGCTGTGGCCCTTCGCAAAGTTCAAAAATGCTAATTTAACTAGTTTGTCCAGGCTCATTCTTTTGGAGCATGTCCACTAAGGAGTCCAGTCTGGTTCTGTTCAGCTTGGTAGAGACCCTGATCTCACCTGCACTGGGCACTTCAGACGGGATGTGTGTTGGCTGCATGAGGGCATTATAATGACTGACTGGACTGTTTATACTGCTGGTGTGAGCAGCTCATCACAAAATCTAGAGAATGGAAGGCTTACCTTTTTGTTTTATACATGGCGTATCTCAACCAAAACAAATAAAAAATTGACAAGTTGAGGACTGAACCAGCTTACTATCAGCAATATTTATGTCACGAGCATGAATATAGCATGGGCACAACTCATGAAAGCTTGTCAAAGCAGAAGTCTGATGTTTTTATCTGTGGAGAGAATCCTCTTTTTTTTTTCTACGATGCTTTTATTTTGAAGTTGTGTCCAGGACAGTTTTCTGGTATATGATGCAGCTTGCATAGGTCTTTGTCGTAGTCTTCAGTCACCTTTTATTGGAAACTGTTGTCATGAAATATGCAGGCTTGAGCTAAGCTATGTTTGTTATAAAACAACATCAGGTTACAGGGAAATATTTCCTCTCTAGTGGTATCCCAGGATCGGTTATTTTGCTTCCTTTCCAAACTTGTTATAGTTATACCATAATAACTGTGTACCACACTGTAACGAATTATTGCAATTTCAAATCCAATTAAAAAGGGAAAGAAAGAAAAGAAAGAAGCAATTATCTGACTAATGGATGGACAAATGGATTTCTTACATTTTAACGTTTATAGTGCAATATCGATGGACATTTAGATGTTACCAGAAAAATATACATGCTGAGATGACTGCCACTTTCCTTGAATGCTCTAGATTAAGTTTTATAAGAAAGCAATTAGGACTTAGGGTTAGCCCCAATGCAGCACTCTATTAATGTGTTTTATTGTCTAAATGAGCATATGATTTATAGCTTTCTGTTTCTCAATAAGTTTAACAAAAAGAGTGGATAGTGTATCGTTAACCAAAGACAGATTGATGCCAGGAAATGCCTGGAGTGAGTAGCTGGAACATTTCAGCGGAAATGAAACCTAAGCCAAACAATAACGATTCAAAGCTCAACTGCAACAGCTACTAGTAACATAAAACCCACAGCAATGTTTGTTAATTACTCTCATGACACTTAAAAACACATTACAGTCGCGACTTTTTTTTTTAAGCATTTTCTATTCCAACCAAAAACACAGTGTCGTGTTAATTATATTTTCATTTGACAGACTCACCGCAAAGATGATGTTGAAGATGATGAGGATATACTTGCAGAAAAGGCCACATCCGTCCAGAGCCATGATAACCTGTGGTTTGCTCAGCTGCACTATGTCCACTTGCTTAGTCTGTAGGGTGTGTAGGGGTTATCATATCATATGTTAAGCCTGCAGGCAACAGATTGGACTGTAAAAACACACAGGTACTCGCATCTCTACCTCTTGGCGACATATTTTACATGAAATTAGCATTAGGATTTAAGACACGCGTTTAATCGTATTAATGACGTCCTTTTTAAAAAGAAAAAGTATATCGTTTCGCAGCACTAAGCCATGTGTCCGCCAAGCTAAACAAAATAGTCGCAGAAAATCAACAACATACCTGTATTTCGTGGGTTTTATCTCCCCTTTTCGTTCAAAGAAGTTCGTGCAAAGGATTGACTGGCGCTGAAAGGTGGCTTCGTTGTGTTTATATGCCCATCCACACCATGTACCACCTTTTTCTCGTTCTGTGAGCTAATTGGCTGGAGGATTTGAGTGCCAAGAGGTACCACCAATGAACACACGAGCATGTCCAGCGGTGGCGGAAGAAGGAGTTCCTGACGAGGGGTAGGAGTAACTCCAAAGGGAAGCAACTAAAGGTAATTTTGAATAAAAATATAGACTAACAGTACACAAGCGTCTGAATAGCAAACTGAAATGAGACGAAACAAATATAACATTCATTTCAGGCAGATGTGGAGAGTGAGGCAGTCTTTTTCAGTAGCTAGCTCAGGCAGAAAAAGAACTGAGGGTGGCCCACTTTCATTTGTTTGATAACGAAACTCAGGTGAGCACAAGGAAATGAAAAGAAAAGGATTTGTGGTGAAATGGTGTAAATCCGATAGTTAAATCTTGGAGAAAACAGATTTTTCAAGTCATTCTCCTTAACTTTTATTTATTTATTGCCCCCATTTCATTTGCATTCCATGGTAAGTTTAAATAAAGACTTTGACAATCAATGGGGATTAAAAAAGGACTGAAAAACAACTTTTTAGCCAACGACCCTGCGTCAGAGTTGAGAGGCCTGCAGGATATCACCAACTACAGGAGTCCATCCCCCCATCCTGTAGGTAACAATAGCCTGGCTGAGGACCTGAACAGCTTCTATTGCAGGTTTTCACACTTTCACACTTATCACCAGCCCCTCCATTCATGCCACTTAACGACACCAGCTCAAACCTACCTGCACACCCTGCCACTCCCTCTCCTCTCCTCTGTGACCCCCCACCATTTCAAGGATCTGTGAAAAGGTGTGTCAGCTCTTTCAGGGCAGAAGGTCATGAAGGCTCCAGGACCTGATGGTGGTCCCTTCTCCTGCTTCAATCCAATCCAATCAGCTTTATTTATATAGCATATTTTGAGAAACATTCAAGCCTACCAAAGTGCTGCACAATTAAATTGAAAGAACAGACAATGCTGAAAACATCAAGATGAAATAAATAAAAGGTTTAAATGAAAATAAATGAAATAAAAACACAAAAGCCAAAAAGAAATAAGAATGATAAAAGGACAGATCACACAACTCTTATGCTGAGCTAAAAGACAAGGAATAAAAATTAGTTTTAAGACGTGATTCAAAAGTAGAAAGAGTGTTGGATGTTTTAATTTGAGTGGCAATTCGTTCTACAATTTGGGAGCCACAGCCGAGAAAGCTCGGTTTTTAAACTAGTTTTTGGTACCAAGTGTTGGAGCTGATTAGCGGACCTCAAGGAATGTGGTGGGGGGGGTGTAAACATTTAAGAGGTCAGTAATGCACTGTGGTGCTGATCCATTTAAAGATTTTAAAACAATAAATTTTTTAAAAATAATTTCTAAAATGGATGGGAAGCCAATGGAGGGACACCCGAATTGGGGTAATGTGGTCCTGCTTGAGAGTCTGTGCTGGACAGCTGGCCCCCATCTTCACTCAGATCTTAAACAGATCTCTGGTGCTGTGCAAAGTCCCGTCCTGCTTCATCCAGGTCCTCAAGAAACCCTCTATCACAGGGTTATATGACTAAAGACCCGTCGTCCTGATTTCTGTGGTCATGAAAACCTTTGAGAGGCTGGTATTAAGCCAACAGACCGACCTCACAGGCCCCCAGCTGGACCCCCTTCGGTTTACCAATCATGCAATCAGGTTGGTGGATGTTGCAGTAAAAATGTGACTGTACTTCATCCTGCGATACCACAGAAACCTACACTCGGATCGTGTGTGTGGATTTCAGCGTGGTGTTCAACACCATTGTTCCTGAGCTCCTCCACCACAAACTGGCCCAGCTCACAGGGCCAGCCCCCACCCTTCAGTGGATCACCAGCTTCCTGACTGAAAGGACGCAGCAGATGAGACTGGGGGACATCAGTGAACCATCAGCACTGGTGCCCCCCAGTGGTATGTTCTCTCCCTCCTGCTCTTCCTCCTCTTCACTAACCACTGCACCTCAGGGGACCCATCTGTCAGACTCCTGGAGACAACACCACAGTCATTGGTCTCATCCCAAACAGTGATGAGTTTGCATACCGATGTGAGGTGGATCAGCTGGTCCTCTGGTGCAGTCTGAACCATCTAGAGCCGAACTTGCTCAAGAATGTGGAGAGGACAGTTGACTTAAGGAGAAACCCTCCTGCTTTCACCCCCCTCACATTCCTCAACAGCACAGTGTCTACTGTGGACTCGTTTCAGTTCCTGGGATCCACTATCTCTGGGACTTGAAGTGGACCACCCACATAAACTCCATCTGGAAAAAACCCAGCAGAGGTTTTACTTCCTGCAAGCTCTCAGGAAGTTTAACCTACCTCAGGAACTGCTGATCCAGTTCTACACCATCACCGCCATCATTCAGTCCTTTACACACCTATCACGATTTGGTTTGGGTCTACCACCAAGCAGCGACCAACCAAGGTCCTATACCAGTCCAGAATCAGGAAACGGGCATGTAACATCACTGCAGACCGCTCACAACCAGGACACAAACTGTTAAAACTCCTCCCCTCAGGTAGGCATTACAGATCACTGTAGACCAAAACCAGGGGACCCGAAGACAGTTTCTTCCCCTGGGTTGTTGCCATGATAAACTCCTATCATTCCCAGAGCCACAGAAAGACCACTGTGACTGTAAATGACTTTTTTCTTTTTTCTGCAGTTTATCCATAATCATTTCTTTCCTCAGACACATACCTCTGCACACATTTGACATTTATTTTTATTGTTAGACTGTTGAAACACAACATATATTTACCTCATATACATAAACCACCTGTAATATAATGACGTATATTTTTTTTCTCAACCATTCCTCTCTCCACTGCAATCCTAATCATTGCACTATTGCACGACTGTCTTGTATAAGTTAAATGTCTAGTTGGTGTCTGTACATACTTTTTAATTTTTATAATATTTTGTAAAATTTCATGTTTATTGTTTGTATATAGAGGGCAAAGTTTACCGGAGTCAAATTCTCTAGCCTGTAATCGATGGGATTTCTCCACAAAACAAATGTTTTGAAAAATTCCTTCTGATAAAATACATATAATTCATGCACTAAAGGGTTCAAATGTGTAATGCAAAGACTTGTGGGACTTAATAAAACTGTGGCAACAGTCCCTGCAGTGTATTTGTCACTATCAATTTCTCCTCATGACCTATGTAATCTGTGACTTTTCTCAAAGAATAATGGCTCTGCAGGTTCCCGTAGCCCGCTCCAGTGAAACAGGCATCTGTATGGAGTGATGTGACCTCTCTGCCGTCCATCATCGCAGGTTCAGTGGGTGGCAGAGGGACAGGTAGCTGGAGAGAGACAGAGCGTGATGGAGTGAACTATCTAGGCTGCGAGAGGGAAAAAAACCCAAACATATAATACACAGCACACCTCAGCACACACAAATGCACACATTTACACTTCATGGTCGGCCTGAAGTGACAGCAATCATCTGTTCTGAGGCGGGCAGGTGGAGTGAGGAATAGGTGCTGATTTTATCACATAGAGGTTTATCACATAGGGTGTGTGTGTGTGTGTGTGTGTGTGTGTGTGTGTGTGTGTGTGTGTGTGTGTGTATGTGTGAGAGAGAGACAGAAAAGACACCATTCATCTCTATAATGTGTCACACCTCTCCAAATTGTTTCAGCTTCAAAGCTATAAACCTTTCAACACAAGAGCAGACAGATTTGTCTCAGTCATACGTCAACAATTTCACAAGAGAGCACAGATTTTTTGTTTCTTTGAAGGTATATCTGCATCTCTCTGTAAGTACGTGTCTCATAGTAGCCACTAGGGGGTGCAATAACATTAACAAACTAGGGCCCCGTTGGGGCACTGGCGGGCCCGAGCCGTGTCGCGCCGCCCCCAACACGACCGCCTCTCCCTACCGATCGCGTCACACTCAAGGTCCAAAGATGGTGTGCGCACTTGTCTGTGGTCATTTACAATTATAATGAATGGGAGGCGCAGTTTCTACCAAAACGCTCGCCGCAGACAAACTACATGTCCTATTTGAAAAGGACTGGACCATGAGTGAGGGCACAAACACAGCTAGGATATATCCAAATGGCAAGTTGCTCCTCCTTTCGGTTTTGCCGAGAGAGCGATGTGTTTGAGTCATTGAGCGATGGGCAGGAAAAACTTGACTTTTTCTCCTGCCATGGGGGGGCGCTCTTTTAGGGAGTAAAAATTCCTTCACAAATGTGTTGATGGCTAGACATTGCATCATCCTAGAAAACTTGGAGGCCAGTGAGGACAAAAATAAAAAGTTATAAGACTTTTAAGAATGTGGATTTTTGGGTTATCTTTGGCGCCCCCTAGAACATAAACCGTGGGGTGCAGCGTCATGATTTTTACAACTTTGAATGGCCATGGAATGTAGATTGGCCTGAGTAAATTTGGTGTCAGTGGAACGAAATATTTAGGAGGAGTTAGCCACATTCCAATGTGTGCGAATCGACCAAAAATGCGAAATAGCCCTTTAACCGTACATTTTACAGATACGCGCCCATTGACTATTTCGTAGATCTTATTGAGAAACACGTGATTGTCAAAGTTTGTTACAATATGACAAAGCGTACAGGCGTGACACTCAATAATGTGAATTTTCACCTTAGGGGGAAGAAAAACTGGACTTTTTTCTCCTGCCATGGGGGGGCGCTCTTTTGGGGAGTAAAAATTCCTTCACAAATGTGTTGATGGCTAGACATTGCATCATCCTAGAAAACTTGGAGGCCAGTGAGGACAAAAATAAAAAGTTATACGACTTTTAAGAATGTGGATTTCTGGGTTATCTTTGGCGCCCCCTAGAACGTAAACCGTGGGATGCAGCGTCATGATTTGTACAACTTTTAATGGCCATGGGGTGTAGATTGGCCTGAGCAAATTTGGTGCCGGTGGAACGAAAGCCTTCGGAGGAGTTAGCGAAATTCCAATGTGTGCGGATCGGCAAAAAATGCGAAATAGCCCTTTAACCGTACATTTGACAGATACGCCC